AATTCCTAGGAATTCCAAGTCCTCACAAAACTGAAGTCTTCCATTCCCAGAGATTCCCAGTAATTCCAAGCTTTTCAAATCAGAGCTAATTTGCATAGCTGGGAATTTTTGAGAATTCCTAGGAATTCCCGGAAAGTTGGGAAGTTGGTTGTCAAGGGTTATTTGAATAATTGGGAATTTTTGAGAATTCCTAGGAATTCCCAGAAAACTGGGAATTCAGTTCGCAAGGGAAGTGACTAAACTTTAAATAATTGAACGCCCAACAGTCCCGTATTTTTCCATATTTCTCTTCGAAATCCAAAAAATATTTAAACGAAAATGTTCTACTTTATTTGCAATCCTCAAGCGTTTTCAAGCAGCCTAAAACTTCGAACTTGATGTTTCTCGCAAGCGCTTGACACTTCAAAACTTTTCAATGGCACGGCTGGACTCGGTCCTCAAATAACTCCACATTTCTCTTTGAAATATACCAATTATTCGTTGGAAAATATTCTACCTTCATTTACAATCCTCAAGCGCTTCTAAAAAGTGAAAAAATGCCAACGTTATCCGTTTCGCTGACTTTGTAAACAGAGTACGAAGAGATCCAAGCGTGACACTAAGAAAATTTACACCGGACACTACCGGACACGGTCTTCGAATATCTAAACGTCCGGCAGTCAGATATTTTCCCATATTTCTCTTTAAAAAATACCAATTTCTATGGGAAATATTTTATCTTCATTTAGAATCCTCTAGCGCTTCTAGAAAGTGAAAAATTTAAACGTTGTCCTTTTCGCCGACTCTGTTCACAGAGAAGGAAGAGATCCAAGCGTGACACTTAAAAAATATTTTCTTCGGATTCTTCTGGACAAAATTCAAAATACTGTAAGGAAACTGTAAAATAAGGAACGGCGAATGTATTTACCGTAAAACAGTTGACTATATGTCCAGGATGCCTCCTGAGAAAGACGATTTTAGATGGTTTTCAGTGATCTGGGAATTTCGTGTGATAGGAAATTGGGTCGCGGCGCGCGTTGCATCAAGGTTGGAAATGGGCATGGCTTGCGTTGTGTGAGACCGTCCACAGGCGGCCCAAGCTCCAGCTGTGAGATGATCATCTTGCGCAATAGAAGTCATGGCGGAATTATAAGAGTTTGGATGGGAATATTTCCGACCGCTTTAACGAAGTAAAAAATACGTCAAATTCTCAATAAAAATACCTCACCTTACTTGCGCAGCGTATCACTTGTTATCTGACCGCTTACTATCATGAAAAGAATCTATTTTAGCGAGTTGTCCATTTCGAGGTTTTAATGTACGTGGAAAACCTCGAAATGGACAACTCGCTAAAATGGGTTCTTTTCATGAAAGTAAGCGGTCAGATATCAAGTGATACGCTGTGTAAGAAAGGTGAGATATTTTTATTGAGAATTTGACGTATTTTTGTATTCCTTAGAGCGGTCGTAAATATTCCTATACAAACTCTTATAACTTCTCCTTGACTATTATTGCGCAAGATGATCATCTCACCGCTGGAGCTTGGGCGGGCTTTTCCTATGTACGTGGAAAACCTCGAAATGGACAACTCGCTAAAATGGCGATACTCTGTGGAATTGAAGTGAGGTATTTTCATTGAGAATTTGACGTAGTTTTTTAATTCGTTAAGCGGTCGTAAATTTTCCCATCCAAACTCCTATAATTCTGCCATGACTGTTATTGCGCAAGTTGATCATCTCGCAGCTGGAGCTTGGGCTGCCTATGGACCATCGGAACTCAAAGCCTGGGAACAAGTATACCGAAAAGATAAAATGGTGGCTTACGGCTGCGAAGGAAATCTCAGTAGTTTAGTATTTTAGCGTGATAAGGCTTGGGTGTTGTAATCTAGTTCTCAAGTAAAAGAGATCACTATCTGCAATGGCTCTACCACCTTCTGAACAACAAGAAAACATTGAAACGGTGGTGAGAAAGCAGCAAGGTTCGAAGTCTAAACGAGAGCTGGGTAAGTTGAGTTTCAGGCAAATATCATGACGTTTGGGATGTAATTTCGACACCAAATAAATCGCAGAGGATTCTGTTGTGTTCACGTGAATGCCATTTCAGCTCTTTCGGCCACTTGTAAGTTGTAGGAAATAAAAAAATGCATACTTTTGTCCTATTAAAGCCCTGTGAGATCACAAATATGATTCATTTTTTTCCTTTGTTTTAGGTGGTCATTATACATTGTTTTTGTAAGTCGATGCTGATGAGAAAGAGAAATGTTTGCGGTTATTCCTTCTCTCGAACATGTTACTATATAGGTACCAATTAATCATGATACTGAAGATTATTGCATGCTATTAAAAAAAAACTTGCCCCTGATTGCTTTGTCAGCTGGAATGTATGATGTAATTTAGCTTGTGATTTGTGGGATTATCAGAAGTAAACTAGAAATACCTGAAGAGGGTAATGACGTACTTAATGCATAACATTTTGGTACAAAGTCTGCTTCGCTGTAATCTACCTGAAGGTGCTTTTAATACGCTAGTAAGTCTTGCACAGCCCAGTCGAAATGTTTTTGAGTAGTAGACAAGCTAGCTGTAGTAATTATAGACAGCAGAGACCAAACCTGTTTCTGAAAAGCAGTCTGAAAAGTGTGAAGTCAGCGGAAGATACTTAATTGTACGCGGCCAAATCGCAGGTTGCAGCCCATTTTGAGTAAGCAGTAAAACTCCAGATTTGCTATTTTAACTAATTTTATCGAAAGCCAAACCCTACAAGGCTTTTATTCTGTTTTAGTTTGAAATGTTTCTTTTGTGTTTCTTGTTTTGCAGTAAGTTGCCTTGTTATGGCCATTTTTCACTCAAACATTTATTTAACCAAGTTAAAATGTTTTTGAGAAGTAGGCAAGCTGGCTACAGTCATAGGAAGTAGAGGCTGAACCTCGTCCAGACTAGAAGTCTAACAAGCGTGAAGTAAGCTGCAGATATTTTGTTGTAGACGGCCAAATCCTCGGTTGCCGGCAGATTTTGATTGGGCTATTTGTCATTTAGCTACTCAGTATTCCTATTATTAAAGATTACTGCATTCCTTTATAATTATTTTTAGCTAATTGTATGCTGTATATATCTTGTGATTTGTGTGATTTTCACAAGTAAATTAGAAATACCTGAAGATGGTAATGATGTACTAGATGATGTATTTGATGATGTACTTGATGTGAAGCAATTTTGGCAGAAAGGGTATGCCTTGCCCGTAGGTGATTTTAACATGCTAATATACATCAGCTGGAACAGGAATATTAAAAGAAAAATGTTAAAATTTAACTATACCAAGCTTTGGTTTAATGTCCAAATTAAGTACTTTATCGAAGATCACTGCAATGATCAGGTCCAGAAGACCGAAACAGTACTGTCTGCTGTCAGTTTAATTTTTGTCATTTATATTTATCTATTTTATTTATCAATGTTTCATTGAGTTATAATTCATCGATCTCTTTCGATAGTGCAAGTCCGCACATGTAACCTAATCCCACACGTATGTATGTATGTATGTATGTATAAAGCCCAGTCGAAATGTCTTTGAGTGGAAAGCAAGCTGGTGATAGTAATAGGCTGAAGAGGCCAAACCTCGTCCTGAATTGAAGTCTGACATGGAAAGGTTCACCCTCTAGCAACATATGCAAAAAATAAAATTTCAGCGAGTTCTGCAGATCTGACTAGCATTAAGTCGAGGTCTGAGTTCTGCGACAACAAGGCCAACGTGGATATTTTCCAGTTTCTGAAGGAGCAAGAAAACAAACAAAACGAACAGTGACACATAAAAAGTCATATTTCCTGATACAGCGTTACCAATCACTGAATGTAACATATAGCTTTAAGGGGGGTTGTGAAAAAACCCAATATATGCAAAACCAGGTGAGTTTTCGGAATAGTTAAGCATTTAATGAAAAATGTATTGCAAGTTTTCTGATTAGATTAATCGACATCATGGTTGAGGACGTGATTTAAATGGTCAAAAGACATATATTCCAGAGTTTAAAAGTGGATCATCAGCAAATTACACTTGATTTTCTTTCATTTCTTCTCGAATTATTCAACAATTACAATTTAATCAAAAAATATTTAATATAGTTGCATCGTCTTTGTTCCTGTAAGTGCCTTATGCTTTTAAAAAATATTATTCCAAAAGAAGAAATTTGTTGTCCGAAAAATGCCCGAGTTTTTATCACGGAAGAGTCTTCCAAAGGCTTAAAATTATGATAAACCAGTTCAGTGGAATTCATTCCCAATTTTTTCTCCAGCAGGGAGATAAGCTGAACGCAGTCGTAGCTGAAAAGGTGACCACAATTTGAGTCTTTCCATTTTCCTACAATCACTGTGATAAAATGAACTTTGAGAGTATGAGATCTTTTTTATTGTTTGTACTTTTGTGGATAAGAGCTTTCCATTACCCCTATCAACTACATTGAATAAGGAATAAAAACATACTTTAAGTCTGCTTTCGACGATACCAATGCAGTGCATTCAAGATAACCATAACCAATATAGCACTCCATAAATATCATATGACAATATTTACGCACATAAGAAATTTTCCTTAAAAACCTAAAATGGCTCGATCTGTGGAAATTTATGCTTGGAATATAATCAAGGAGATATGTAATCTTGTCTTACCATCCAAAACTGAGTGAGTGAGACATCTGCACTAAATCAAAGGTTAGTCTAATTATGAAAAAAAAAAAAACAACAACAACAACAGCTCCAACGACAATATAAAAAAAAATAACCAATCCAATTAAATGTGAAACCATACAAAATTTGACAATAAACTATTAATCTTTATTTTATTAAAATTCATTTTCGCTGGATAAAATTCTTCTTACAAATTCTCGGTGGCTTAGACAAAATCTTCTTATTTTTAACTTGACGAAGGCAAAGTGAAGAAGATACGAGTTTCTTTAAAATTTGTTAAATTTGCATTAACTGACTTACTCAAAACCTTTCAAGTACAATTTCCTGTATATTGACTAGAAAAAAAAATCGCTTTATTTGAAGGAAAACACCTGTGACCGATTACACTACGAACAGGTAGAAAATTAGAAATGAAAAGCTTGCAAAGTTTAAAGAGTAATACTTATTATAAGGAAAAGTACTTACGTGCAATAGCTTTAGGCATGAGTCAGAAGAAAATTGACAAACTAATCTCAACAAGAACAATCAGTAAAATAAGTTCTAGGAGCCTATCCTAATTTTGTCGGCTCACGTCCATCGGTTAAAACAGAATGTCGAGTAATCATTTTCCGTTTAAACTTGAAGTGTGCCTCATATAACGAATATCGCCTTTTTAAGTAATTTTTGTGAATTTCAAAAATTAACTATTCATCAATATAATTGAAATTAAATCTAGTTATAGCAGATTAGCAAACTAACTTTGCAAAAAATTCCACTTCTCACGCGGCTTTGAACTTAAGATGTTTGAAACCATCAAGAAATTATTCCTCTCGAATATAGTGTTACGAGGGGAAAGACTATTTCAAAATTGTACATTCATTAAAGGGGTAGAAAAATTGCAATCAGAGTGTAAAAAAGTCAATGACAGTATAACACCAATCACGAGGAGCGAAATACTTTAAACTTCTACAAGATTACATAAGACCGAACCAATAAATTGACCTTAATTGGCCAAAGCACGTATCCCAAACACTCTCACTACTTACAATTTAACAATCAAAGACAGTTAGCTTACAATCAGCGCTTTTCACTGTAAAAGAGACAGTTTTTAAGCTCTCCTTTAAGTCGACATCCTGTGACAACTACCTGACCAGACCAAGAAACTAGAAATCGATACGAAATGCATGATTAAAAAAAAGAGTTTGCTTGTAACTGAGAAGTGTGACGACTACCTTGACGACTACATAGAGGGCTAGAATTAGAATCTGGGATGCACGATATAGGTTCCCGAAATTTTCATAGGGTAGTTTTTTCATGAAGTAGCTGAATAACCGAGGCCTCCATACCTGACAATGCCAGAAGCAATTCCACTTTTAATGGAAGGAAAAAACTATTTTTTTTCTCCTAGACGTGATCCTGGTTCACCAGAGCGAGAAGGTTTAATTTTAACTTCTGAACTAACAGATAAGCACTTATCTGAGGCTGGATCTTGGCTGTCGTTATGGTAGTTAAATACTTACAGGAACCTTTGGTTTAATAAAAATGATTCATGCTCTGCTTGTCATTTGCACAGCACCTAATCCAAGGTCTCCTTCCATTATCTGATCAGGCGGCTCACCACTGTTCACACTGCCGCTGGCGGGTCTGACCATAACTTCGCTGGTAAAACTCAGTTCTCCATTTATATTCAGCATGTCTTCGTCGCTATCTGTTACCACGGTTTCTGCCTACATTGAAACAAGACCCGTAAAAGCTGGGGTCCACACCAAGAGTTGCCTACTTACGGTTGTTAAATGGCAGTTTATATGGATGAACGTTAATATACAAAATAATGCAAAACATTTGCAGGGACACACCATATTCAATTTTATCTTCCCGTTTTGAACATTTTCCACTTCCGTTGCGATGACAGATAGAATTAAAAAACATGAAAGAGATATAGCACCAGCTCGCGCTCAGAATTCGGCGATTTCGGAACACGACATTGAAACAGGACATGTTCCTGTTAAGGACCAGGTTCGGTTTATTGATCATGACTTTCCCTGGCACACAGGAAGGGTTAAAGAAGCCTATCACATAAGGCTTTATCCTTACAAAAAGAGTAGGGATAACGGAATCGAAATCCCTGAAACATGGATGCGAACTATCAAAAACCATGACAGCCAATCAGAGACAAAACCCAACTATGAGGGACAAACATCTAATAGACGGAATGACACTGATGATCGAAATGCACCAATGAGAGCGCGCTGTGACACAGCGATAACAAAATAACAAGGTAAGATACTATAAAGAGCAAAATGTAAACTACCAACCTCGTCGCCTGACAAAAACTAGCAGTGTAGCAGTCTTAACGTCGCGATCAACACACGATTGATTAGCCTGACTCTTACACCATGAGAAAAACGATTAGACGTTCATTTATCTAGAAAAACCTTCCGCTTAAATTTGAAACAGTACCTTTGCATCAGGCCGCGATCTTGAGAGGAATCTTGCAAGAGGACCGCACCATCCCGGTAAAGTCTCTGTCAGAGGCTGGCCATAGTTGGTAAAAATAGGTTTCATATACGTAAAGTTTGTCAAGGAAATGAAAGTAAGTCTCGTTTTCACAACATTTACCCTTCACCAATAAATTGACCTCCAATGCAACGTGCTCTGTTCTGCGCGAAGGAAGGGAAGAGAGTTTATTCCTTCTTTCCATTCTCTTTCGTTTGTCGGAGGCTGGATAAACTTGTAATCAAAGTACAATAGCAACACTTCTCGTGTCGAACTTATCTTCGCGCTTCGACTAAAACTGAGCCAACGCAATGGCCCTACAACGAACGAACCCTAACTTTCTAATCACCCTTTTTTAATGATAAAAACCCTAAAAGTTTCGTTAAAATACCCATTCATGCTGTTTGTCTAGGCGAACTGCTCCAAAAGGCTAATTACCACATTTACCAACAAATCAGGAATCTTGACTTCATTCTGGAAGTAACAATATGACCTGTTTAACTATGTTAAGACCTTTTCACCAAGTTTATGGGATAAAAACTAAAGTAAACCCGATAAGAAAGTAAATAGCGATTATCCACTCAAAACACCTAATCATTCCAGAACTAAATTGGTCGGTATTGAATAATCTCCCCTATAGTTCCATCCATGACATGAAACTGGTATAGGTTGGGCGAACCTGCTTTGCTTCAGGGGCGAACTCTCTAAAATGGTAGAAGGCGTTGTTGAAATGGGCGAAAGAATAACCTCGCTAACAGTTCCATTCATGACATAAAACTGGTATAGGTGGGGGGCGAACCTGCTTTGTTACAGGGGCGTACTCTCAAAGAAGGTAAAGGGCAAACTTGAAATGGGCGAAACCTCCATACCAATGAAAACAAACGAGTTTAATCTGCTGAGCTGTTTCAATAAAAAGTTTCTGACATGCACAGTACACTTTGCTGCATACAACAGCATCAATCTCGCTTTACAAAAGCACAATTAAAATGCAACGCAAGTAACACAACTCTTTCACAAAAGGATATTTGACATCAAAGTCGTACCACTTTCTAAAGATCCAAGCTCTTTCGTAATGAGACTGCGCAGATCTGAGATTGTCGTCGGCTTCCTACATTATTTGAACATGAAAAAAAAAAAAAAAAAAAAAAGATGGTAACATAATAATTGACAAGTACAAACTAAACGAAAAGAACTTGTTTTGTTCACAAACAAACTTGGATAATAATAATACCAATCAAAATAAAAGCACTAAACACAGAAAAGTAATCAAGGAGACTCGACAGTATGATTTCATCAAATTAAAAAGAACGGGCAACAACCTTCTATATTTTGTGTGTTTGGTTAATTCTTTAATGCCTAACTTAACTCCTCTTTCTACAGGTACCGTTGTTTGTGTCTACCTTTCCACGCACGCGATGACAACATGTTGTGTTGGCCTATCAAACTTCAACGTTTTGACAGCAAAAGTTCAAAGTGTGTACCAAGAGGTCGAGAGAATGTACGCAAATATATTTCCACGGAAACTGTGATTTGAGCGTTAGGTAATGTTGTGTTCCTTGTTGTTATCTAGCTGTGCGAGATTTAATTTCTTGATTTCGTAAGTCGGTGGTTGATCATACAAACAAACAAATAAAAAAAAAGACAAACAAGGCAGAAGTTCAAGTACATATTTTGGCCTTGTTTGATGCAACTGCCATTTCCGATCATTATCAGCAAGCGTGAAAACCCTCTCAAGTGGGAGGCAATGCTGTCAAAACATTGAAGTTGGCTACGCCAACAGAACATGTGCGTAGAAGGATAGATGCAATCGACGGTAATGGCCGTTTGCAGAGTGTAGATGAAACAATCATTTGAGGCCAGAGGAGAGAGTCATGCGTAAAACTGGCACAACTGTGAGACTCAACATACCCGGCGAAACAAGAAAAATAATAAAGCACATTTGACGACTTGAGGCAAAAGAAAGTGATGGCTAACTTTGCTAGTAGATGGCGGAAGTGGTAATAACAGAGATAGATAAAAGCAAAATTCAGGAAGAAAAGGATTCATGGCCACGCTCCACAAAGCAAAGAAGACCCGACTCTAGTATCTATTGGTGTGGTCTTCAAGTTAATTAAACACGGTTGCCCCGAAAAAGGCAAGAAAGTTTGAACACTAATACGGAAAGAACCTACAGTGCTGACCGAAACATAGGTAGACCGCTTATCTTCTTCTTCAGGATCTACGCCAACCCTGAAAAACAAATGGAACATGTTCACTTTAAAAATTGGATTCAAAAGCAACAGAACCCACTTAAGAACGTACTACGTATACTTTGATTCCGTCGTAAGAAAAAAATACTTAATTCTTTTAACAAATAAATATTTTCCTTTAGAAAAAGTGAAGCTATTTATAGGAGTGACTAGCGAATTATTTGGAACTCTGGGATCAAATTAGATTGCAACAGTCAGAGGTGATTTCAAAAGAACTTTGACAAATTCCTGTAAATGGACATGTCTGCAAATGGATTTTAGTTGCTTTATGTTTAAAACAGTATCCTACCTTATCCTCAAAAATGAGAGTACCGACATGGTAGCACCTCCATTGAAAATAACAGTTACTAAAACCACAATTAGTACTGACGTCAACATCATCTGACGAGAAACTGATTCCGTGTTGCGCATGGCCAAAGCGAATGCAACGGCACCTCGCAAACCTTCATTGAACGGATAAAAGGTGTAAAATTACACTGCTACATTTATGGAGGTTTGTAAGTAAAAAAAGAGCACTTATCTCCTCGTCAAAGCCTGAATGAACAGGCATAACTCGACTCAATAAGATGCCCACGGTAATTGCAGTTGAGTCTGTTACTCTAAAAAAAAAAGTTACAGCCTCACCCTTGGGCGATTTGGAATTACTCCCCTGAGTTCTCCCTGAGTACACTTCATTCAGTTTTACCACCATTTTTAGTTGAAAAAAAAAATCGGCCGTTTAACAACACGAACTCCACACCAGTTCATTATCTTGTGTTGTGTTTTCATTAGTAGAAGAGGTTTAACCCACGGTGTGTATCACAATTTTTGATTTTTGTAAAGCTCTCGGAACGCGCTGACATCAATTTTTTTTTTTAATCGTGCGACGCACTTCGCCGAAAAGGGGGAATGCTCTTACTCTATCGATTAATTTCGAAAAGCATTTTGTGTCTTCCAATTCTATATGTACTCATTTACGGAGTTACCAAATTGGACTCTCGTTTCGCTGTTGTACAATTTTGTTAATCACTCGTATAATGTCAGACAGAATTGCACTCACTTAGAGCACTGATCGTCATCAATAACGATACGCAAGTTCTACATTCTTTTCCTTGAAAAAACAACTTTCAGATTATTCACCTGCAAACACCATCATATGCTGAAATTGATAACTAATCTTTCTGTGCCTTCCCAAATTAAGTAAAAACGACAATGGATAAACGTTTAAAAGCCTTCCTAAAGTCATGGCAACCTGTACATCAAACAGTTAAGAATCAATAACCAATGATTGGCTAAGGAACGTTCAATCAGTAAAATATCATTACAGCATAACCCAAGCGGGCTCTTGCTTAGGTATGTTAATCGTTAACAAACTGTATCAATTGATGAACAATAGCGAGGAGGGAAAACCGAGAAATTGTCTTTGTTGAATGCTTTTGCTGGTACCTTTGCGGTGCACAACATTCATTAGCTTCACGATTCTTTTAAACTAATTGACCAATTAAACTTCTGATGAACTAACTATAATACAAAAAGTGAACACAGAAACAAAAGATTGTGCTCTCTCGTGGAGCTGTCAACATAAACTAGCACCGTTGCTTTAGTCTCCGAATTTTTACCGCTCCACAACAACTAGCTCTGCATAAATTAAGTCCGTTTGTGCAAATTATTCACGGTATCACAAATCTTAAACGTTAAAAAGTAATAATAAAATAGAAAAACAAACAATTTATTTAAAAAGTTGACAGTTTAAAAATGTTTTCTGTACAGATTCACATGGGAGCTATCGTTTAATTTTTTTCCAGAACCAGAAACAATAACACAGCCCCGTAAAAATTCTTCTGTTCATTAAACGTCATTTTCGAACGATGAGAAGTTATTTGTTAAGGTGTTACTTTCCAAGTAACCATTCCAATTTAATAAAAAAAGATACAAATGTCCATGATATAAATCCAATATTCCACTGGTGATGTTGAAAGGTGAAGAGAGATAACCCCATGTATGAAAATATAAAACTCTCCGCTAGAAAATTTAAGAGTGCAAACGTCTGCAAAGAAACGTTGGAAAACATATCAAGGTTAGCTTTGTAATTTTCGGTAGAAAGAGCTGTAAGAAAACTATTATTCCAAAGTATTACACTACAGAACAGGGTAAAACTACGGAGCAACAGAGTGACCGTAATGAACGACGTAAAACTTTGATTTGTTTTTCGTTTTTAGGTTTCATGTTGAAACAAACGAAATCTTAAGCGCGATATAGATCTTTTTTTGGTCCCAAAAAAACACAGTAGTGATTTCTTTCGTGTTGTTTTCGTCCTTTGTATACTCCTTATGCGATCGATATGATGCAAAGATAAGGCGGTAGGGCGTATTTCGCAAAACTAAAATCAAAGTGCTAAATGGTGAATAAATAGTGAAATAATCACATAATGCGAGCGAACATTTAGTTCACCGCCGCTACTTCTCCTAGCCCCTTTCGGGCTCGGAAATTACTTTCCCCGTAGTATCATGAAGTGTATGATTTTCCTGAAGCTTAACAAAAAAATATATAAAAAATATGTTTTGAGGATAAGTACAGTACACATGTAAATGACAAGCCAAAGTTATTAGAAGTACAGTACCTGTTTTGTGTTCTGTTTTGACTCTTCTGATAAATTGTTATATGTGTAATGAGCTTGAGAAATTCCGCAGAAAAGAACTGCAACAATGCCTGGAGAGAAACAGCATGAAAATGATTTTACGGTTTCAACAACAATACACATAAAAATTATAACAGTAATGGTAATGATGATAATAATAATACACATAAAATATCCACATAAAAGATAAGAATAGCAATAACAATTACTATTTACAATAATATTAATATTATTATCATTATCATGAGTGTTCTCATTACTATCATTACTATAATTAATTTTTTTTTTAAATTAGTGATGGTGATGGGACTGAGTGGAGCCCAATTCGGAAATTGCAATGATTACAATTATATTAATCCATCAGGTGTCTTTTTGCATGTTAATAAATGAGAAGTAATAATTCTCAAATTTATGGTAATAAAGATAACTATGCAGAATTACTAGCCAGTGCTTTCTTTATTTACTACATTCCCAACATTATTTTCATCGTGATTACCTAGATAAATAGAGAATAATACATGGGCGCGCGTAGATATGGAATTTCTCTTCGAGTGTTTAACTCGATAGCTCACGAGTAAGCGCAGCGAGTTGAACACGAGCCTTTTACTGAGAAGAAAAGCCGATTTCATCAATGAATGAAAATAAATGAATCGACAATCCCCGAATAACAATCGTAGAGTGCGTTAGCGCTAACTCTTAAGATGGAAAAATGCGTTGAATCATGATTACAAAAACAACAATGGTCGTAATTTTCAATTTACAAAATTCTCATTTATTGACTTTGTCCTTACCGACAGAAGAAGTCTTTCAGGTAAACGGCCAAAATTGGCTAGTGGCAAATCTTCCAGTTGTCGATTTTCATTCTCAGCTGAGAGAGATGCTAACACCAAAGCCACTGAATACGTAACTTTCGGTTTTTCTCTCAGTTTATTGGTTTTCTTCTCCTTCTAGAAAAGTTTGAACCTTATTGTCTGTCAGCGATACAGATTTTATAGTGTTCTAGCCGCCATAATTCGAGAAAGCTCCGATAAACAACTTGTATTGGGAATCGTGAAGGCTTTGCTGTTCATTCATCAACCTGACCAAGTGGCGCCAAAGGCGAGTGACGTGTCTGCAGCTGATTGGCTATATCAACACACGTGAAAAAATATCTATTTTTTTCACGTGTGTTGTTACGGCTTTTCTCAAGGCCAGAAAACCCTATATAACACCGCAGTTTATGTAATAAATAGAGGATATTACATAGCATCTCTCGTGAATCGTGAAGGCTTTGCCGTTCATTCATCAAACTGACCGAGTGGCGCCAAAGGCGTGAGACGTGTCAGCAGCTGATTGGCTATATCAACACACGTAAAAAAAAAAAATTCGATATTTTTTCACGTGTGTTGTTCCGGCTTTTCCCAGGGCCGGAAATTCCTGTATGACACCGCAGTTTATGTGATAATAAGGTTTTCTCCATTACTTTGGTATTCCGTGAACTTTTAGACACTTACCTGTTAGATTGGCTGCCTCTGCCATGAGAAATGTGGTCCATGACAGTAGGAAGAACAAAGCCGTCTCTAAGAGAGGAAAGTCTGAGATTTTGGTGAGTTTTGTCACCTGTTTTTGTTGTGATGTTAAGGGTCTAAAACCACAAAATGTTCATAACGAACATCAAACCTCCATGGGACAGATATTGACAACAAATTCTATATCCAAATATATTACAAAACACCACTTTTTGCCAATTCAGGCATATGAACAAAAACTTCCCACCACCTCCCCCCCCCTCAAAAAAAATTGTCACCACATCTCGGTAAAATTTACAAAGCACACAAAATTCATCTTTTTTTTTTGAGGGGGGGGGGAAAGGGATGTATTTTATTTTTGTAAGATTCCGTAAGTGTCCCAAGATTTTATCCTCCATTGTTTATAATAATGTTAAATAAACTTTTGAAAGGATACAAGAGCAGTAACAAGACCCATAGCAAAACCGAGAAAGAAAGAACCCGAGAAAACACCAATGAAAACACCCACTGACTCAAAGAACTTGTCAACTTGAAATCCAGTGCCTGCGTTGTCTAACAGATACGTCTCTACAGATCTGAAAAGACAAGCAACATTGAAGAACAATTGAGACTTCTAATTTTGATTAAATTCATTTATAAAAAAAGTTCGGATATAATGCACGCTGTCATTGGTTGAAAGAGCATGCTCTACCAGTGGTAGTACAAAACACAGAACTGAGCTTAAGCTCAGTCACGCCATTTGCCAATTTGTACTATGTCAGACCATTTTGCGGACTTCATTCAATCATGTCTCGTTTTTTCTTCCTACACTTCATGCCTGACATGGCATGAAAATATAGGTATGTGTCAGGTGCACTTCCTCTCAAAAACAATTCTTTGGGTGGAGACAGGTAGAGTTTTAATTCACACTCAAATATAATTAAATAATAAATAAATAAATAATGATTTAACAGTGGACAACTCAGGAGGTGGCTCAATAAGTCTTCCTGTACATTGTTTCTTGGTCAAATTGCCTTGAAATACTCAACTTCACAACCAAAAATACCTTCACACATGTTGTAAGAATTGAGATGGCAATATCTGTATTCCACATACTCTTTACAGTTGCTGTATAATGTATCTTTCTACCACAAGAGCTGTCACAAGTATTGTATTTGATTTGTTTTTTGGATCATTAAGAAACCACATATTATTATAGTAGTTTCCTTGTTTGCCAAAAGTGAGCTAATACTGCTTCATCAACTGTGCTGTGCTCTTGACACAACAAACAATTCTATTAGTTACAATAAATATCTAATCCAAATTCTCACCCACACTACTTCCTACCTGAAGAGAACAATTGCCACAGCATCATTCATGACACTTTCACCAAATACCAAAGCATACAGATCCACATCCACATGCAGGTCATGAAAAATGGCCAGCACTGTTACTGAAAAAAAAATCACAGTAATATTACGTTTGAGTTTATGATGGATCTACTGTACAAAAGGTGCAAACAAGAGAATAAACTCTGAGAGGGGTAATGGAAAAGAGCAACTTTTCACAACTATTGATGGAGTAGAGTTGCCTCCCAATAATTTGAAACTTAAAGAGAAACTGAAAATGTTTGAGATGGTGATGGTAAGTTCAGGTTATTGGGAGTTAAGAGCAAATAAACAGTAATAAATTCATGCAGTGAACATTTTGATCAAATGAATTCTATAATCGCATAGAAAGATAAATTGACATGGAATATTCAGCAGGCTAGGGATTAAGCAGTTAACTTTTTATGAAAATAGGACACAGTGTACTTACTGTGCAACTCATAAAACCATATACACCAGAACTGTTTGGTGGAACTACGATAATTTACCATATAAGGGCATCCAAACACACAAGCTATGCTACAGTATTACACTTACTGAAACAGGTGCAAAAAAATGGCTGGCTGCTTGATTCAAACTTTGAATTTTTTTTGGCCTTTTAGGCTTAACTTTGTAAGAAACAAGCTTTTAAGTCTATCAGATTTTGTTGATGGTCACAAAGAACACTTAGATGGTTTCCTTTGTGTTGCTTTCCTCTTTCACATATGCCTTATGCAAACAATGAGATGCCCAGATAAGGGTGTAGGAGCATTTTGCAAACTAAAAGCTAAAATACTATGAATATGAAATAATAGTTGAATTTTTAATCTGTTATTTACTGGTGCACTGTAATACAAGTGAAAATTTTGCTCCTTGCTCATTAGGTTGGTGTTGCCTTGACCAGCCAGTTTGTCTCTGAGTAGTTCAAACCAACAAACCTGGATCTGTGGCTGATATCAGAGCTCCAAATAAGAGGCATTCCAGGAAACCAAATTCTTTGGGTACATGACGAGAATCGAACTTTGTGTAGGCATACATTGTCCCCCTGTTTAACAGACAGTACAAATTCAATACACAACAGCTGGCAAGAAGTATTGTAAGGAAGTATTGTAAAAGTATATTAAAATAATTTCTTAAACTTCAAAAGCAAGTTTCTTTATTTATCCAGGATTTCTTTGGATTTGCTTTACTTTAGTCAGTGATTGACATAAAAAGGTTGTACCAACCTCTCAGCCAATCAAACTCAATTTTAAAACAAATTGCAACTTGTCTTTCCTTAACATTCTCATTGGCTTTTTGTGATATATTCCTTCCCTATGATTGGCTGTTGCAATAACATTGTTTTAATTTCACATCACTTAATCAAAATGCACACAATTTAATTTACTATTTTCCTTTCCAACAATCATACTTTTCCTTCTGAATTGAGAGAGATGACTGTTTTCAAGGGTTAATATCATTAGTACTATAAGCATATCAGAAGCATTATCATATTATTAGAAAAACAAACAACAAAAAGCATATTAAGTATTATTATAATAGTATCAATATGAAATCATAACAAGTCCAAAAATGCTAATCAGCCATGCAGTTTAGGAAAAGAATTCTTAGCCATCATCATATCTGTAACTTTTACATGCTTAATTTACATGTAAATGTATGTGTATGTATGTTTCCTCATCAGCCACTATTCCTGTTTAATACCATTATGACATCAAACAAAGAGTTAGAGTTGTGCTGTTCCAGCAAGTGCTTAATGTTCATAAGCCATTCCTTTCATAACTTTAAAGAAAAGTATAAGAGATTCCAAATTAACCCACTCATTTATTCAACAATTTGTATACAACAATTTTCATAATTATTTTATGAATTTCATGCTTGCGGACTGGCCCTTTCACATTACCATCGCTTTAGTTGTGGGACACAATTGGACACAATGGCACACAAGGCAAAGTTACATGACAATGAGCAACAATAGCACAGTCATACACTTCATCGTAACATGTTTTAATAACAGTCTGCATGCAAACACATGCACATCAGATGAGGGAATGGTACCATACTAGTCTTCAGTACCCCCTTATCTTTGAGTTGCACAGCACTGTGTACAGTAGGTACCAAATCTACTCACCCAAACACCATGCACGAGACAGTTGTTCCAACAAATGCATATGTAAGGATGGCACCAATGTTCCGGAAGAAAAAGCGCTGAAAGTGTATTATAGATTAAAAATAATAAATAAATCTATATAGTACTAATTCTATACAAGAAGGTATGAGAGATGAATAAATAAAAAGTTTACATATAATTTCTCTGAAACTAACAAATTGAATAATACGATTATTACCAAAGGTAATATCAATAATAACAAGAACTACTAGTAGTTTACAGCAAGTTTAGTGGGGAAAAATTTGTTGTATATCCGTTAGGTTTGTAAACAAAACATGTAAAATGAATATAAAATTTAAGTAAAATAGTTTACAGGATTTAAGGGCATTAACGTGATAAAACTATTGAAACAGTTTTTTGTCTTGACCATGGGCCTAAACCTCCATTTGTTTCTAAGGTTCAAAGTGCTTGATGTGTTACAAGCAAGAAGAAGGTCATGGGGCTTGTTCTGTTTGCTCTGAATTATTTTTCTTAAGTGAGATGTCAGTGTGCTCTCATACTATTTTTTAATTATATTCATGTAAAAGGAAATATGTGAAGTACACATTTAGATTATAACAAAAGTTCACTTGGTTATCACCTTTTTCATGTCATATCCAGCATAGAAAATAATTGGTGGCAGTAGAACATAGAAAAATATTTCAGGATCAAAAACAGCCTGCAGGAAAAAAAGTTGAAAAATGTAAACTGTACATCTCAAAAGGCTTTCAACTCTCATTTCTGATCAACAAAGTACTTTTTACTGATACTAAATGATCATTTATATATTAAGCAAAAATTCTGAGATCTTTACTGCTTGGCGTGTTATGCTTTGTACTCTAATAACAGTTATCTAACCCTTTGACCTCTTAAAGTGATTAGTATTTAATTTCTTCTTACAATTTTACCCCTGAATCCAACATTAAGGTCATGAGAATAAAGGAAATGATCACCAACCAAAGAAGCTCTTGATTGATAACACAATTCTCCTTGTCAGCGCATCAGGAAGTGTACAGAGAATAGTATGGAGAATATTTATACTGATGTTTGGGTGAAAAGGGTTAATACATTGTTCCTTTACCCTGACTTATTTTTCTCACCTGTACTCTCTGTTTGTCATGGGAGCACAACATGTATAAATTTTTTTTACTATAAAACACTTGCAGCTAACTAGTTTGATTTGCGTTAAACTGTTGTTAGCTTGATGAAAAGACTTGCTTGATTCAAGGTGAGCACAACACAGTATTACAACATAGCACATGTGCAAGTCTAACCTAATTCTTGAGGAGCTACCATGATGGTAAAAATCCTTATGTATGCATGTGCATACATAACATGACCTGCAGTTTCATTCTACCAAGTTTAGCTACAAGGTTTCAAAACTTTTGAGGTTGTTTTCCTGTTTTCTGTCCTGGGACAGACTTTCATGCACCATTGCTTTTAAAAAATACTAATTAGATTGCAAACATATTACTTTTTGAACTGAATCACTTTAAAAACATAAAAATGTGTGTAAGAAACCTTGTATTAGCTTATCATCAGCATGTAAATATTCTTCATTGTACCTACCATCTGCTCCAGTTCACTTTCTTGACCAGAATTCTGCACTGCTCCAGACAATGTATATGAATACTGTGAACCATTTGAAGTGCTAATATACAGCTTCTTTCTTGCAGTACTTATGGTACAGTTTGGGTAAGTAACTTCCACTCTCTTATTTCTACTTAAATATTTTATGAGAAGACCAATTATCATACCTGGGAAAAAAACAAAAACTTAGCACAATTTACCCATCAACCAATCCATGCCAACTGTGGTCAACACATCATGCACCTTGCAAATTTAAAGGAAGAATTAAAAAGTGAAATTTGAAATGAATATACAACCACCCCACCCCCCCTGCTTCCCTTAACTTGCTGTTTTGGGATCAATGAAAATAAAGTGCAATATTGTATAGGAGGGGCAGGGGATGAAAGTTTGGGTCTTTGGGAAAAAAATACTAGAGGGAAGTTTCAGAAATTGTGGTGCTGCATCGACAAAGATATAAAAAAGTGCACCAAGTGCATTGTTGAGTTATATAAGCACACAGGAATTTTAAAGAACATTGAGAGAAGTGCAGAGAAGAACGAGCCAAAGGTGAGTGTTTCTCACACTTCTTGTTATTGTGAATTGCACGAGCTCATACCAATGACATAGGCTGCATGCATTATATCTAAAAAGTGCACTCATGTGAAGTAAGGCGCATGCTTGTTCTGACCAATCACAGCACACGCATTTCTCTGAACATTTTATAATTGGAATTATGACAAGATAATTTGGTTTTATTAAACTAAGTTAATAATCTAAATTGACCATAACAGAAGTTTCTAAACCTGATGTTTAGAGCACCGGCCCTTTGTCAGGATGACTGAAAAATAAAAATGATGCTCTAACAGATGGCTGATACTTGAATGCCACCTTCAAAAACTCTTTACAGTGGTCAATTCGTATCATCAACTCAGGTAATAAAACCAAATTATCATATTTGAGAAAGATTTGGCTTGTTATTCCAAAACATTGCAATCTCTTTGCCAACTATTTTGTTCCAGAAATGGTAAAAACAAACTTTGGAACATAGCCTTTTCCAGGCATTCAGTTAGTAAAACAGAGCATAGGTGTGAAGTTATTAGTAATTAGTGGTGGCACAGTGGAAAAAGCAAGGGATTTTAGTTTGGTCAAAAAGGGAAGGTCAGGTCTAGGTCAGATTGCATCCCTGACCCCCTCTTATTTTCAACTTGGCATAGATATTGATTTGCACCACATAATCATAATCTAAGAATCATCTTTAAGGAGTCCATGGTAACAATTAAGCCCCATACAAACAGTTGATGATAGTTTCAATGGTCACGTGTGTTTGAACACAAACTATCAAGCACTATCATCAACTATCATTGAGTATCATGCAATTTGGATAAGTTCATATTCAACATGATTCTTGATGATAGTGAATGAAAGTTTTTTGGTTAAATGGCAAATGCTAAAATGACAAAAGTAGTGGTAAAAATTTTGCAGAATGTCTCATGGTTCAATCTCATCTTCTCCTGGAAGGTTTCAGTGCATGTATCTTCAAATTGCAACTTCTTAATTAAAATTTTAAATACCATCAAAATTACTGATATCAGCATGCCCCATATTTGTTTACAATTACACGATCTCATCATGGCATGATTTTCTCAACTATCGTCACATATTAGGGACTGTTTGAATGCAAAGTGAATGAAAGTTGAAACTATCATCAGCTATCATCAATTATCATGACCATTTGAATGGGGCTTAACCCTTTAACTCCCATGAGTGACCAAGACAGAACTTCTCCCCATAACATTAATACAATATCAAACAGACAAGTGATGAGAATAAAGAAAAATATCAATGAAGGTATGATTAGTTGATCCAATACCAAATTCTCTAAACAAACATGGTGAGTATGATGGCAGACAGGAGAATAAATAAAGATATCTTGATAGTGAAAGGGTTAAGATATATATAAATTTTAGTTGCCCTTCTATTCCAATTGAATGACATAATGTACAAAAACACTGTAAATATGAATCATTTGAACAAATGATTCTTTTCTTCTCATTGGAATATTTGTGAAATCCAAGTAAGTCTAAATGCATTCAGACTATTCTCAGAACTAGATCCTGTGTGACTTAGTCCAAACGTGAAAAAAAAAAAACATCAAAAGAAAAATTTGTCTGGGTATTTATTCTTAGGAAGCTTAACGGCACACAGCAGACCTAAACAGGTAAATTCTCAAAAGTATTGTTTCTATGGCATTTTTATTATTTACAATGTATATTAATAAATCTATCAGGAAAATATTTTTTTCTGAAAATTACTCCAAACATTTGCATTTCTTGGTATATTTTTAACCACTAAATTTGAAAAATGAACTCTATTTTTTTTTGCTGTTGTTGTTTTGTATTTGTTTGTATGCGATCTTTTCACCTCGTAAAGTCTTCTGCGCTTTTGGTGATTGGTGGTGACAACTCAGTGCAGAATTTGAGACGCAAGGGTTGAAGCCTTTCCCACAAAAATTTAATGAAAGCTTACCACGGGGATTGAACATTCATTGAAATGCATGCAAGCTACGAAGACAAATTTATCAGTTTCGAAGGCAAGTTTTGGCAATATGCCGGATATCTGAAACATCAGTTGGTCAGTTGTGAGCGGACTTGATCAATCGGTGCAGGTGACGAAGGTTTCACTTCTGTCAAGAGCTCACACATCGCCAGCATCTCTGTTCAAATACTTTGCAATGCCAACCAGTTCATCAACTGAACAAACTTATAATAGGAAACTCACCGTATATCATACAAACTCCCGTCTCGTGCAGAAAGCGGAAACGCTTTACTTTAAACAACCATACAGTTAACACGGTGATAATCAACAAAAACATCATGACAAGCAGGAATGCCGTGTCGATCTCACTGTATTTCTTCTCTTTCTCGGCAGCTTCCATCTCTTTGACTAAATCGCTGTCCTCATTTTGTGCTTCTATGATGGTGGAAAATGAAACTAGTAAAAAATAAGCTAAGAACGATAACCTTGATCGGCCGACCGCCATTTTGACACCCCGGTGACAGGACTCAATTCAGGCTCTCACGGCCATTAAATTCCGCTGGCATTAACTCGAAACTTGGGTCTATCGATAGGGGAGATTTTGCGCAATTTTCTGTCATTTTGCGATGGTTTTAGTTTTATTTCCCACCATCTGAGACCGTAGGTTAGATTTAAGACGACCAGATTTTACCCTTCGTCCTAATGCAAAGAGCTCTCGCTCGATCTTTTCCGAGGATTATTGTGAATTCAAATGATTTTTGCAAAGTTACAAGCCAACTTTACGGCTAAATAAAAAAAATCACTCAAACATATCTTTTTTTTGTTTTTGTTTCGTTTTTTTTTCAGCTAGTCTGACTGCTCTAAGTTAAGCTCATTTCAAGTAGGATTTTGTAACATGGACACTTCGTTTTCATCTTCTTTAAAGATAGGGGAAAATTTGAAGAGGAGGATCTTGCCATGGAGCAAAACTTTTAGATATTTATCACGAATACCGCCGGTAGACCATGATTCAGAAGATGTAACGTAAGGTACATTTAGCTCACGGCAATGAAAACGGAATGGGCTTTTTGAACTTTAAGAACATCGATCGCCACCGATTTAATAGCATTCAAAACAAACTACGTTGCAAGATATGGTGATTTTTATTTCAGCAATAAATATTATCACGAGCGTTTACGTCGTGCTTATTTCCTGCAAATATCTATTATTTACATTAAGAAAAATCCCTTTGTACAAGCACAAGATTTTTTTATCAATTGTTATTAAAAGCAGTTTAAAGCTGTTGCGTAAAATAGTCGCTGAAATGCAATATACTTGTAATACAATTTAGTAAGAATTGAAAAAAGATAAACTTAACCAGACTAACTAAAAACTTACAAATATGTAAAAAAAAAACAAACAAAAAAACAAAAGCGAGCAGACTGCGTTTTGCGAACGACAGACTTCGTCGGGTTTTCGATTATTTAAATATCTAATAAAAATGGGCCAGGTTTGGTGTTTCCTTGCCAGATAAAACTTGTCTAAGGCGTAATTTGTAGCATGCTATTTAAGCTAATTGATAAATTTAATCATGGAAGTTAAAGAGGCCAAGTGTTAATATTTCAAGTTATTTTTAGCCCTATGTATAGCTTCCCTAAACTTCAAGACGAGATTAAAATATTATGGGTGAGACAGGAAATCACAAACGGGAACAAAAGACTAAGATGGAACGAGTAAAACTGAGAATAAAGAAGATTAAATAAAATCAAAAGTGTCGTTTTAAATTTTGGTTCAATGTCTTAGCACAACCTCGTTGCTATGGACCTCCATTTTTTCGGAAGGAGCCTGAGTACGAGGTTGCTTTCAGGCCTTGTGACACTCTTCTTCCTTAGCCGGGTCATTCCTTGAAGGACCCTTAAAAAGCAATAAAAGACTTTTACTTTTTCCCTTGTCTTTATCTAAGGAAACGGAGGTTCAGAGCTACAAATGCAGGTTCTCATTAGGCATAGCAACCATTTGCAGTAAAAATGCTTATGAATATACATTTAAAAACTCGACTGAAGTCTTTACCGCGCAGTCTCACTACACCTATTACAAACTCGCTCCATTTGATCAGGCGAAAATAATAGAATGTATTACTTAGAATAAGACAAGTTGAAAAAAAAAATTGATACATCCACTTAAATGTTTTGAAATACTGTATGCTACAAATTTTTACATTATATACATAAGTTTACTAAATATTTTCGCTATTCTATAAATACTTCGTAACCAAACGTTTAAAAAAAAATTTTCAGATACAAAGTGAACATTTGCTATCAAAATGTTTACGAAGTTCTGCTCTCAGTCGAAGTGACTCTTCATATTTATTTATACTTTTATTACTCTGGTTTTCGTTTATCTTAACAAACTCTCCTTTTAGTTTATCCTTTTCATTTCAAAGGAATTCATCCAGAATATCGTTAGATAGGAACATTATGAAACTCATTTCTTGTCGGAAATCCCCACAATTCAGCTGAACAGTAAAGAGATGATTTGCATTTGTTCGCATTCGCAGAGCTTTAAATCTACTGAATGCTTGCGAGCTATCTCGGCAATGAATCTTTAAAGCTAATGTTTACGAAATAAAACTTGAACTCAAGACAAAAAAAATTTTTACACCATGGACTATTCCAAAAAACGTCGCTTTAAAAGCCTTCAAATAGAGATATCAAACCTGAAAAGTTGGTAGAAAATGACGAAGGAAAAACACCGATGCTTACCTTTTTCCATCCCATAAAAACAACACATGTACCGAAACATGCAGAAAACTACAAATAAAGTAACTATCTACATGTGCACATACTACAGTTATTTTCGACTTATTTTAATTTTTAACTTGATTCTTTGCAATATTACCAAACGTGAGGCCTAAAATTAAATTATATTTCAACTGAATCGATTTAAACTAATTTGGAATTGACGTCAACTATTTCCTGCGCTTAGCACAGTTAGCCCCCTTGCTTCCCGCGCTTAGCGCAAAGGCACCACTCGTATCCCGCGCTCGGCACAGGGTGTCCACGCTACACGAGTGCTTTGTTGGAGCTTGCGCTCTTTTGAAATTGATAGCTGATATCATCTAGGCCTACTGAGTTAATTATTATTCAACATTTCTTACGAAAAACGTGTACCTCTTTATAACGAAAACCGAGAAGCACTGTATTTTGCACGAAAGCATACCATTCAGCTTAGCTAGATTTAAACATATCACACAGCATTCTCTCGATGGGTACGTTATCAAGAGCTCCGCGGAAGAACAAGTCTTCTATCATCTTGGGACTGACTGATCGTAATGATGGTAGCATCAACAACAGCTTTCCGAATCTCACTTGCTGGTCAGGATTTTGGCTGCGGCAATGTTCTCCCAGCATGGCTTGTGCTTGATCTTGAAGTCTTTCAACCATGTGAGGTGCTCGGAGACCACGAAGGTCTACAATGAAAAATTTACACAGAGCAAGGTAATTAATCGCTTTTTATTATAAATCTACCAGCGTTCTACCAAAATGCCGCAATTTTACTGGTCAGCCACCATTTTTTTCCGTGGTAAACAGTGAATGATTCAACAGTGTGCGGTTGGAAACAGAACAAAAGAAAAAGATCAACTTGTCTTGTTTACAGATTGTTAAGTTTTTTATTTAACAGTAGCTAGATTTATACTAAAACCACTTGATTGTTCAATCTCTATTTCTATGTGCGATTGCTGGTTTTGTCTTTGACTTCATAAACCATCATCCGATAGAAAACTATAACACATGGTCTGTTAGCTAAATCGACGCCAGGTGAAGAAAGTAATAATATCAAAGCGTCCATAACAGCACAACAATATCCGAGAAATACTGCGACTTGACAGAAACAGGTTTGTGCAGCAATGAGCAAAAAATTCGCACGTTTACAGAAATCAAAATGGAAAAAAAAAATCCCTCGACAACAAAAGAAGGAGTGGGAGGGAAAACAAGACACTGACCACCAACTTTTCATTAATTCCTATTTTCAACTACATTCTCAAGCTGAAAATTCCCTCTTACCTGGCTTGAATAGAACAATGGCTTTCAAACACGCGTACTCAGTAGAGTCAATCTCCACCCGCTTGAATCTCGCCACCACATTTTGTAACAGACGGATGTCCGCCATTCCCGCCACGATTTTATCTGTGGGAGCTTTATCTACCTGTAGACCAGCTGCAGACAGAAGTGGCCCCATATCTACGGGTAAAGAGAACTGGGCGGCGCTCAGAACGAAAAGCTCACTCCATCCTTCCTCCAGCAAGATTGCTTGATCACGGAAAGGAAGATCCAAAAATGTTGGTATGTTTCTTGCCCAAGTGACTGACATGTACAATAATTGCACAGCCGACTCGTATACAGACTCTGGGGAGGGCTGGTACACAAGTGGTGACCTTTCTCTGGGGTCTTCACTCTCGTGTTTAGGAATAGTGTCAGTAGTACTTGATGAAGGTTGCGCAGAGTTGTCTTTTGTGTCGATCAGACTTGCTATGGAAAGAAAGTTGCGCTTCTTGGAGGAGTCTGGTGACTGGTTGTTATTCTGGCCGTGGTACTGAGGGACTGGGGGCGAGAAGCGTGATATGTCGCTCAATCTGTTCGATTCCAGTTCTCGCTCAGGGCTGCCCCGGCGCTGTGATCTGTCACCCGGGTTGCTTTTGGAATAAGAATATAGCTGTTCTGGGATAGCGTGTGCAGGAGGTTGTTCATACGAACCACTGAGCACTGAGCACGTGGGGACAACTGGGACAACCTGCGAGGAGCGTGGGGCTCGCTCGTGTTGGACGGCTGCAGAAAGAAAGAAACAAGAAAACAAATTTCAAACTCAGAAATTTTATCCAATGTTTACATGTTAATGGTCAAACTCTGTATCGGTTATTCAAAGTTCAGAACTGGACAAAAATATATATATTTTTCAAGAGCGATGTCATTTAACTTGATCGAGAAACAGATAAGGATTGTCTCTTTGAAGAGATTCTTAAAAGTCTGCTTGAAGTTTCGCGGCACTAAAGTCTGTTCAGTTTGTTCCCGTCTGCGAAATTGATCATAACATCATAAAATTAACTTTGTTCGCCAATTTGGTCTGAGCGTATTTCTTCCCAACAGTTTGTCTTACAGTATTGCATCAGCGGTTTCATCCATGGGCGATATTTTTGCCTCCTTTCCTCTAAAAATTAACGTGTTGCATTTTCATTTGAAAATAAGTAACTTCACTAAAAATGTCTTAGAATAAAATCAGTCACTACGTTGCTTTACTCCGCTGTAAAACTTCTCTATCCCTAGGCAAAAATAATTTCACATGCTTACCGCAATACTAACGTCGTTATCATTTTTCAAATTATTTTTACAGCCACCAACTAAAAACCGCATCGCATCGCTCCCTGAAATTACCAAACTTTATTCTATATTTCGTAACTTAGATACCGTGAGGTATGCGCTGTAGATTGGTAATTGCAAGAGAATATAGACAGTTTATATTCTCTTTGTAATTATTAATTTAATTCGTATCCATGGAAAATAAAACTTAGAGAGAGCAACACGAGTCTTAATACAAAACCCCGCGAGCTGGAAATTATGAAAGGAGAGCGTTTTTTTTTTTTGGATAGCAATACAGCACCCACTAAAGTCTCGCAACAGATTCGGGAAAAAAAGGAAAGGTTAAGTCATTCTTTGGCAAATACGTACGTGAGCAAAATTTTCGTTTAAATCCCTCTATTGGCATTGAATCCTAAAAGTTGAAGTTTAATTGACAGACTTAGCCTGCACAAACGGAAATTACGCCAGTTTTTCAATGCAAAATAAAGTTGTCTTCAGAAAACGGATTATGTCATAATTGGATGAGAGCTATCAACAAAATTGTTAAGGTTGTATTAGCAAAAATTATCCAAAAAAAAAAAACAACAACAAGTTCCAAAGTCAAGCTAAGCAAAATCGAGGTGTCTCTCATTTGGTCTTTAATCAGGACTGCTAGACTGAGATTTGTCATAAAAACAATAACTCAGGGCGTTTGAGAAAAGGAAAGATAAAAGACTGAAAAATTTTGATGCTCTGAAAACAGGAAGTTTAGAAGGTGTTTTCTATGCCGACAACAGCTTGACGTTGGTTGACACTCGATCTATATCGAGCATACTTTATAAAAGTCAGAATATTTACCTCACTCCCCTTTTTTTTTTTTGGATCGGTTTAGAGGTATTTTTTTCCACAATTTCACAGACATTAACAGGATTAGTAGAACATTTCTAAAACTGAAACCATGTCTTTTCAGATGTAAATCAATGATCGAGGGGGGGAATTGCTAATTTGGGAAAATTACACTCGGTTGCCATGACCCTTAAATGAAAACTAATATTGCGCCGTCTTTTGGAGACACCATTGATCGTTTTAGCAGATATAGATAATGGCTTGTTTTTGAAATTGAAGAGTTGCCAAATAAATTTTCTGAAAGCCTAAGCAACGGGTCTTGAAGATACACAATGAACAGGCTGGCAGATTAGCAATCTGTCGCACCTATGGAAAGCATCTTTAATTTGGCAGAGTTCCGTTACGTTATGATGCCAAAGAAACGACAAAGTCGTGCACGATTCGCACTAATGATATGCGTCTCAGAGTGCAATTCCCGGTTTGAATACGCCCACTAAGACCTGCAGTTGTTAGCATAACTTTTGTTTTCTTCCAGCTTTTGGGTTGACGCCCGCACGACTTGATCACGCCTGAATGTTGAGTCAAACGAGGCCTTTGTGAATTATTAAACACCGACCGATTCTAAACCAAAAACACCCCTTAGGTCGCCGAAAACCGCAGCCTATAAATGTTTTGATACCTGCCTATCGGCCGCAGCCATCAGTTATAAAGCAAGGAATTCCAAAGTGAACTCCGGCTCAAAATAGTGCCATGCCAAAGGACTTGAAAAAAGAGAGCAGAACTCAAACGCAATTCGATACATTTTCATTAGCGAGTATAGTTCTAAAGGGAAAAAGGGAAAGATCTGCAATTAAGATTTCATTAATAATAAATGAGACCCGCTCTCTATAGTTTGAACTGTTGAAATGCAGATGTTTCCTTTGGCGCAATGATCGGAACTTCGTTCTCGAGCTGAGCGGAGAACGATTTATTTCTTCTAAACTCGATCGTAGAATTATTGAGTAGACTCAACATTTTGTAACTTCGTTTGTTTGATCCATCCATATTTTTTTCTACCTTATGATATCAGCGCCTGGGCGCTAAATGAGTTCCCTAAGGTAATAAAGAACACAATCACAAGCCTTGTGATGAAATTGATAAATTTATCCGTGATGTCCAGCTGATGCGTTTGGGCGTGAAAATAAATTTCCAAGTTTACCTTTTTCTTTCGCAGTAAATTAATTTTCTTAACAGCATTTCCACGGAGAAGTAGATAAAACGAGAAATAATTAAACGGTTTTCTTCTTAGTAAACAATTAATTTAAACGCGGGTGAGATTTGCCGAGCACTGATCGCCATTCGTAGTTAGAAGTCCGGTTAAATTCCTCAAAATAATTCAAATTAGATTTTCGGATACAAAGAGAGATCATTAGTTCTCGATTATGCTTCATTTAGAGAACTTTAAATAGATTTTAAACCTTCGCAGTTTGTACGCTCAGTTTTGCGTCCCAATAAAAACTTCTGCATCGTGCTTGCACGCCTCAGCGATTTTACCAAGACACGCAAACCCAAAACAGCTTAGTCGAATTTCCGGCGTTTGCAGAATCGATGGCCAAATTTTACAAGACGGTCAAGAACCGTAATAAGTCAAGAAATAGTGTTGAACTTTGTTCGCTTACCGTCTTTGTTCATCTTAACTTCAAAGCACTTCTTTAACCTGCAAGCCTGGCATTGATTTCGTCGCGTTACATCCACAGTACAGTTGCCTCTTTCCTTGCACTGATATGTTAAATTACGACGGATACTTCTCTTGAAAAAACCTCGGCATCCGTCGCAGGTGAAAACCCCGTAGTGTTTTCCAGAAGATCTGTCCCCGCAGACCCGGCACAGGATGATGGGCTTGCGATCTAAGGCTGAAAGAGGACGAATTCAGTAGCTTTATTCAGTGGCTAACCAGCGCTAATTTGGAAAAAATTTCTCAACAAGAGCCGAAGTGAGCCAATCACCTTCCTAGAAACCGCGCTTTGTTTCTGCAGAAAGGCTCCGTAGATGAAAGGTAAGATGTTGATGAGGACAAATCTGGCTTATTGCTCTCTGAGAAGTGCTTGCGACTTCATTCGATCAACTAGTGGCCATGCGAAATCAGTGCGAATGAAAAACCGCGTCGTAATCGCGAACAAATCGCGCATCCCTGACAACAAAAGAAGTCAAAAAATTTTGCAGCCTTTTTGCGATTTTTTTTAATAGCCTCGAATGAGCTTCGTTGGCCCTAAATGCGAGCCTTGTTTTTTTTAAACAACGCTCTTATCACACTTTGCGTCGATATTTCGAGCGGGCGAGAATCAAAACAAGAATATGATGCCAGCATGCAACACGCCTTAAAGTTCATCCTTTCAAAACTAGATACATTTCTCCACACGTTGCTTCCCATCTAGTTAAAAGGAAATTAGCTTAATTGTTTGCGGTGCATCACAGAAAGAGGAAATTCAACGTAAAAATATTTTTGAGACCGTTCATTGACTTCACGTGTTAAATACCGGCGTGAAAAGGCAAGTTAAAAAGAGTCACTAAAATTGTTACATCTTCGCATACCTTGCATTGTCTGTTGTGTTTCCAAGGAGAGCTGAAGTGAAGAACGTTCCATAAACGATCCTTTGGTTGTGTTTAAGAGACAACACCTTGCTTTTAATTTACTAGGCAAGCAGCTGAGGTGTTTAAGCGATTTCTCCAGGCAAACGGACAAGTTAAGTGAAATTTATCCACGGGAATGAAAACGAACAGGTGCGGGCGTCTAGCTGCAGCCTGATTGGTCACTGGGTGATTATTGCGACATTTCGACGCTTCCCATTGGCCGCTCTTAGAGAGGAAGAAGTAGTCGTTTGCCCATACAAGAGAGGTAGCGATTGCCGTGTGTGGAAATAGACATGATAGCGACAAACTGTATATCTGTTTACATGCTAATAAGATTACTCATCAATAGTTTACGCCGTTTCTTTATTGAATGTAGCAACGGATCGTGCGTTATTGCACTCAAAGAAAAGCGTGGAATTGAAAGCTCGAAATCACACCGTTCCCTGGCATGAAGCGTTGTGTGCGAGAAGTTGCATCAAGGGTTATAAACCACAAAGCCAAAGAGCTTGGAATCTATTCATCGCGACTGATTGCATAAGATTTAATGAGATCTTTTCAAGATTAATTATTTTTCCTTCTGAAGGCTTCCTTTAAAAATTGCGCTGACAAAGACGCAGGCGAAAGAACGAGAGAGCTTTGTTAATACAAAAGAATCGAAGACAATTTAAAACCAGTGGAATTTCCATTATAATTCTTTTACTGGCACGTGCAGCGAAGAACACAAAGTCTAATCATTTTCCACCTGGCAGTAAGCGCACTACGCATGCCCAGCTTTTCGCTATTACCGTCGATTGCTAGAACAAAGTTGTTAAAAATTTATGCAAAGTTTTGGCAGGTAAAGAGCTTAATGAGCGAAGGTATAAAATTCACCACCGTTAAACAAGATTAAACTCACTGAACTGTCACTAAGGTCTCTTTTCAGTTGAAATACAGGCGGTTACCACGGCGAAAAGCCCAATTTTGCCGGTTGTGAAATATTTTCAGATTTAGCTCCCTCAAAGGAAAAATTGTTATTAATTTTAAAATTGCCCTGTAATGTAAACAGCAGTAGTGCGGTCATGTTTCCTAGTGGTCTGTCAAAGATGCTTTGACAGTAATATTTGACCTAATTAAAAGGCTCTCTCCAAAGGCTGCAGATGTTCCGAACTGCCCCACTAAGACCAAAACCGGAGTGCTTTATTTATATAAGATGCCCATACGATCTTGTAATCGATGAAGCCATTAAAAAGGCAACTGAAGGATAACAAATCTTGATAGTTTTATGACAAAGGCTCTTGATGTTTTCACGTCTTTGGAAATCTCTGACGAAACCGCCAAAGTTAATCTGATGCAAGAAAATAAAAGCAAATTACCGCCAACCCCTGTAAGTGAAATTTTACCGAGAGGAAATTATTTCAATGAAAATGAAGATCACTTACAACGGCTTTTGCCTTCTTATATGGAAATAATACTTTTTTATGAATGAACCTTTTTTTTTACTTTATTGGCGATTCCCTTCGACACACTGTGTTATCAAAACAGTCATTTGAAACGGAGAGTGCTGATATCAAGTTTTGTAATCTTATTACGTACACGTTTTCAGCGAGTAAAGTTATTTCCCACAGCGAAGTGGACCAAAATATCACAAATGTTTCTGATCTACGAAATTATTGTCCTTTTTTTGTGACCAGTTTTGCGACTAGGACGAACCAAAAATATTACAAAGACGAAAAGATTTCCCCCTAACTACGTCGGTCCAGTGAAAACTTGGTTGAAATCCAATGGCTACGAAATTATTGGGTTTTTTTTTTGCGACCAGTTTTGCGACCAGGACGAACCAAAAATGTTACAAAGACGAAAAGATTTTCCCCTAACAACGTCGGCCTAGTGAAAAATTGGTTGAAATACAATAGCTCTTATTTATCAATGACTGTGACCTTCCAACGTGTTTATGTTCCCACAAAGACGCAAGTGTTGGTTTATCGAAGGGAATCATTCAGAGATGAGCCTATCAGACTGTCTGCGACCAGACGACGAGAATCTAGCAAGTCAATAGGGCGGTATACGTGGACAAATAAACGGCAAAGAGAGCAGAGGCCAATGGGCCGGTTATTTAAACATAGTTTAGCCGCTGTTTAACAAAACCGAGTCCTAAACAATCCTAAGTTTGCTAGATCTTTCATCTAAACATTTCTTTTTGGGCACATTGTCAAGAAGGCCAAAACTGAAAACGTAATGATATTTATTTCATGCGCTCTACCTTCAAAAGAGATCCAATGAAATGACTGTGATGTAAAATGAAATAATGACATTCTGGATTGGAGAGAGTGCAAACTTTTTGCGAGCTTTCTCTTTTAATGTATTTTAAAATTTGTCTAGGTTTTTTTATAATTATTATCATACACTTAGCCGCAGTTTCATTTGAATTACCTGGGAAGGTTTGTAGTTTCCTCAGAATAACGAAAAATTGATCTCACGCAACAGTTTATAATCTGTTGCTCCCACTATGAAATTGTTTTTTGAAAACTTTACATAAAACTAGTCTTAATATGCTGATTGGAAATTATCGTACAACTTGAGAAAGAAAAAAAAAAGAATAAATAAAAAGCGGGATTACTGCTATTTTTCCAAGTTCAGGCGCCTACTGGTAACATTAAGGGTATTTCTTGAAGACTTTGTTGTTGCTATAGTAACTTGCGTCGAAGAAATGACCTAAAAGAGCGTGATTCTGGTGAAGAATTTGTGCCGCTACTGACTTCCAAATTGAAAAATTATAGTCGTAATGATTCATTAAATTGTAGATGCTAGGAAAATAGTGAAACCCTCTTTAAACCTCGCGAGCATTCTGCACTGTAACTTTCTATTTCCTTTCTTGTTGCCAATTGTGGGTATAGAAAGAGAACTTCAGTGCTGGTGATGTTCGAGTCATAAAAAAAAGCTCCCTATTTTTAAACAGAAAGAAGGCGATCCTCTATTTCCAAAAGATTTGAATAAGTTGACTGAGAGAAGTCACCCTTTCTACAGTAACGAAAGGAAATGATGTAACAATTGGCGAAAAAGAATGATTTTCAAGCGCCATTGGAAATGAGAGGCTCGCTTTGGTATGGAATAATTCACTAGATAATGCTTTTTTCAGAAATATTAACCAAAAGGCGCATAAATTAAGTTCTGATAATTAATTCTCGTCTCTGTAATTAGTAACGAGAATTTGGTGTCAGGTCGAGATATCAACTTCAACCTGATAAGTTTGAGTATTCTTATTTCCTCTTTGCTGGATAATGTATGGATTTTACGGGGAGAAGTTACATGTTCATAATTTCAAGGAGTTGAAAGGTGAAAATGAAATACCTAGCGCAAGTGAAAGAAAACAGAGAAATCTCAACTACTAGAAGTCGTCCGCCGTCCGTCGTCGACAGTCCGTTCCCTGAAATTTGTTCATACGTAACTGTTTTGTTACTTTCTTTGGGCTTACGCAGCTGAGATGGTAAATTTCACAAAAGGAAACCTATTTAAAACTAATAAGTGAAGACACTGTGTATTACAAAACAAATCAATGACTTAAAAAATCTAACGATGAAAAATTCAAAAATTAGTTTAAATTGCCAAAATGGGTTAAAATATTTGATACTGCAATTTGGTAAATTTAGGACAGGCCGAAAATATTCATTGGTACTAGCCAAGCAAAAGTAGTCGTTATTTTAAAGAGTCATTGAACTCGTCTGAAAATAAAGAGTTAATGAACTGGTCATGCTTTTATCTACAGGTTCCCCACCTGTAAGCCAAACGTGACTCTTATTTGCATTTATTATTCAGTTCTACCTGTCATGCATGGTTAGACCACAGATCAAAAGACAAAACGTCCTCGTGGAATTGATTTCTCCGTAGGAGACCGTGGTAGACTGCTTGGATGATCCTGTGTGCGGCAGGAAAAGAAATTGAAGAGGGCTCAGGACAAGACAATCGTACCAATTTATTCTCGCCTAAAGCTCAACGGATCAGCCCTGATCAGGGAATAATGAATTCGACAAAATTGAACACCTATGTCTGCAATTTTATTTTAAATGTTCAAGTCTCTACTTTAAATGAATTAAGGTAAGGTAAAGTAAAGGGCAGTGATAAAAACATTGTATCTTAAAGTTAATAAAACTAATAATGCAATTAGTGAATAAATAAAGTAATCATTTAATCCATGGACGAATTTAATTTAATACAAGCAAAACTTGGTTTTGATGACAGGGCTTGAGCAAAAAATTTTTGAGCAAGGGGGGAGGGGCTATTTACAAACGGATAGGCTTCAGCCAACTAGGCAGGGGGGAGGATAGGGGTATGCTTAGCAGGACAAGTCTCTGTTAAAAGTGGGGGGACGGAGCTGAAGCTTTCCTTCGCGTCCCTCCCTCTGCACGGTCACTGTATGAGGGGTATACCGATAGGCGAAGCGTGAAGAATGAAGCACTGTTGAAGTCAAACGGGCTTAGAGCACTACAGGTGCCTATGAGAGTTGTGTTTCCATGGAAATATGAACGCCATAGATTGTAACAATTTGGTGGACAGGACAGGAAAAATTGAAAGAAAGGAGTGTAGAAGGATGGCGTAGGATACTCGTCCTTTCTAGGAGAGGAGGCGGTGAGGTGTGAGCGCGCAGGGATTATATGGAAAAAAATTAGCGAGCGATTTATAAAATAAGAATGAGTAAAAAATAATTTCGTTCAAGTTATCATTCCTTTCAAAGTTCGCCATCTTCGCATTTTCTCTGAAGTATCTTTAGCGATGAATCGTTCACCTGGCAGGCTTTAGCACAACGAAGTTTGAGGCTGATATTTGCCAAAGATTTTCTCGCAAAGCATTTTGTTTCAAAGACAATGTGCCCTACGAGTGTAAGAATGTAAAGATCAGCTATATGAAGAAAATTCGGAAATTTTGGAAGGGATACCACTCGTTTCTATTAAGACTCTTGATAGTCCTTGATTTTTTAAGTCAAACAGGATGTATCGTTATTCAATTCTATCAACTGGGGTACTTCAAACGTTTTAAAAGATTATTATCAGAATAGGCTACATTTTTAAAAGCATGAGGCTTTAAAGGAAGGCCTCAATGGGGTTAGCGGTAAAATGGCAGAAACGTTTAGCCGATAATTTTTAAATTTTAAATTTAAATTTTAACGGTTAGTCGTTAAAAAAAGTAAACTGCATAAAATTTATATTTTAAAGGCTTAAATGTAAACGCCATCGCTCAAAAGCTTAGCCGTATTTAGATTCTGATTCTGCATTGGATTACTACAAACAAGACTTGGTATTTTGAAGTCATTGTAAGACTGAGTCTGTCGTGGCCCGCACACAGCATTAGGGCCTGCGGAATAAAATCCTCTCCTCAAGACCAAGTTTCCCACTGACTTCACGCGACTATTTTCGGTGGTATATCAGAAACTTTCATCTCCGATTGATTTTAAAGAAAGATTTATTTCTAAAATTAAGAAAAATAATGATCAGCTCCCAGTTAGCTTGAGTTAGTAGAGCACGGCACCGATATCGCAGAGGTCATGAGTTCAAATCCTGTGCAGGCCCAAATTTTTTTCAGGCCTTCTTTCCACTACTGCTTAAGTAGTGTTCATTACTGCGAAGATCGCTTTCATATTCATTTCTTTAACCGCAGTTCAGATTTATGTCTTTTATATATTTACAGTCATTGATTCCTCATCTCACGGGTTTATTATGATCCAACATAATGGGCCAGCTCCCAGTTGGCTCGTTAACTTAGTTGGTAGAGCACCGCACCGGCTACGCAGAGGTCATGGATTCAAATCCTGTACAGACATTAATTTTTTTCAGGCCTTATTTTCTCGCTCAGTTAAGCAGTGTTAACTACCGCGAAAATCGTTTTCATATTCATCTAACACTTATTAACGCCACTGGTACAAAAAAAACTCTGGTCTATTGAACTTCTGCCTAAGCAACGGAAATATACCCAGAAACTTAATGACAGGTGTTGAAGGCCTAAATATAATGACTGTCCTAAATGAAATGAAGTCCTAAATGTAATTACATTGATTCCTAAATGTAATAGGCAATTAGCCCTAAATTTAATAAGCCTCCAATGCAATCGTTTAACTCCGCCAATGCATTGTTGTTGTAACGGACGTTAAAGTAACAGCTGTTGCAACAAGCAATCTTCTCACCAGTATTCATGTCACATTGTGGGCTCGCTGATATCAATCAGCGTCTTTCTATTTGGTAGACTTACGTCGAGAAGCATTGGCTGCAAACCGCGCCGTTATACTGATTAACAATGGCATCAAATGACAGCCGGCAAAACAATGAGTACGCGGACCAATAACTCTCCATATATTATTGGCTCAGACTCTTAAGTACAGTTAATTTTTACATGGTGTTAAAGTGCAAAAAAAATTAGATGAAGTAGAAAAGGACAAAATAAGTGAGTCGTTCAATTTCTGATAACAGCTACTTGTGTCAACATGGCTGCAAACGACACATTCATAAATCTCTCCACCACGAATCAATACAGGTCAGTGATGTTCTGCCCTAAACGTTCAAACCTCAGCACGGATCTAAACAATACAACTTTCTCTTGGATATTAGTGGCCATAATATTTATTACCTCTCCTTTTACCGTTCTCTTCAATTCCTTGGTGATTGTTGCATTGAAGAAAAGAAGAGAACTTGAAAAACTTTCGAATATTTTGTTATGCAGCATGGCCGTCACAGATCTCCTAACAGGAGCTATAACTATGCCGCTTTCTGCCACTTTCGATGTGTTGATATTAAGCCATGTTCGATATGAGTACATCTGTCCGATAGATTTCTTGGTAAACAAACCATTGATCTTTTCACTGTCCATATCATCGTTATACCACTTAACTGCCATTGCGTGGGAGAGGAACATGGCGCTAAAAAGCTGGATAAAATACAGGAACAAAGTTACAGTGTTTTGATAGTTTGCTGCTTGGCTGCCATTTGCTACTTTTATTTCATGATTTTCCTGGAAGTGCGGAAACGTGACCGAAATCAAATCAACCAAGTTGCCTTTTTAGCCCATACTAGACTCGAAAGTAAGGTGGCTAAAACAACAGCTATGATAACTGTTACAATAGTTCTATCCTTCGTTCCACTAATTAGTAGAGCCATTTTCCCCGCTTTCCGTTCTTATGCTGCTAACCGCTCCGCAGAAACGGTGGTGCAGTTTAATTCTTTAGTAAGTCCTATCATGTACTCGTACAGAGACAAACGTTTTCGAAACGCTATCCTAGAGCTCTTAGGCGTCAAGAAATCGCAACAACGACTTGACGGCCGAAGAAATTTAAGAAGACGAGAATCCGTAGGATTGGTAAATCTAGCGGAGCAAACACAGGGCACCCTAGTTCCACTCTCAAAAAGATCAGCTTCGGTTGAGCCTTCTAGAAATCCAAAGATGCAAGTGAAAAGATCTCTGTCCGATCCCACGCCTACCAAATGTGACAAAACGTGCATTGCCCATCCTAGTAAATTAAAGTTACAGCAACGCGCGACCATTTCTATGACAAGCGCCGCAATCCACCATGAAACGCAAAAAAAGCAAAGGAGAATTCATGCTGCTCTGTCAATTGCACAAACCAGTGTGGTATCGCCCAAAGGAATGGTGAATCCTAGCCGTGTATTGAGTTACAAATCTTGGGATAAAAGAGCTAAAGGAAACATATCCAACAGCCGGCAAAATAGTCAATTAAAGGAAACAACACGACGACGGAAAACAGCGCCATCAAACGTCATCCATCCCAATGAAAAAACAGCTCAACACAAGGTTTTGAAGAAATCGGTCACCAATTGCTCAGAATGTCCTTTCTGAAGAAACAAACTATTAACATACAAACAGTGCAAGAGGGATGTAAAAGAATCGAACAGTTTTTTTTCCGATTTCTTTATTCGATATTTTGTTCTCGATATTTATTTATTGCCTTGATCGTCTTGAAATGGTGCTGCGAATTATGTTTTTTAGTTTTTTTTCGTTTGAAAGCCCTAGAAAGCTTAGAGAAGCTTAAATTTTTGGCGTAGTGGCAAGAGGAGGTTGGAATCAGAAATATAGTGATATTGTTGAGAATATACTCGCCTCGTTTGCACAATTTTACTCAGGAAAGAACATGGTATGACAAAAAATTGCCTTAGGAAACGATTGACGAGCAACTGAAATGTAACATTAGTGGTACTTTGACAAATACAGAACTATATGTAAATGTAGCGGGCTGGTCGAGTGAATACATCATTTTCTATAATATGGAGGTACGAAGCGATGATGATATAGATAAAGTTGTATGAGAAATAAATCATGTAAATCGGTTATGTTCACAATTTAATATGGAAAGAATTGGGAAACGCTGGGGATTAAAGCTAAAAACTGTTATGTTGACAGCCAAGTTACCTTGGAAGTAATTCTCATGCTCCATTTTGCTTTCATATTTTTCTAATGTTTTGAGCTTTATATATTGCCTGGCAACATATTGACAGATTCACTCCAAAGAGCTCTACACGGTTATCATGAAACAAATTAAGGCTAAAGTGAATTATAAACTAAAGGAACGATCCATTTATAAATTGAAGTGATTACACCTTTCAATTCTTAGAGTTACCGCAGATAAAGTGTCAGGAAATGAACTTTTTCGGTTATTGACGTGAAAAGGTTATCTGAACTCTGATTCCAGCTGGTATTGATGGAAAAAAATTCGTTTCGACATCTTAAAAAAAGTTTCAAATTTACAATTAATAAAAGTGCATGTTTATCCTTAAATTGGTTCAACTGCATGCCGCATGGAAATCAGTGGAAATGATTCTTATGTACCACTGTGTTCCCTGGGTTCATTTGTTCCTGAATAGTGGGAAATGTAAAACAAAAGCTTTGGAAAGAGTCTTTTTTTGAACATCTGGAGTTTCGGTTTGTTCCACCTGTTCATGTTGATCGTCACACATCTTTCGTGACACACGGCGCAAACAAGAACAGGTATCAAACCAGTTGAGTGGTTTTCCCTGTAAGACTACAGCGCCAAGGCGTTGAAACGGAAAAGAAAAGCGTAAGTCTTCTGGAAAACGCGAATTGTCGAACGCATCAAAACATCCGCCCTAGAGGTAATGCTTTATTTATCAAGATGCCCATGCGATCTTGTAATCGATGAAGCCACTAAAAAGGCTACTGACGGATATTAAATCTTGATAGTTTTATGACAAAGACTCTTGATGGTTTCACGCCTTTGGAAATCTCTGACGAAACCGCCAGAGTTAATTTGATGCATGAAAATAAAAGCAAATTACCGCTAACCCCTGTAAGTGAAATTTTACCGAGAGGAAATTAATTCAATGAAAAATGAAGGTCACTTACATCGGCTTTTGCTATCTTATATGAAAATTGTACTTTTGGCGATTCCTTTCGACACACTGTGTTATCAAAGCGGTTATTTGAAACGAAGAGTGCTGATATCAATTTTTGTAACCTTATTGCGTACACGTTTTTAGTGAGTAAAGTTATTTCCCACAGTAAAGTGGACCAAAATATCACAAATGTTTCTTACGTACGAAATTGCGACTTGGACGAACCGAAAATGTTACAAAGACGAAAAGATTTCCCTTAACAACGTCGGTCCAGTGAAAACTTGGTTGAAATCCAATAGCTCTTATTTGTCAATGACTGTAACCTTTCAAAGTGTTTGTGTTCCCACAAAGACGCAAGTGTTGGTTTATGGAAGGGAATCGTTCAGAGATGAGCCTATAAGATTGCTTGCGACCAGACGATGAGAATCGGCTAGCAAAACAATAGGGTGGTGTACGTGGACAAAGAGACGACAGAAAGAGCAGAGGCCAATGGGTCGGTTATTTAAACATTGTTTAGCCGCTGTTTAACAAAACCGAGTCTTAAACAATCCTAAATTTGCTGGACCTCTATCTAAACATTTCTTTTTGTGCACATTGTCAAGAAGGCCAAAACTGATAGTGAAATGACATTTATTTAATTAAATCAACCCTGAAAAAGCCTGAGGTCCGCTGATTGCGTAAAGCAAATTAATCATTTTAAACTCGTTTTCAAGTTACAAGGAACTATGATTTAAGTTCATTCTCTTAAAGATGCTGCTATCAGTTGGTACATGTTCCCAAAGAAAAAGAAAAAAAAATATAGTCACGCGCTCTGGCTTCAAAAATGATGTCTGTCTGGATTTGAGAGAGTACAAACTTTTTGCGAGCTTTCTACGTGATCAGTCGCATTGTTAGTTTTTTAATGTATTTGAAATTTGTTTAAATTTTTTATCATTATTATTATCACCATTATATTTTAAGACACGTAGCTGCAGTGTCACTTAAATTACTTGGGAAGGTCTGTAGCTACCTCAGAATAACGAAAAATTGACCGCACGCCACATTTTATAATCTCTTGCCCCCACGATAAAACTTTTTTTGAAAACTTTACATAAAACTAATCCCAATATGTTGATTGGAAATTATCGTACAACTTGATAAAGAAATAAAAGGATAAATAAAAAGCGGGATTACCGCTCTTTTTCCAAGTTCTGACACGTACAGCTAACATTAAGGGAGCTTCTTGAAGACTTTGGTGTTGCTATAGTGACTTAAATGACCTAAAACAGTGTGATTCTGATAAAGAATTTGTGCCGCTACTGACGTCCAAATTGAAAAATTATAGTGGTATTGATTCATTAAATTGTAGATGCTAGGAAAATAGTGAAACCCTCTTTAAACCTCGCGAGTATACTGCTCTGTAACCTTCTATTTCCTTTCTCGCTGCCAATTGTGGGTATAGAAAGAGAACTTGAGTGCTGGTGATGGTCGAGTCATAAAAAAAGCTCCCTATTTTTAAACAGAAAGAAGGCGATCCTCTATTTCCAAAGGATTTGAATAAGTTGACTGAGAGAAGTCACCCTCTCTACAGAAACGAAAGGGAAATGATGTAACAATCGGCGAAAAAAATTAATTTTCAAGCACCATTGGAAATGAGAGGCTCGCTTTGGTATGGAATAATTCACTAGATAATGCTTTTTCAAAAATATTAACCAAAAGGCGAATAAATTAACCCTTTAACTCCTAAGTTCTCATTATTAACTCTCGTTTCTGTCATCCTATCCCATCCCATCCTATTTTTAAACAAGAAAAAGCAATCCTCTCTTTCTAAAGGATTGAAGAGTTCACCAAGATCAAATGAGTTGGCTGAGAGAGGTCCCCCTTTCTACAGTAACGAAAGAGAAATAATAAAACAATTGACGTAAAATATGATTTTCAAGCACTACTGGAAGTGAGAGGCTCGGTTTGGTATCGAGTAATTAACTAGATGATGCTTTTTCAGAAATATAAACCAAAAGGTGCATGAATAAACCCTTTGACTCCTAATTTCTGATCATAAATTCTCTTCTCTAACTGCTATACATTTACCTGTAAATTAGTGACGAGAATTTGGTGTTAGGTCAAGCTATCAACTTCAACCTGATAAGTTTGATTATTCTTATTTCCTGTTTGCTGGATAACGTATTTATTGTACAGGGAGAAGTTATTTGTTCATAATTTCTGGGAGTTGGAGAGTTAAAAAGAAATACTTGGCGCAAGTGATAGGAAACCGAGAAATCTCAACTACGGGAAACCGTTCGCCCTTCCTTGTTCGCCGTCCGCCGTCCGCCGTCCGTCGGTTTAATGCAAGCAAAAAATTCTTGAGCAAGGGGGAAGGGGCTATTTACAAACGGACAGGCTTCAGCCAACTAGGCAGGGGGGAGGATAGGGGCATGCTTAGCACGACAAGTCTTTTTTAAAAGTGGCGGGGGGGCGGGGCTGAAGCCCTCCTTCTCGTCCCTCCCTCTGCACGGTCCCTGTATGAGGAGTATACCGATAGGCGAAGCGTGAAGAATGAAGCACTGTTGAAGTCAAACGGGCTTAGAGCACTACAAGTACCATAAGAGTTGTGTTCCCGTTGAAATATGAACGCCATAAATTGTAACAATTTTGTGGACAGGACAGGAAAAATTGAAAGAAAGGAGTGTAGAAGGATGGCGTAGGATACTTGCCCTTTTTAGGAGAGGAGGCGGTGAGGTTTGAGCGCGCAGTAATTGTATGAGAAAAATTAGCAATCGATTTATAGAATAAGAATGAGTAAAATAATTTCTGAAGTCGTTCAAGTTATCATTCCTTTCAAAGTTCGCCATCTTCACATTTTTTCTGAAGTTTATTTAACAATGAATCGTTCACTTTGCAGGCTTTAGCCCAACGAAGTTTGAGGCTGATATTTGCTAAAGATTTTCTCTCACAGTGTTTTGTTTCAAAGACAATGTGGCCTACGAGAGTAAGTGTGTAGAGACATCGGCTATAAGAAGAAAATTCCGATATTTTGGTAGGGATACCACTCGATTTTATTAAGACTCTTGATAGTCGATCCTTGATTTTAAGTCAAACACGATGTATCCTTATGTATTCCTTATTCTCTCAGGTATGTAGGTACTTGAAACGTTTCCAAAAGATTATTATCAGAAGAGGATACATTTTTAAAGCATGATGTTTTAAAGGAAGGCCTCAGTGGGGTTAGCCGTAAAACGGCGAAAACGTTTGGTCGATAATCGTAAAAATGGACAAATTTTAACGGTTAGTCGTAAAAAAAAAAGGAAATTGCATTTTAAAGACTTAAACGTATACGCCATTGCTCAAAAGCTTAGTCGTATTTAGATTCTGATACTGCACTGGATTACCACAATCAAGACTTGGTATTTTGAAGTCATTGTAAGACTGAGTCTGTCGTGGCCCGCACACAGCATTAGGGCCTGCGGAATAAAATCCTCTCCTCAAGACCAAGTTTCCTACTGACATCATGAAATTATTTTAGGTGGTACATCAGAAACTTTCATCTTTATTTTTTAAAGATAGATTTACTTCTGGAATTAAGAAAATAATGACCAGCTCTCAGTTGGCTTGTTAGCTGAGTTAGTAGAGCACTGCACCGATATCGCAAAGGTCACTACTGCTTAAGTAGTGTTCATTACTGCGAAGATCGCTTTCATATTCATTTCTTTAACCGCAGTTCAGATACATGTCTTTCATATATTTACAGTCATTGAATCCTCACCTCACGGGTTTATTATGATCCAACATAATGGACCAGCTCCCTGTTGGCTTGTTAACTTAGTTGGTAGAGCACCACAATGGTTACGCAGAGGTCATGGGTTCAAATCCTGTGCAGGCCTTATTTTTTTTCAGGCCTAATTTTCACTATACTGCTTAAGTAGTGTTAACTACTGTGAAAATCGCTTTCATATTCATTTAACACTTATTAACGCCACTGGTGCAAAGAAAAACTCTGGTCTGTTTAATTTCTGCGTACGCAACGGAAATATACCCGGAAACTTAATGACAGGTGTTGAAGGCCTAAATATAATAACTGTCGTATATGTAAGAAAGTCCTAAATGTAATATTATTTGGTCCTAAATGTAATAACAATTAGCCCTAAATGTAATAAGCCTCCAATGCAATCGTTTAACTCTGCCAATGCATTGTTGTCGTAACGGACGTTAAAGTGACGGCTGTTACAACAAGCAATCCTCTCACCAGTATTCATGTCACATTGCGGGCTCGCTGATATCAATCAGCATTTTTTTATTTGCTAGACTTACGTCGAGAAGCATTGGCTACAAACCGTAATACTGATGAACAATGGCATCAAATGACGGCCGGCAAAACAATGAGTACGCGGACCAATGACTCTCCATATATTATTGGCTCAGACTCTTAGAGACAGCTGATTTTTACACGATGTTAGAGTGCAAAAAAATTGGATGAAATACAGAAGGACAACATGAGTGAGTCGTTCAATTTCTGACAACAGCTACTTGTGTCAACATGGCTGCAAACGACACAATCACAAACACAAATCTCTCCACCACGAATCAACACAGGTCAGTGTTTTTGTGCCCTGAACGTTTAAACCCCAACGCGGATTTAAACAGTATAACTTTCTCTTGGATATTAGTGGCCATAATATTTATTAACTGTCCTTTTACCGTTCTCTTCAACTCCTTGGTGATTGTCGCTTTGAAGAAAAGAAGAGAACTGGAGAAACGTTCAAATATTTTGTTATGCAGCATGACCGTAACAGATCTCCTAACAGGAGCTATAACTATGCCGCTTTCTGCTACTTACGAGCTGTTGATATTAAGCCAGGTTCCATTTGAGGACATTTGTCCAATACAACTCTTGGTAAACAAACTAATGATCTTTTCACTGTCCACATCATCGTTATACCTCTTAACTGCCATTGCGTGGGAGAGGAAAATGGCCGTAAAAAGCTGGATAAATTACAGGAACAATGTTACAGAAAGTCGTCTAACGGGACTTGCGATAGCTGCCTGGCTGTTTGGAGTTATCACACCGGGTCCACCAATGCTAATGGTGGTGGCTGGTGCACACCGCAAATTTATTTCAATGTGGCTTGTGGGAAAAATTGTTTCGATGATTAGCTGCTTGACCGCCATTGGCTATTTTTATTTCATGATTTTCCTAGAAGTGCGGAAACGTGACCGAAATCAAATCAACCAAGTTGCCTTTTTAGCCAAAACTAGACTCGAGTAGGGTGGCCAAAACAACAGCTATGATAACCATAGCAATAGTACTGTCCTTCGTTCCATTCATAAGTACAGCCATTTTGGTAAATATTTTCCCCGCTTTCCGTACATATCCTGTTTACCGCTTCGCAGAAACGGTGGTGCAGTTTAATTCTTTAGTAAGTCCTATCATGTACTCGTACAGAGACAAACGTTTTCGAAACGCTATCCTAGAGCTCTTAGGCGTCAAGAAATTGCAACAATGAGTTGACGGCCGAAGAAATTTAAGAAGACGAGAATCCGTAGGATTGGTAAATCTAGCAGAACAAACACAGGGTACCCTAGCTCCAGTCTCAAAAAGATCAGCTTCGGTTGAGCCTCCTAGAAAACCAAAGATGCAACTGGAAAGGTCTCTGTCCGATCCCACGCCTACCAAATGTGACAAAACGTGCAGTGTCCAGCCTAGTAAATTAAAGTTACAACAACGCGCGACCATTTCCACGACAAGCGCTGAAATCCATCATCAAAGATCGAAGTCTAATGGAACGCGAAAAATTCAAAGGAGAATTCATACTGCCCTGTCAATTTCACAAACCAGTGTGGTATCGCCCAAAGGAATGGTGAATCCTAGCCGTGTATTGAGTTACAAATCTTGGGATAACAGAGCTAGAGGAAACATTTCCAACAGCCGGCAGAAGAGTCAATTAAATGAAACAACACGACGACCGAAAACAGCGCCATCAAACGTCATCCATCCCAATGAAAAAACAGCTCAACACTAGGTTTTGAAGAAATCGGTCACCAATTGCCCAGAATGTCCTTTCTGAAGAAGCAAGCTATTAACACACAAACAGTGCAAGAGGGATGTAAAGGAATCGAACAGTTTTTTTTTTCCGATTTCTTTATTCGGTATTTTGTTCTCGATATTTTTTAATTTCTTTGATCGTCTTGAAATGGTGCTGCGAATTATGTTTTTTAGTTTTTTTTCGTTTGAAAGCCCTAGAAAGCTTAGAGAAGCTTAAATTTTTGGCGTAGTGGCAAGAGGAGGTTGGAATCATAAATATGGTGATACTCTTGAGAATATACTCGCTTCGTTTGCACTGTTTTACTTCGGAAAGAACATGGTATGACAAAAAATTGCCTTAGGAAACGATTGGCGAGCAACTGAACTGTAACATTAGTGGTGCTCTGACAAATACAGAACTATATATTAATGTGGCGGCTGATCGAGTGAAAACATCATTTTCTAAAATATGGAGGTACGAAGCAATGATGATGTAGATAAAGTTGTATGAGAAATAAATCGTTTTAATTATTTTAATCATCATTTAAAAAATTGGGAAACGGTGGGGGTTAAAGCTAAAAATTGTATGTTGACAGCCAAGTTACCATGGAAATAATTCTCATGCCCCATTTTACTTTCCTATTTTTCTAATGTTTTGAGCTTTATATATTGCCTAGCAACATATTGACAGATTCACTCCAAAGAGCTCTACTCGCTTATCATTAAACAAATTAAGGCTAAAGTGAATTATAAACTGAAGTAACAATCCATTTATAAATTTAATTGATTACACCTTTTAATTCTTAGATTTACTGCAGATAAAGAGTCAGGAAATGAACTTTTTCGTTCATTGACGTGAAAAGGTTATCTGAACTCTAATTCCAGCTGGTATTGATGGAAAAAAATTCCTTTCGACATCTTAAAAAAAGTTTCAATTTTAAAATTAGTAAGAGTGCATGTTAATTTTTAAATTGGTTCAACTGCATGCGGCATGAAAATCAGTGGAAATGATTCTAATGTACCATTATGTTCCCTGGATTAATTTGTTCCAAAATAGTGGGAAATGTGAAACAAAAGCTTTGGAGTCTTTTTTTGAACATCTGTAGTTTCGGTTTTTCCACTTGTTCATGTTGATCGTCACACATCTTTCGTGACACGACGGCGCAAACAGGAACAGGTATCAAAGTAGTTGAGTGGTTTTCGTTGTAAGACTACAGCGCCGAAGCGTTGAAACGGAAAAGAAACACATAAGTCTTCTGGAAACGCGAATTGTCGAACGCATCAAAATATCCGCCCTAGAGGTAGTTTTAATACATTTAAAATGCATAATATAAAATTACAATTTCCTCGATGGTGATTGGTTTAAAAACTCCTTTTTCCAACACTAATTCACACGAATTGTCGAACGCATCAAAACATCCGCCCTCGAGGTAATGCTTTATTTATCAAGATGCCCATGCGATCTTGTAATCGATGAAGCCATGAAAAAGGCTACCGACGGATATCAAATCTTGATAGTTTTATGACAAAGGCTCTTAATGAGTTCAGGTCTTTGGAAATCTTTGACGAAACCGCCAGAGTTAATCTGATGCATGAAAATAAAATCAAAATACCACTAACCCCTGTAGGTGAAATTTTACCGAGAGGAAATTATTTCAATGAAAACGAAGATCACTTACAACGGCTTTTGCTTTCTTATATGAAAATAATAATTTTTTTACAAATAAACTTTTTTTTCAAAACTTTATTGGCGATTCCCTTCCACACACTGTTATCAAAACAGTTATTTGAAACGGAGAGTGCTGATATCAATTTTTTGTAATCTTATTACTTGCACGTTTTTTAGTGAGTAAAGTTATTTCCCACAGCAAAGTGGGAGTTACAAGGAACTCATTTAAAGTCTCCACGTTAAATGAATTAAGGTAAGGTAAAGTAAAGGGCAGTTAAAAATAACACTGTATCTTAAAATTAAGAATAAGGCAAATAACGCAGCTAGTGAATAGATAAAGTAATCATTCAATCGCTCGATGAATTTTATTTAATACAAGCAAAACTTGGTTTTGATGACAGGGCTTGAGCAGAAAATCTTGAGCAAGGGGGGAGGGGGCTATTGATAAACGGATAGGCTCCAGCAAGGGGGGAGGATAGGGGCATGCTTTGCAGGACAAGTGTTTTTTAAAAGTGGGGGGGGGGTTAGGCTAAAGCCCTCCTTCTCGTCCCTCCCTCTGCACGGTCCCTGTTTGAGAAGTATTTTGATAAGCGAAGCGTAAAAAATGAAGCACTGTTGAAGTCAAACGGGCTTAGTGCAGTACATGTACCTATAAGAGTTGTGTTCCTGTTGAAATACGAACGCCATAGATTGTAACAATTTTGTGGACAGGAAAGAACATGAAGGCACATGTAAAAAATTGAAAGAAAGGAGTGTAGAAGGATGGCGTAGGATAATCGCCCTTTTTCGGAGAGGAGGCGGTGAGGTGTGAGCGCGCAGGAAGTGAATGGAAGAAAATTAGTAAGCGATTTATAAAATAAGAATAAGTAAGAATAATTCATGAAGTCGTTCAAGTCTAAATTCCTTTCAAAGTTCGCCATCTTCGCATTTCTTCTGAAGTATTTTTAACGATGAATCGTTCACCTTGCAGGCTTTAGCATAACGAAGTTCGAGGCCCTAAATGTAAGAAGCCTCCAATGCAGTCGTTTAACTCCGCCAGTGCATTGTTGTTGTGGCGCACGTCAAAGTGACAGCTGTTGCACCAAGCAATCCTCTAGCAAGTATTCATGTTACATTGCGGGCTCGCTGATATCAGTCAGCGTTTTTTTATTTGCTAGACTTACGTCGATAAACATTGGCTGCAAACCGCTGTACTGATTAACAATGGCATCAAATAACAGCCGGCTAATCAATGAGTACGCGGACCAATAACTCTCCTTATATCACTAGCTCAGACTCTAAATTACAGTTGAGTTTTACACGGTTTGAGTGCAAAAAAATTGGATGAAATACAGAAGGACAACATGAGTGAGTCGTTCAATTTCTGACAACAGCTACTTGTGTCAACATGGCTACAAACGACACATTCACAAACACAAATCTCTCCACTACCAATCAACACAGGTCAGTGTTTTTGTGCCCTGAACGTTTAAACCCCAACGAGGATTTAAACAATACAACTTTCTCTTGGATATTAGTGGCCATAATATTTATTACCTGTCCTTTTACCGTTCTCTTCAACTCCTTGGTGATTGTTGCTTTGAAGAAAAGAAGAGAACTGGAAAAACGTTCAAATATTTTGGTTTGCAGCATGGCCGTCACAGATCTCCTAACAGGAGCTGTAACTATGCCACTTTCTGCCACTTTTGAGGTGCTGATATTAAGGCAGGTTCCATTTGAGTACATCTGTCCAATATATTTCTTGGTAAACAAACTAATGATCTTTTCACTGTCCACATCATCGTTATACCTCTTAACTGCCATTGCGTGGGAGAGGAAAATGGCCGTAAAAAGCTGGATAAATTACAGGAACAATGTTACAGAAAGTCGTCTAACGGGACTTGCGATAGCTGCCTGGCTGTTTGGAGTTATCACACCGGGTCCACCAATGCTAATGGTGGTGGCTGGTGCACACCGCAAATTTATTTCAATGTGGCTTGTGGGAAAAATTGTTTCGATGATTAGCTGCTTGATCGCCATTGGCTATTTTTATTTCATGATTTTCCTAGAAGTGCGGAAACGTGACCGAAATCAAATCAACCAAGTTGCCTTTTTAGCCCAAACTAGACTCGAGTAGGGTGGCCAAAACAACAGCTATGATAACCATAGCAATAGTACTGTCCTTCGTTCCATTCACTAGTACAGTCATTTTGGTAAATATTTTCCCCGCTTTCCGTAAATATCCTGTTTACCGCTTCGCAGAAACGGTGGTGCAGTTTAATTCTTTAGTAAGTCCTATCATAAACTCATACAGAGACAAACGTTTCCGAAACGCTATCCTAGAGCTCTTAGGCGTCAAGAAATCGCAACAACGACTTGACGGCCGAAGAAAATTAAGAAGACGAGAATCCGTAGGATTGATAAATCTAGCAGGACAAACACAGGGAACCCTAGCTCTATTCTTGAAAAGATCAGCTTCGGTTGAGCCTGCTAGAAATCCAAAGATGCAACTGAGACGATCTCTGTCCCATCCCACGCTGACCAAATGTGACAAAACGAGCATTGCCCATTCTAGTAAATTAGAGTTACAGCAACGCGCGACCATTTCCATGACAAGCGCCGCAATCCACCACGAAAGATCGAAGTCTCATGTAACGCGAAAAAGTCAAAGGAGAATTCATGCTGCTCTGTCAATTGCACGGCAAACCGGTGTGGTATCGCCCAAAGGAATGGTGAATCCTAGCCGTGTACTGAGTTCCAAATCTAGGGTTAAAAGAGCTAAAGGAAACATTTCCAACAGCCGGCAGAAAAGCCAATTAAAGGAAACAACACGACGACCGAAAACAGTGCCATCAAACGTCATCCATCCGAATGAAAAATCAACTCAACACAAGGTCTCGAAGAAATCGGTTATCAATTACTCAGAATGTCCTTTCTGAAGTAACAAGCTATTAACACGTCAGAAACATTAACCATCACCTTCATAGAAAAAAAAACGGTGCAAGAGGGACGTATAAGACTCGAAAAGCTTTTCTTTCCGATTTCTTTATTCGGTATTTTGTACTCCATGTTTTTTTGTTTGTTTGATCGTCTTGAAATGGCGCTGTGAACTGAGTCTTTTAGATTTTTTTCGTTTAGGGAAACTTTAAATTTTTGCGTAGTGGCAAGATGAGGTTAGAATCATAAATACGGTGATATTCTTGAGAATATACTCGCTTCGTTTGCACAATTTTACTCGGTTAGGAAAGAACGTGGTATGACAAAAAATTGCCTCAGGAAACGGTTGACGAGCACCTGAACTGTAACATTAGTGGTGCTTTGACAAATACAGAACTATATGTAAATGTAGCGGGCTGATCGAGTGAAAACGTCATTTTCTATAATGTGGAGGTACGAAGCAATGATGATATAGATAAAGTTGTATGAGAAATAAATCATTTGATTCATTTTAATCACCATTTAAAGAATTAGGAAACACCGAGGATTAAAGATAAAAATGTTATTTTGACAGCCAAGTTACCTTGGAAATAATTTTCATGCTCCATTTTGCCTTCATATTTTTCTAATGTTTTGAGCTTTATATATTGCCTAGCAACATATTGACAGATTCACTCCAAAGAGCTCTACACGCTTATCATTCAATAAATTAACACTACAGTGAATCATTCTTAGAGTTACCGCAGATAAAGTGTCAGGAAATGAACTTTTTCGTTCATTAACATGAGAAGGTTATCTGAACTCTAATTCCAGCTGGTATTTATGAAAAAAATATTAGTTTCGACATCTTAAAAAAGTTTCAAATTTAAAGTTAGTAATGGTTCATCTTTAGTCTTAAATTGGTTCAACTGCATGCCGCGTGGGAATCAGTGGAAATGATTCTTATGTACTATTATGTTCCCTGGATTCATTTGTTCCTGAATAGTGGGAAATGTAAAACAAAAGCTTTGGAAAGAGTCTTTTTTTGAACATCTGTAGTTTCGGTTTGTTCTACCTGTTCATGTTGATCGTCACACATCTTTCGTGACACGACGGCGCAAACAGGAACAGGTATCAAACCAGTTGAGTGGTTTCCCCTGTAAGACTACAGCGCCGAAGCGTTGAAACGGAAAAGAAAAGTGTAAGTCTTCTGGAAAACGCGAATTGTCGAACGCATCAAAATATCCGCGCTTGAGGTAGTTTTTTTAATGCATTTAATATGCATAATATAAAATTACAATGGTGATTGGTTTAAAAACTCCTTTTTTACACTAATTCACTCGCCAAGTTCAGTTGTTATCAGACAGTTTAATACGCCAACCACATTAAAGTTGCAGTTAAAATCAACCAATCACATCCATTTTGATTGTGGTCAATGTCAGAGCGACATCAAACAATGTACGCCTCCTTTGCGTCTTTTAATGCAAATTTATTTTCCCTTTCTTTCATATCTTGGCTATTCTTCTTTTCACGGAAATTGTAATTTTCATGATTAATTGGTAATAAGACTTTGTGTCGTCCAATTCGGTCTGTAATCATACTAGGGATTACAGACCGAATTAGACTCCAAGCAGTCCTATTACCATTGCAAATCCTAAGATAAAAATTGTTTACTAATACCTAAACTTAAAAGCTCTGCCGAAAAATTAGATTGAAAAAAAGCGAAAGAGCGCAGCGAATAGAACATTCTGTTTAAGAATAAAGCTTAAAACAGTCAGTAATTGCACGATCTCTGGAATGAAGTTTTACCTACAAGTTTCAGGAATTTAATGGGACTCGAACAATTCAAATTACTTATAGATCTTAGAGGCCATTGTATTTATCATTTCCACTTTTACCGGGCAACATGACTAAAATTATTGAGTGACTAGACTCCGCTTTCGAGCGACAGTATCGAGCGACCTGACTCCATGACTTTAGGCGAGATGACTCTTGGGTTACTAGACCGGCGACCATTAATACTGAACTAGGCTTCGTTTTTGTATGCTTCCTGCAGTGAGTATGTCGGAGTAATACAATAAAGTCTATGTTAGGAACATATAAGCAATTCACGAAAGGGTAAATACTGTAGACAAATCGAAATTTGTAGTTTTTACATACAACATATTTTGACATCATTCAGTTGCTTTGTACAAGAGTCTGCTAGCCTGTTTGCGGCATACGTGGGAAAGGCAGAAGTACAATAATTGCGAATTAAGCCATCATCTTTCAGTCCTAGTAGCTTCCTTCAAGATTCAGAGTCTGTGTAATTCAATACAAACATACTCCATGGTAATACAGATAGCCACAGAATGACACTAATCTCTGACCCCTTCATTTGCCAAAAATAACATCTTCCCCCTATGACTGTAGGTATAAAATGAAGGCCGGTTGCCAAATGATTCCCAGCTCCTGAAAATAAGGTGAAATCACAGAAAATGGTAACGTTCAAACTTCAATGACATTATAACTGAACAACAAGCAGGAGCTTGGAGGAGAGTGAAAATTTCTCCCCACTTCTCACTCCAAATAAAAATTTTCACGATCAAAAAGCAAATTTTTCTAATTCCTAATTGAGAGACCATCTATTTCTTTGCTGGCTCTTGAGGAAAATTAATATTTACAATACAACAATATCCAAGGTGTGAAAATTTTCTCTCTTTCTAAGTCTTGACAGCACTTGACTGATTAACAACTGAAAATTCTCAGGGGAATTTATCAAATGACTAAAGATAGGAAGCAGCTCACACTAGTGATTTGCCACAAAAATTTGCTTGTAAAATGCAGTGGTTTACTTGCACAGAGGTACAAAAAGCAAGCTGTCTGATTCTGTCAAAGCTTACTGGATTGTATAATATACATGGAGTATGGATACCACACCATTAACCCTTTAAACCCTAGGAGTGCCTAGCATCTAATTTCTCCCTAAGATATCACCACTGAATCACACAGTGATGTCATGAGAATAAAGGAAATGATCACCAACAAAAGAACCTTTTTTATTGGTAAACAAATTCTCCTTGTCTGCATCTTAAAAATGTATAAAGAACAGTTTGGAGAATATGCATACTGATGTTAGGGTGTTGAGTTAAAGAATTCAGAAATTCCTTCTGCACAAGTTCATTTGCTTTTATAAATGCACCAATCCAACTTTCTGACATGTACAATGTAACAAATTTTGGACTCACTTGTTGGCCATCTCTGCAGCTGCTCTAATTTCTTTAAATTCTCCAGCCATATGAGCCACACCCAAACAGCCTATGATCAGCCCTACAATGCACTGAATGCAAACCTGCAAAAATGACAGAAGTTATTAACCCTTTAAATCCCAGAAGTGATTAAACTGTAACTTCTTCCTATAATATCCATACATCATCCTACAAACAGGTATTGGGAAACCACCAAGTTGTCAGGTAGAAGTTGTTCTCTTGATCTGACACTAAATTCTCATTAATGATTTACAAGCAAATGTGTAGCAGCTAGAGGGGAGAAGTAACAATCAGATCTTGAGAGTTCGAGGGCTAAAAGGCTGAAGAACAATAACAACTAGGTTAGTAATTATGTATACATGTATACTTAATTGACTACTCCTCATATGGGACTCTTCAGGGTCAATACGAACAAATTGAAATATTTTGAAGAAACATGGTGTTTAACCCTTGAACTCTCAAGATCTAATTGCTCATTCTCCCCTCTAGCTGCTAAATATTTCCGTGTAAATTAGTTATGTGTATTTGGTGTTAGATCAAGATAACAGCCTCTAACTGATAGCTTTGAGTGTTCCATTACCTGTTTGCTGGATAGTATACAGATCTTACAGGGAGAAGTAACATGTTAATCACTTTTGGCAGTTAAAGGGTTAAAAATTTCTGGTGGTAGGAGGCAGACCAGTTGGCTACATTTTAAATAAAGGTACATCCAAGGAGTTGAACTCAGGACAACTGAAAACAAATCCAGTAAGAAGCAGAGCAGAGGGCTTAAACCTAAGACCACTAGTTTACCAGCTTAGAATTTGTCTTGGGGCAACAAAGTTCCATTGTTGGGTAATACAAGTGTTTCTAAAGCAAATGAATAAAGGGAGAAAAAAAAAAAGGGGGAAGAAACTGAAGTGCTGTGTCAGTGGGAGAGTATACCAGGGTAATTTAGTACTATTAACTGAGTTGATAACATAATTTGGCCACAGTTGAGAGGTTTAAAGCTAACATTTTGAGCATAAGCCCTACATCAGAGCAAATAGAGGAACTGAGGGAGAAAATGGAGCTACGCTATTGGTGGGAACATGGTAACAAAAAAAAAAAAAAAACCAAAAATAAACAAGTTGATATATACACTTGCAAAAACAGGCTTTACTTACATCAGGAGGCAGGCCAGGAAATTCTTCTTCCAGCAACTTGTAATAAGTTCGACCTGAAAAATCAAAACATTAAGTCTCACACTAAAAGTTTTACCTACAGTTACTTTGCTGTCTGCTAAAGAGTAAATTTGATAGTGACGTGGTTGAAAAACAGCATTACCATTTGTTAACCTGCCAAGCATTATATTTAACATCAAAGGAACAATTTCTTTTTAAGTTATTATTTGAGAGTCACTGTGCATACTTATGTTGAATGTTTCGAACATACATTTTCAGGAGGTCATTCATCACCTGAACTACTATTTTTCCAATTATGTTGAGCCATGTCAAGGGAAACTTTGTCAACACCTTTTCAATAAGAATTTAAAGTACCTAAGGTATCATTTTTTGCAGTTTGTATGCTCAGTAAATTTAGTGGCCCTTTTTGCCATAAGTAACCGATTCAAACAGTAAAATTCTTTCTTATCAAAGAAAGAAAATTCCCTCAAAGCCTCCATGATAGGCTGATCATATCTATTGAGATATTTCTGCAGGGGAAATTTTTTATTTAAATCATGCATTGGTGGATCCCACTGTCAAATTATTTTGAGGTGCTTATTGCCTTTTGCAGTGTCACAGCAAGAACTGAAAAAGATTATATCTTCAGATCTACATAATTGGCTGATTTAAGTGATAAAATGCTCTTTCTTCAAAGAAAAAATATTCCTTAAAGTTTTGTGATGAGCGGATCACACCTATCAAGATTATTTCTGCAAGGAAAACTTTTGTTTTTAATTACACCCAAGCCTGAATTGATAGTAAGATGTTTATCTTTTTCTGCTGATTTGTAGACATGTAGTGTCACCACAAGAATAGAATACACACATGTACATGTAAGCTACTGGTGTCTATACAGTAAGCTTCAAATCACAAAAGGAGAGAACTCAACTGAGCATCAAGTGAGAATATAGAACTACCAAGATACTTCAAAGCAAACAATAAGTAGCATTGGGAAACATCAGGTCAAAATTGGGTCAAGATTTGAATTCTATCTTTACACTCACTCACGCACTTGTCTCAATGACATACATGTACAAGTATGTGGCTTTACCTTCTTTGCCTCCTACAGGAGGCTGTAGCCATGAAAAACTATGAATAAAAATTGTTGGCTAGAATCGCTCAGTTTGCTTAACAATGCTTTGAACAACCCAGCACAGGGCTTTACAAAGACACCTGATACAGAGAATTTTTTTTTCTTTTTACCCTACATGTACAAGCCCAAAAAACCATATGTACATGTATGCTTTCCCCACATGCATTCAACTTTAATTCAAGTGCTGATTAAAACTAGTCCAGACCCAACGCTTACAGCACCCAAAGAGCAAAAGCAAGTATTTTATAGTTCCACCTGCAATCAAGAATTCATGATCATGTGGGTAAAAGTTACTGTGTACATCAGGTTACATGTCCCACAATACTGCATGCAGGGGTTGAAATGCATGATGAGTGAACTTCAAAACTTTTATAAAATTATGAAAATATACCAGTGAAAAATAACTACTATTTTTTTTTCTCGATTAGTTGATATGTTAGGGTTAAAGTTGCCCAAAGTTACCTATCAAGGAGAGAGAGAGCAATTAATTAAGAATGTCACATCACGTTTTTTGTGTGTTGTCTCCGCCTGAACTGGTCTTTTAAGGGTTAGTACTAAAACTTTGATTATTTAGTCAAAATAATAGTCAAATGAACTAATCGAAGAATTTTGAAGAACCAGAACTGGGGGGCGAAAAAGCTGAAATTTGTGTGGCTGATCGACATGACCGCGGTAATTGCCTGTCTCATAAAACACATAGAAAACACATCGAAGACCATCAATGGTACCAATACTTACATTGAACTGCTGAGTAACCGGCATGCAATATAGCAGCCAGGCCAAAAAAGACTAAAATACGACCAATGATTACCATATTAAACTCATCGACGTGAGCACGATTCTAAACTCTGACCGCCATTTTTCCTTCAGACACCGACTCACCTGCCCATTCATGTACTTATCATCAAATTTCGCTTACTGAAGCTACCGCTGATAAGATAAGCCTGCGTTCCAAAGATGGCCCCTCCGCGCGTAACAACTAAGAAGAAGGATGACTCGAAAGATAATTCAGTGTCCTATGAAGGGGATTTCTTTCAGTTCTCTCCGTTGTTTATAAGCATTATAATAATATTTCTTATGATCTTTTACTGGGTGAGTGTCGATTCTTGTGTTTTTGTGAGAGACCACTTGGGAGGCGAGCGAGTGCATATTTCTCAATCGGAGCTCACCTGCTTAAACTGATCAAAAACAACAAGGAGCAACAAAAGAGCGTCAGAGACTCGCAATAAAACTGTGTACGAGTTTTCTAAAGAGGAAATTATTCTGTCCATATCGATAAGATATTTTGAATTACTACACAACGTACTAATTTTCATGTCAACTTTCTTGCAGTTTGTTTGCTACAACATAGATGTGGTACCTCTGCATTCCATGGGTCCATTTGGTACTTTTGTGTCATATTTGGCCAACAATCATTTAAAACTTTTGAGGCTCGGGTAAGTAGACTGAAATAAACAGTTGTACATTGGCTGAACTCTCTAATTATTATTATTATTATTATTATTATTATTATTACTATTATTATTATTATTATTATTATTACTTTATTATTATTATTATTATTATTATTATTATTATTATTATTATTATTATTACTATTATTATTATTTATTATTATTATTATTATTACTATTATTATTTGAATTATTACTGTTATTATCATTGTTATTTTACATGTTGCAATATGCCAGAGAAAGAAAGATAATAGAGAAGAGTCCTGGAGATTCCAAATTAGGTGACTTATGCCAGCCCCAATTTCTAATCCTACCTCAGTCAGCCCCTTGCCTTAAAATGGTAAATCATCAGTATTATGAACACTAGCCTCAGTTTCAGGCATCCAGTTTTTAAAAATCAGCAAAATAGTAAACAGGGAAGTAGTTGCAGTGAAGCCAAAAAACGAGGAGAGGTTTGGGTCAGAGCTTCAAACCCAGTCCCCCCTTGTTATTTTCTCTCTTTGCTTCTATCATGCTGTTCCCTATTGCTAAGTCTTACTTTTAATGAATGAATTCATAGAACAGGCTTTGTGAATATGCATCTTGTTTATCTATCTTGTGTCATGCACTATAAAATCTCATTGATCTCATTGATCTTATTGATCTCATTGATTTCATTGATCTGATTCTTTGTGCTTCATAGTTTTAGATTTGCAGTAATAGCCCATTTGTTAGAAGCTGGATTTGCCTACAGGATTAGTAGGTGAGAACTGAGTTCTTTGACTCAAAAGTAACTCCTTGTTGTTATTTGTTAATGTAGCCATTAGTGTAATGGCATTTTTCTTTTAAAATCTAGAAATTTTTGTCTGAAATATACTATAAACTTGAAAGTACACATTGTGCTGGCAATGGCTGGTTCTGCTGGTTTTACATTGCTATGATTCTGCTTGAGCCTGGCAACAAAACTTTGCTTCTTTATGCTCAGGAAATGGTTCTGGATCTAGTTGTATAAAGGCAGGATAATGGTATCCTAGGGGTACAAAATGTAGCGCATTATTTGCTGGACAGAAATTTATTCAGTAGACAGCATTATCCATGCTTTGAACAACCAGAGCCTGATTGTTTGCACTGTACAGGGGTGTATTAAGTAGGTATTCCTACAACTCATATTTTCAGGTAGAAATAGTGGATATTTTGGTAGATATCTGCTACTGTCAATTTTTATTCCCTGAAGTGAATTTGAATACATTTTTGTGTCATTTCACATGGCTTAGCACAGTGATCTCAGCACATGCTGATCATTACACAACATTTCGTCCCTTTAAGAAGTTGCTCCCACTGTTTAGCACCAACCAAAAAGATTCTGCTCATTGGTAGAATTTATATAAATTAGGTATTATAGACCAAGACTGTCCTTAAATTATCTATGGCAAAAGTGAATTTTAATGGCTAAAATCTTGTGACATGCCTCTTAAAGGTGACTGTATCTGAAACTGTATTAATTTCAAAGCTGATGTGTGTGGTGAATTTTGCCGCATAAACAGCTAGTGTCAGCATTATAAAAAGGTTTCCCTAGGTGTCATGCTGATATAACATTCTAAGAAACATACTTATCCTGTTGATTAAAAGACTTGGAAGCAACAAAAAGTTTGGTCTATGAGAGGGGTCTGCTTTGGAAATGTTAAAAGTGTTGTGTTGTTTGAAGAAGTCACAGAGTTTCACCTTAAAGAGAAAATTCATATAACTTATGAATCAAATAGTTGCAAGTTATTATGAGTAAGCACAGGGCTGTGCTCCAATAGACCACAGATGCTACAAGTGACTTACTTTTTATGAGGGTAACAAGCATGACTTTGAAGAACTTGCTTGCCAGTATTTCTAGAATAGGAGACCTCAGACATCTGGGTGATTTTTCTAAGAGCATAACTTTGATAATCTGCATCAACTCATGCTAAACAAAGACTAATCACCTTGCAGGAGGATGATGTTTTCACGTGTCACAAGTTTCAAGTGGATGTTTCAAACTGCACTGGTTGGATTCCCCTCCCTTGGCTTGTTACTGAGGCATCGCAAGCAGAGAGAAATTGCAAGCAAAAAAGTTAATTGATTGTCACCTGCAGTCATGATCATTGTATTTAGTCTTGTAAATAGGGCTTTGTTTACTTCTAGTTTTTTTATTCAGTTTCTTCTCGTTTTGGAAAAATTGAAGTAGAGGGTGATGTGAAAATTGCCGATCGCAGGTCTCGATAGATACACTTGTTTATTAGTGCCCTTCAATTGACCAATAGATAGAAACAACTATGAAATAACTGCTGAGAAATCAAAGCATTTAGAACGTGTAGAACATCAATGGCTGTATAGCAGAAACGTGCGATCTTTATACTTACATTCGATGTAAAAAGATAGAAGTTGAGTGTATACGAGTGTTTAAAACATGTAACAAACAGGGTGTTGGCTCACTCTGAGTACCTAGAGATAGAAAACCCAGTCTACAGAAGATCAGAATCAAAAATGAATGAGTTAACCCTTTAACCCCTGAGAATGACCAGCATCCAATTTCCCCTGACAATAATACTGCTGCATTATTCATTTGAGATCACTAGAATAAAGGAAATGATCACCAACTAAAGAAGCTCTTGCTCGTTAAACAAATTCTCCTTGTCAGCACCTTTGGAAATGTATAAATAACACTATGTTAAAATATATTAAAGTTCACACGGCAACCAGGTGGACAATCAGACATAGTTTGACGCTACTCTGGTTTGCAGATTTAATGAATGTAACCGATGAAGTTACAATCCATAGACCCAACGTTTCGACACTCCTGTCTAGTGCCTTCATCAGGGGTGATCTAAACGCTGTAACAAGAGGTGTTATCTTTTTACATCGAATGTAAGTATAAACATCGCACGTTTCTGTTACAGCGTTTAGATCACCCCTGATGAAGGCACTAGACAGGAGCGTCAAAACGTTGGGTCTATGAATTGTAACTTCTTCGGTTACATTCATTAAATCTGCAAACCAGAGTAGCATCAAACTATGTCTAACACTATGTTATTTACACTTATCTTTTTGGATTACGAAAGAGAACATCATGTCAATGCTTTCCCTGATATTGACAAATAGAGAATTGACATTAATAACATTGCTTTTTGAGTGTGTGTGTGTGTCTAGTTGTTTGTGTTTCTTTGTCAAGGTGGTTGCACTAAATGGTCTCTTGGTTATGCTATCCATTTTGACACAGCACGCAACCCTCATTATATACGCTGGAAGACAAATACCTCTGTCAAAATTGACCAAATGTACCATCAGTCAGATTTCGGTTTTTTTCGCCTAACCGTATTTTCAGATTCGTCTTAGGATGTGGTAGGGAAAGATACGACGCGTTAGCATTCGGATGCGATCCGAAGAGATACGAAACGACACGATTCGTTATGATACGATGCGATACGATACGATGCGATGCGATGTGAGGCTAACGGCGGATACTGAGTTCGCTGTAGATACCTCTTAAATTGTTTGTAGGCTCAAGCAATCTACATCTACGCGAATACCCTCAATTCATTGTCGCGCAAATTGTGGAAACTGAAAAGGCGGGAAAACAGTTCTTGCTGTTTATTTAGGACGATTTAATATTTTGATACTGACATTATACTTCCGTCGAAACGGAAACTTCCGTTTAGCACTAAAACATATTTTGAGAGGTTGACTTTGAAAATTGTTTTGAATAGTGTGTTTTCTTCTATCAGTCGCTGATTTGTTACATGCCATTACTTTTCTTAAGGAACTATGCGTAGCATTAATTTTTCTTGGCCTCTCACTGGTGTCCCAGATGTTCCTAAGTTTTGCGTGACAGTCACAGTCCAAAGAGTTCGTTGGTAAGTGCATGACACTCGCGTTTTATTTGGGGGATTCCCTAATTCTAAATATATATCCTACTGCGGGCATTAATTTAGTTGTTACAGTGAAGCAAAAAACCCTTCTTCGTACATTTCCTTGATCTAAGATTCAAGCAGGGATATAGGTAATTTTTTATTAGTTCCCGAGGCAGGTTGTAGACTTGTCGCGATAATGTTAGTGGATTTATTAATGCTGCTGATTGATTAATGCTGCTATTGCCTGTTTCTCGCTATGCAGAGATGTCTACAAGATTGCTGATAAAATCCTTATGCCGCTATCGTTCATCCCTTCCTCCTCTTTCACTGCTGGTAGACATAATTTGAGAACATTACCATGCAACAAGCCCCATGACGAGACGCCGCAAAAGAACGAGCGGAATCAACCGACAAGAGGCTAATGCTAAAAAAAGTTGGCTTTATAAACATCAATTCGGTTGATTAAACAAAATCATTTTGCAATATAATTCACCGACGGAGCACCACAGATTCTTTAACAGCTTATGTGTCGATCAATTCAAAGGCTCAACATCCCTCCCCTCTCTTTGACAACTCACGAGCATTTGACTTTCATCCGTGCGCAGGGGGAGGAGAATTTGAACCGTGCCTTGGTAAGATAGGGAATTTGAACCGGAAGTGTCATGTCTTTCCAGAGGAATATTCGAATTTTATCTTTGACATGGAGGTGTTTAAAGAAAAAGAGTTCCCTTTGGCGAGCTGATGGCTCAGAAGTAAACGTCTGCAAGGTCTGAATTTTAAAGCTTGAATAGTCAAATCGGTTGCTGGTAAATGAGTAGAAAGTCACGGTCGCTGTTCTTGCCTTTTGCAAAATAATTGACCATCAAATTCAGCACTTGGGTGGGGGATTTTGACACAATTTTGGTTCAGGGGACGGGAATTTGAACGAACCAATTTTCAAATGCCCAGGGGGTCGCCCGGGGTGGGAAGATGTTGGAGCTTGGAATAGATCATTTCATAATTTCGCCTAAGTGTCATTTCGTTTTTAACATACGTAATCAACAAAACTCTATTGATAAGTGTATACTGTTTTATTTGACGAATGTCATTATTAAAAATAGTGAAAATTTCGATTTATCAATTTTGACTCAAACGTATCGATAGTAAGGATTTGAATAATAACAATGTTGAACTCAGAAAACTTTTGCAGTTTTTTTTTTCCCCGAAGAGCTTCGCATAGTTGCTATATTGTAATGTGCTAGCGCCTTTCAATTCATTGACGGGATAAAAATTTTTTTTACGTAACTCTTGATAATGGTCTGTTCCTGTAATGATTCTCATATACTTTTAAGTTAGATTAGTGCTATACGAGACGTTTAAAAAGAGTTGAGGATTAAAAATCACTTTTTTTCTCTCTTCCACGACTATTGCACCGTTTAAGCACTTGGTTTTACATAGAGAGCACCTGGAACAGGCCAGATAGGTGTTTCTAGAGTATTTGTTAAAGTTATATACAATCAGACAATTCATACTTAAAACGCCAACTTGCTCTCCAGGTGAACATCTTTGATACAAGCTCAGTATCAGAACACAAAATCATCATGACCTAATATTGGAATGCATCATTTTATACATTTTTCTTCGAAGAAATTTAGGATGAGCTTACTTTTTACAACCCTCTAAACTAAAGCGGCTCCTTGACGAAAACTTTATTTCCCTAACTAGTGTTTCGGTTTTCCTTTACAGATCTGAAGTGACTTTCTTTGGGAACGAAAGACGAGTAGTAGCATAGCGTTGGGTGCTAACGTTATGAATGGTTTCGTAGGTATGTTCCTTTGACTGTTTCTCCTCTACACTGCCATAGGCAGCATTCTCAAAAGTTGCCATCGCTCCAATCCTTTTCTCGCTCATCATGGAGTCCTTCTGGCCTTTTTCTGCTGGGGGAGAGTCTCTGAAGCTCTTTCCTTCAATTTCCATAGCAGCTGCTTGGTTTTCATAAGCCATATTCTGTGATAAAACAAAAATATATTATATACTCGCAATTTTAATTGGTGCGAAAAAAGGCAGCCACGTTACCCACGTTACCCCAACAGCTTCTTCAAAGAAAATCGAGCAAGGCTGGTAACTTTGGTAAATATGGAACAACAAGCGGACTGAAATCAAGGTCGTCTACTGAAATAAAGGAAGGAGGATAAATCATCGGATGTCGATTAAAATTTGAAAGGAAGCCGACTTAGGTAATGATAAAAGGAATGGATGAGCGTAAGAACGAATAGGCAAACAGTCGAGCGAGTGATATTGGAATGGATCAATGAGTTTTTGGACGGACGGATTCATGGATGGATGGGTAGATAGATAGCTAGATGGATAAATAAATGAATAAATAGATAGATAGATAGATTGATAGAATGGTAGATTGATAAATGGATAGATTGATAGATTGAGAGATTGATAGATTAAAAGATTTATAGATAGATAGATAGATGGGTCTTTTGGATAGAAAGATAGATCTATAGATTGATAGACACACAGATATATAGATAAATAGGTATATGGATGTATAGATATATGATTGATTGACTGATTGGTTATAACTGATCAATGCATGATAGGATAGTGTGCATGGAAGATGAGTGAGTATGGTTACTTTTGTAACAGTACCTTAACTGGTTTTCCGTCTACACCAATCACTGAAGCATTGTCGCGACGACCAGGCAGGTACATATTCGTTGTTGTACGGCGGGTGTAAATGCTATGGCCATAAAAAGGACTTGTAATGTCTCTGGTATTTCCAGGTTCACTGTCTCGATAAGACACCTGATACCTAGTATTCCCCAAACTAAAAAGTAAAAGAAGAAAGGGAATAAGTTTTTTTAAAGACCTTGTTCTGCTGTATCGGTGGGGAATATAAGAAGAGTTGCTTTTTATCTACTGCTTAAGTAGTGTTTATACCTGCGAAGATCGCTTTAAAATTCATGAGTTGGTAATCAAAAGTCAACCGGAGTTGATAATGTGAATGGGCCACCGTAAAGAGTTTGTAAACTTTCTTTCTGAGTCATTCACTCGGACGGTGGCCAATTCAAAAACCCTAATAGTATTTATACTTTTTTTCTCCGTTAGTCCTGACGAGGAGCAAACGCTCAACTCAGTTGATAAAATCTCATTGTCTTGTAAAAAGTCCAGTTGAAGATAGATTTAAGTCGTACTATTAGACATACTTTATGTTAGGAAAATTGTACACTCACAAATAGGCTAGCAAGGTTAAAAATGATAACTGAGCCATCGAAAGAAATTTGTGGCAAGGAACTGGAGACAAGACCAAACCAATTTCGAAACATGGTTACTAATGTCATCTGCTCATAATGACAATCTTCACATCGTAAGTTACACGAAATCGTAGTGGAAGTATGACCCCACCATACGTAACTTTCTTGGTTTTCATTGGATTTCTTTTTTTACTCTTTTTCTATTCCTTTCTTCAGCTATTTATAAAAACATTTATTTCTTTGTTAGAATGTTTTTCTATTGTGTTTTGTTGTTTGGTCTGACTTTTTTGAAATATTCAAAGACTCACTTTATGTACTTTCGTTTGACTTTAAAACCCGACAACGATGAAGATACTCCTTCTGACTCTCTTGTGATGCAAGTTTTTAAACATTTCTCTTTAAAATAACTGTTATTTACCTCTCGTCGCCATCGTCCATCCTCCTGTAAATGAACACTGATGTAATGAGCAGAAGAACCAAAAAAATTATGGCCAAAACAAGGAATGCAATGGCACAGTCCACAAGAATAGCTGAAAGTAATAAATGAAGTAGAAAAATTGGCGTTCCATTTCTGAGCAGTGTTTCAGTGTCGAATCTGGTAGATCGTTGAAACTACTCATGACATATTTCCAAGTGGTGAAGCTACATATACACTCTATCATTATGTCTATTGGTGAGTACTAAATAGTATAGTTGCTACTTTCAAAATGCTACCCTATTTTCCACATAGGAATCTTACATAATACTAACACATCAAAAGCAAGTTTCATAGCCACAGCAATGATGAGAACTATATGTCACTTTATTTAGATCAATGTCAGTATCTGAGAATCTTCCCACCTACCCCTCCCCTAACCCAACGTTAACCCTAAATTGCTATCAATTGACTGTTGTTGGATTAAGGGAGGGTAACATGAGAAGAACCTTGGGAAGGGGTAGGTAAGCAGTTGCTCAGCCACTGACAGTGATCCCGCTATTTTTAACAAATCATATGAATCATTGTTTGTACATACCATCGTATTTCTCGTTTATGATGTATTCTGATGCTGCGAGGAAATAAAAAGAAAAATTAAAACTCAAGCTCTCGAAAGAATGGCTCCAACACATAACGCGAAGGTACCTTTTAGTTGATATTTTGATAATCATGCTGGACAAAAGCAAATTCATTGAGAAAGGAAACAGGCTCATTTACCCATAGGAAGGTTCAACAAAGAAGAATTGCTTGTCTTCTTCGTGATGATGTAGAGCTGTAAAATGTTGTAATTTGTTTTTTTCACATAGAGCCAAGGGCTCAGTTTCTCTAAAGGCGAATAACACAATCCAACGGATAAATCGCTATCCAGTTAACAAACGTTAATAAAAATATTGTGCTATCCACCAGATAGAGATTTATCCAGATCGAGGATACCGTTATTCACTCTTTAAATTCCAAACACAGAAGTTTTGTTGCCTTAAATGCCAATTATGATATTCGAGTGCCAAAGATCCTGTTTTGAACACATCAGTGCATCAGAGTTCATTAAGAAGGTTCCTCTCTTGGAAGAGATTTAGCTCATTGAAGTAACCAGTTCTTTTTGGGTAAGGACAGATCTCCGTACATTGTAATAAACTGTAGTATTTGTTGTTGATATTGTTTCACTACTAAATAGTTGTCGAGATATGGTATAATAGCAGTCTTCTAACTCAATGAGACGATGAAAATTATACATTGCCCTTAATTTCCAGGATGAAGATTGGTTAATTCGCACGAATAACAGTTTTTCGAGGAAAAATTAATAAAGAAAAGTCTCATAGTCTCATAACGAGTTGACTAGACAGATCAACAAATACTCTCTAATCATGATCAGCCTGTTGAACAATATGCAATTTTAGGTACAAAAAATTAACGTAAATTAACGAAATATAACAACGCGCAGAAACATCATTACATCAGGGAAAGCTACAATTTGAAGAAATTATTTAACACTGTGTGCGCTGGCAGAACACTCAAGCAAAACTTATTTATGTGCGAAATCATTTTGCTTTAACTTGCAGTATTTCTGCACACCTACTTCTGTACACCCTATGACAAGTACCGCAATGCCGAAAGTCTGATATAAGTCATCTCACTTCAGAGTTCAAGGTTTCTTTTTCATAATTCATTTTATTGTTCAGATAAATGTGGAGTAAGGTTTCAAAGGCACTGCTCCGGGCTTTTCCTTTATAATTAGGAAATGATCGAACAAATTTCCTGCGCTTGTTCATCCTATCAGCATTTTACTAAATATCCAAAATGATAATGTCAAACTGCAAAAAATTTCGTCTTTTTGCTTTTGTTAATGCTGACTAAAGCGACGTGAAAAGTTTATTCTTCGAATTGGTCATAGAATGTAAGTTTGAAGTCGCAAGAATTTTGAAGAAGGCTTCTAGATTATTCGTGTAATGGTTCAACGCACAAAAAAAATCTCAGCGATGGCCACAAGAAATAAAGATGTATTCGATTAAAAGGATTGTGTTTTGCAAGCAAATTGAATTTAAATCCACTGAACTTTTATCTTTATTGAAGGGATTAATGATATGGCGAAGAAATTGCGCTTCTTATACAACAAGCATGTAAACTTGACAATTAAAGGTGGCATTTGAACGCTCACTTCAAATAGCTTCGAGAGATTGCTTCCGATTAAACTTAAGATCTTAATGGAAAAGAAGAAAAATTAGAATAATACTCACCTCCTTTGGTAAATGGCAACCAAACACTGCTCAGCAAACAAAGCCAAATGATTCCCGACGATGTTCTCCTCATCATCGATGCTCTCAACCTATCGAAAGAATGATCAACATGCAACATAAACACGCATCCTGCGCAAAGGTGAACGTCTTCATGAATTATAATAAGCATTTTACAACAGAAGCTTTCTTACTTTCCCTACTGTTGTAGCAATGTTTCTAAATAGCGTCTATCGATAAAACGCAAGGTCAAATCCAAATCAAATGGACTCAAATATGCGTTTATTTTTTTAGCAGATTCAGGGTTGATTTACGCCGCAAGGTAATTCATCTGGTTAATAATCGACAGAACGACATATAGCTGTGCATATCTTTCGCGGATCATAAGTCACAAATAATGAACTTTCATCCGGGTATTTGATTCGAATAAACCACTTTGAGTTTTGAGCATGCTGTGACATTGTAAAAGGAGGGTAATAAATTTCCATAAGAAAACTGAATATTTGTTGCGATCTACTGTTAACTCTTAGTAACTGACGATCGATCATTGATTTATTATTTTTTTTGTGCTTATCCTAATGCATTGGGCCATGTGCAGTTACTACATATTCGACTACCGTTCCAATTCTGACAATTGTTGAAATAGCTTGGTACACGCACTATGATAGTAATTCCGATAAGAAAATTATTCTCGAACATTCCGAGTTCTGAAAGCAGTTGGAGACGTCACATGTGGAGTTATAAAAATTTGATGCTTCAAAGGTATCTTGTTTGAAGCCCAGAACTAATCTCATACCCAGATCCTAACGCGTTACTGAAATAAAATATCTGAACAGCAAGACTGTAAATTTACTAAAAGGTCTCCTTTGCCCACTGTGTTTTGTATGAAGTCAATGGCTAAGGTCGATATAACGTGACTGCATTAAAGTTGAAACTTAACATGGACACATTCAATGGTTGGTGCCATTTTTTTTTTCGATTTTCTTACTGATAGAGTCAATAAAATGAACTTATTCCTACCGTTATCAACCAACGCTATCATTATCTTTCTTAAAAAATGCCATTATGTGTATTGAACTTCCGTTATTCGCTAACAACATTGTATTTTTAAATAGAAACGCAAAACAAACGAGACTCAAAGAGATGCTAAAGGTGTTTGCACTAAAGTTAAAGAAACCTTAAAACTTTCCAACTTTTTAGCTCAGCTGGGATTTACTCAGACTTTATAAAAGAAGGAAGTCTATTTAATTGCGACGGAGTTGGGATGACAATAATTTATTCAAAGAGGTCCCCAGAAGCTTTGTCTAAGCAATATCTTGGTATGCGATTGCATATTGTGAGCAGCATTCGAACTCCTTGTAGACAGATTATTGCCTCTGTCTTTCGTTCTTTCACAGATCAAAGGTATTGTTATAATTAATTAAAAAAATATTAACAATCTAAGGGAAACAACGTTTCTTGTTATTATATTTCCTTCAAGGATAGTGTCGTCCAAGGCAAGTAGAGTCTATCCAGCGTGATGTGGACCCACTTCAAATTCACTGGGTTGTACCTCGCGGTAGCTTTTTCGTTCGCGTCATCCGCAGCTGCAGGTAGTCATTTTTCCTTTTGGTTCAATTACATGGATGACTTATCTCTAGGAACTAAGGCGTTTATTACAGGATCACACTGATCTCAATGGTTTGCTAGTGATTCTCACTCAGAATCCTTGCACATTTACCCTTCCCGCATTTTCTCGGGAACGGATAATATTAATGGATTTGCCACGATAACTATCAACTCGGTCGTGCATTTCCCTGAAATTAATCACTTTGGATAGAGTTGTAATGAAATTGTTTTCGTCTAGATATATCAGAAATTTCTACCAAGAACAACAATACCTAAACTTTATAGTGAAAGCATTTCTACCTTCAATTGTTAACAAGACACAATATCTCGTTTTCTACCAACACTGAATTCTGCTTTATACATGTCTTATACATCCTTTGCCCACGCCGTGATGCTTTTCTCGTTTCCCCAAAATTTCTAACAGTAACTTACTGAGCCGGTAATTAACAATGGAAGATAATCTTTGCAATTATTTTCAAAAATAGTTGCTCGTGTGATATGAAATTGGTAATACGAAACTATGTATGACTAATTGTTTTTGATAGTTTGATTATACTCTTCTTGTAGACTCAACTTCCAGAGCATTTTTCAATCGGGCCTGTAAATCAAATGTACTTGAAGTCACGTGTCCTTGCTGGAGTGAAATTCGGAAGCTAAACATAAAATGAAAATACACTTTTGTTTGTTCCTGTGGACGTTTGTTAACCCTAAATTGTTATCAGTTGACTGTTGTTGAAAAAAGGTGGGCAAAATACAAAAATTTCTGTTGAAAATTACTGTTACAAAAAAAAATTGTCATCGACTTTTAATAACCTACGTGCGACGACGCAAAAGGATCAATGATTTAATTCGTTTGAACGATTCACTCTGAGTTACTTAAAATAGAAAAAAAATAAACTCAATTTTCCTCTGCTCCTTAGCCATAGATCGAGTTACAAAGTGGCTTATGAAATCTTTTCTTATATTAGTTTTTTTTCCTTGCAGAAAAAACGTATATCGTTGGAAAGGGAGAGGATGGTGAGTTGCTGATAATTGACTCTCTCTTTACATAAAAAAGGGAAAAATTACAGCTAACAACAGTTAGCTTCAAAGTAGTCCCAAAGACCTACAGCTAAAGTTTGTGAAGGGAAAAATTACAGCTAACAACGATTAGCTTCAAAGTATTCCCAAAGACCTACAGCTAAAGGTTTTGAAGGAATTTTTTTGATGATGCACTAAAGCTTTGCACTCGAAACAAAGTAAGCCATGTTGCAGAGCTGGTCGCTGTGATTGATGATGCTGTTGCTATTGCTGCAGCTTTTCGTTTTGCTATTGGCAATAGAAACTGCAAAGAGAGAGAAAATTAAGACAATTAAGATTCTAAAACAAATAAATGAAGATTGGATTGAGCCCTTTGACAATCATTAATTTATTCTCTTGTAAAACAAACAAGTGGTGAGGTCAAGATAATTTACAAACTGGGGAATAAAGTTCAATATGCTAGTAAAACTACCAGCGAATAAATGCCACCAGCCTGTTGATGAATTTGCGTTTAGATCTTTGTAGTTACAATAATTGTATTAGCTGGTGCATTGTGAGCCCTTCGAGGAATGTAACAAAGCCGTTATCATTTTATTCTGTCCATTTCGTAGAAAATTTGTTGATGATGAGTATTGTGTTCTTGGTGGTGTGTGGCTTATTTTTTGTGATCAGCGTCGTGATGTCTTTGATGTTGATCAGACGATCAAGACTAACATATGGGTGAGTGCTCCAGACCTTAAGGCAAATATTTAGATCATCAAGCGAAATATCCAACTTTATTGTGACACTGATTACATTCTATTTACAAGTTATAGACCAGTATAATTATTCCCTACCGTTACCCCAACCGAAAATCCTGAATAACAAGGTGAGAATCTCAAAAGTTTCCAGAAAGACGATGAAAAAAAAATAAGTGGTTAAGAATAAATGAATAATAAAATATTTCCTCTAAATATAAATGAAATAGAATCGTTTACAGATTTCATACCAGAAAATTTCCAATTTATTTACTATTTTCCTTTTTGAAAAGTAAATTCGTTATAATCACAGCTCTCTTGTTCTGGTGTTGTTGTTATTGTTGTTTTGTCAACGATTTGATCATAGTTAGCACCCTCATCCTTAGGATTTATCTGTACTTTCGTTGACTAAATTGAAACTTAAGATCACCTTTCGAGGCGTAACGTTTTCTTTCCTTTCTTTTCTCTAGTAGTGGAAGAGGATATGATCTAGAAATAACGGAGGAGAAGTTTCAGAGCATGTACCGGTCCAGCGAGCACGCTGAGGAGAAGTCACCAGCCAAATTCGAGCAGCTTAAGGTCAGGCAAGAGGCTTACTGAACTTTGAACTAGCTTTTTCTATGAACAATCCTCTACCTTCTTTGCTGTATTGCAAAGCGTTAGAGTAGATTTAATATTTCGTAGTTTTTTTTAACGTAAATATTTCCGCTGTTGAATTCGGTAAGTTGTGAGTGATGATCTGGATACCGTCACTATCTATTCGGAACCTTGGAAGTCAATTATGTCATGTTTTTTACGTTTGTCTCTCGTTACCAAGGTCAAAATTGTTTTAAGGAATCAATAATTTCAATATCAGAATCATTAGTACAAGTTATTGTTTGTGTCAAACTCTCAATATTCTTCGACTGCAGGGTTTATTTTCAAAACGTTTGCCACAGCATGCTAAATTCAATGTTATATAATGTTTCCATGAAAATCTGCTGCAATGTGCCCCGTGATGTAGCTTTGTCGGTAACCATTCATTCTGTACAGGGTCTCAATGGGGTGATGGCTTTCACGGCTGATGTTTAAAATTTTGGCCATTTTACGGCTAACGGTTTACCCCCAGCCATTGAGACCCTCTTGCTATCAGTACTTAACCGTTTACTGAGACTGAGGAACAGGTTTAAGCCATCAAAGCTTATCTTGCTTGAGTGCTAAACTCATTATCACATACTTGTTCCACCAAAATCCGCCACGATTTGCCTTTACCCTATCAAGTACATTCGTAGCTTTTCATTTGGTGGCATTGCCTTGCCGTTGTCTGATACAGACAGGTTAGATCCATAAAACTTGCATTTCCCTGAGAATTCGGTTTTCTGCATTTTTTGAGTTGCGATTACCCGTGAGGATCATGTCGTGACTTATGTATAATCCCTCACACAGCTCAACGACGTAAGCAACGGAGTTCATGACTCCATCGACGACATCAAGTCAAGTGAACGCCAGAACAACAATATGGGCAAAACAAGCGCTCCACCAGGAACAGAAAAAGGGCAAAAAGACACAAAGACTCTCAGTTCTTTTCATAACAAGGCGTACCAAAGTACCAGCATGCAATCTGGAATGGATCTGGTGGAAAGTGACGTCAAACGCTAAAGACAGGCACACACCGTTTTGATTAATGAAAGAAAGTGACACACGTAAGAGCTGGTGAAATATCAAGGAGCTTCTTATTATTCTTTTTCGGTCTAATTGAGTCGTTTCAAACGTAAAATCATGTGCATGTGTTTAAGTTTCAAACTCCTAGAAATAAATAGAGTTTACTACCTTTGCACCTGGTCTACAGTTGTATCTGCTGAATGATCAATTTCGACGGAAGGTTTTTCTAACAATAACGATCTCGTGTTTTCAAGCTTGTGTCGATGAGTCGTTCTGTTTCCTGACAGCAACAGTATCTGCGTGATGACTGAGTGCCCAGACTGCGTGACTGACTGACCGACTGCATTACCAACTGAATGACTGACTCTAAGAAATAAAATAAGACAGGTTTGTTGCTGTTCGACATTTAGCGGGAATTTTTAATATTGCATGCTGTTGTGGGATATATTTATCACGCATTAAAGATATTTAACTCAAATGGCTCTCCTTATGTCAACTGCATAATCCTGCTTACTTTTCATGTCTCATCCATTACGTAGGGCAATGATTGCGTTTGACGTATTTCTACGATTCTCTAACTATAAAATATTGCGGTGAAATCCTTCTATAATACATTTTAAAAAGGGATAAAAAATATAGTCGACGACGAATTAAAAAAATTATGAGATTATAGTGCTATAAAATACTTTAATGACAATAGCTGCTGAATAAAAACGTTTCACAACGATAAGTGACTTAAAACTAAACAAAAAGCTTTGCATGCATTGAAGTTCCGCTCGCACGTTCAACTTCGGTTTGAGTTTTTTGATGAAGAGCATTGTTAATACTGGAGAATCAAACCTACTTGGCTATTTTCTCAGAATTTAAAAAATGAATTTTATTAAGATCGCTCCTATCGTGCACTGTAGTGAGACGTTGCTCGAATTCTCGTGTTCAATGACACATTGAAGAAGGTGTCGTTCCGTGTAACCGAGATAATCTGCATCGCGTAGAGCACATGACGAGTGGTCTACTGCTGATTGACACTAGGCGGATTGGTTTCCTTAGGCCTCAAGTCTTGCTCTAGTTTTCTAATCACAAAAACTGTACTATGACTGCACCAAGAGTTTCATTGCGCAGACGTATTTAAACGTTAGAGGATTATTTTTATTCCATGTGCAGTTCATTAGAATCCATACGAAAGAATCATGGGTTGCAAGTTACTCGCATAGCCGAGCTTTCCTATCTATTCTACGAATGTGAAAGGAACTCGAGATTTATTTAAACCAAGAAACAAAAAGAGACATAAGAAGGAAAAAGAAGGAGAACAACAACAACAACAACAAAACCAAGGTCATATTTTCAATTTGACTAATTTTACCATGAAATCATCTAAACATCTTCGAGTTATAGCTTAACAGACCCTTGCAACTTTTTTTTCTGGTTTTTGAAACAAAGAAAAGTACGCCTTTTCACGATAACAGCGTGAAGAGAGAATCTATTGTAATTAGGTCTCAAAGTTTAGTTTCCCGTTATCACTACCGGAATAACTTATGACTTTGTTACTTACTGAAAGAGACAGAGAAGCGAAAAGGTTAAGACACTTTAGTTTCTATAATTCCTCTGGTGGACGCAGCGAGGACTATCAACAATAAGAGGCATCAATACTTCAATTTTATAAATGAAGAGAAGAGAGGAGCTTTTTTTTCCTGCTCAGGAGTTTGTGTGTTTATTTATTTTTGTGAAACAGAGCTGGGTTCTGGAATTATTTTGCAATAGATTATATGGTCATCCCATCGTGGAACGGACCACCTGAAAATGTAAATATAGGAAATCCACTGTATCTTATGTGGATACAGTTTTGTACAGTGATGTAATCAAACTGAGAATTGTACCTTAAATGAGTTGTCAGGATGAAATAATGGCTCAATGAACATAACTAGGAATCCCGTTAACAAATTATTACACATAAATCATGATAAAAGCAGCAAAGCTGTAAAACGATAAATGAACTATATTCGGCTAGTAGAGATAAGGCCACTTTTTGCGTATCTAGTGCTTTTCGTGAGATCAATAAAGCACTTCTTTTAACAGTCGGTGTATTTGAATAACAAATGATCTTGACGTCAGTGTTTGTAAACAGCGAATATTACCATAAACAACCATTGTTTCGTTTACCTGCCAATTGAACCAAAATAGAAAACTTAACAGTTTTACCAAGATTTAAAACGTGAACTTTCTGCTCTAATTTTTGAACTTTCGGATTAGAATTGTTGCCAACTTGGACTATGACAAGAAGAGTTATATTGAAGCAACTTTTAGGAATATCTTGACGAGCTTATGCGTGTTCAATCCCGCTTATCGGCCGTCATATTAGAATTAGCGCGATATCTATGACGCAGAATTTTGTTTACAGTTACCGCTGTAAATGAGGCGTAAAACCTACAAAAGGTTCTTAGTATTACCGAGCAACTTTTACCAAATTCAAAGTTCTCTTGTGTGGAAGTGGCTTGTTTGGCATCAAAAGTCTAGGAGCTGAAGTATTTCACATTTTGGGAAATTGACGTGACACGTGAAACACGAATCACGTGTCACGGACAGTTCAAATGAGATAGCCAGACTCTGCAAGCATGATGTATTCCAGTATATTTGCATTTTGAAAGCATATTGCCACGGCACTATCATCGGATATTGATCCTTCAACGCTGAGAACCGACTTTGCGAATGACTCGACTTTTATCTACATGCCTTGAAACATTATTTTAGAAGTAGCTACCTTCTGATTATTGTTGGGTCTCTAACTAAAATGGGTGTAAGGAGCTACCTCTACGAGTCATTCTTGCTGTTGGCTTTATTTTCTTCTGCTGTCCATGGAGGTAAGTCGTCGTGCCCATTTCAGAACAAACACTTTGTTTATAGTTAAACGAGAACGGAAGTTTTTCTTTTCAATAATATTACGCGTAGGCCATAAAAGAAATTTTGCCTTAAACCACAAACTTTGGTTTTACTCAGTCTGAACTGGATTGATTAAAATCCCTTTGAATGTGGCGTCTACTTTTCAAATTTCAGATTTTAAACTGGGCATTTCATTTCAAGACCGTAAATTTTTTATTACGAGAATCAAGCCTAAGCTGTCTCTGTGCTGATGATATTCACTTAATCTTTAAACGTTCTTGAACCTTTTCATTTTTAAGACTTAAATTAGATTTCGTTATAATCGACGTGTACCCTACATATGGATCATTTTGATAAGCAACAAATCGACACGGGAAGGTCACGTTTTTGCGTTAAAATAAGGAGGATCCGAGAAACACCAGCTTCGAGCAGCTCTTTTGTTTTTACGTAAACATGCTGTACAAACGGCAAATTTGAACAACACGTTTATCCTCTGGGGACGTACAGAAAGAAAGCAACCTCTATATCTAGCGTGCTGTCGAGCTTTAATTATGCTAATCATGAAGTTAATCCTTCGTCAGAATTAGATATTAGGTACTAATACGACCTACTCGATGTCCCCACTGAAGAAACTGTGGTGCTACGTCGGTGGAAGAGTATAACAGTGTAATTTAATACTATGAACTGAGTTGATATCTTAAATTGGCCACCGTAAAGAGTTTAAAAGCTGACGTTTCGAGCGTTAGCCCTTCATTCATCGCTCTGACGAAAGGGCTAGTACTCGAAAAGTCAGCTTTTAAACTCCTTACGGTGGCCAATTTACGTTATCAACTCAGTTCTCTCTCTCTCTCTCTCTCTCTCTCTCTCTCTCTCTCTCTCTCCCTTTCTCTGTCTCTCTCTCTCGCTCTCTATCTCTCTCTTTCCTCATTTTTTTCATTTTTATTTTGTTGGGATGCCACCGACGTAAGTTTCTATTCCATCCACGAAGCAATATTGAAATAATTTACACGACCAGGTTCATACGGGCTAAAATAACAACTACCGAGCTCTCGCATATGGTGGATTGTACAAAAAAAATTAATTTATTGTCTTTGTACAATCATCCATGAGATGAGATGATATCCATTCACGCATGCTAGTTGGTCTCTTTGTTCTTCGTGAATGTCACGTTTTATGCATCACGTCTTGCCTCTCAACGCGTTTTATGCATCGTTAAAAAAAATCGTTGAACACACCTCTCTGATTATTCAGTGAATTTACATCTCCGATCCTTTTCCTAGACAGATTTCCGCCTTTTAAAGTGCCCTCTTCCTTCGTTTAGAGGGTTTTATAAGGGAGGGGGTTAGAAAATTAAGATTGGGAGATTAACATTTAAGGTTTAAGTCAACAAACGGAACACAATGACATGAACGTGAGTACCGAAGAATTCTCGGCGCCAAGGGCTACGGTTAGAGTACCAAATGCCCGCTTATAGGAACACTGATAGATGGTCAAGCCAAGGGAACAGAATCAAGTAAATGAATAAACGGGAGGTGCCACGTCGCTGGGGGAATAATTTAGTTTTATCAGCTAAGGTGATAATTTAAATTGGCCACCTTCAAGAGTTTCTAAAAATGACGCTCCGATTGTTAGCCTTTCGTCAGAATTAGATACAAGGTATTGAAATGACCTACTCGATGTCCCCTCGCAAGAAAAGTGCGACTTCTTTGAGGTTTCGTTTTTAAAAGCTAGTCTCGAGCTGCGGCTTATAGATCTGAAACAGGGCGACTTTGTTATAAAGGTTTAGGGGGTGGGGAGGGGAGGGGAAGAAACGCTCAAGCCGAAGCGCCAAAAATTAACAAATAGATTCTACGTTGCCGTGCGCATGTTTAATAAGAGATTACAGATTACTCTAAGAGAGCTTTACAGACCTACGTGACATGGGATCTATTTGTTTTATAATCGTGATAAAAAACAAAATGTCGTCATTTATGTTGCCATCTATGCGTCTGTCCTCCCATAGATCATGGGTAAGAACCGATCAAAATTGAGCATAGAATTAGGGCCTGTCTCCGGCTCATCTAGCTAGCCTGGTTCACTTTGACTACTGTGTTTTTTAAGTGGTAGAGATTGGGCTTTTAAATCCGAAGGCCTGGGTTCGTATCATAAGGGAGACTAAAATGTATCTTCGTTGCACTGACGTGAGGCAAACGGATAACTTTCTTTTTAATTTGGTTGCTATTTCCTTAGAACTTACTATCAAAACATCACATCAGTAACATGCAATTATACATCTGTTCCTTTTTTATTCTCTTTCTTATTGCGATTTCTAGACTATATTGATCACTCAGACCAAGAAGAGAGAACTAACGATGAAGCGAGTAAGTCGCGATCTTCTCCTAAATACATTTTGTGCCATGTGTTCATTTGTTTATTGTCGCTTCTCGTTTAAGGAGTGGTCACTATTTTTCGCCGATGGAGCGGGGAGGAGGTTTGGGGTGGGAGTCGGAGGATTCTTAGGATGCTCCTCATTGGCAGTTAATAAACAGTCAATTTTTATAGTTCCCCTTCGTATTAAGTTGGCGACGACTGATCACCTTCCGTTACCCCTGATAACCATGTGATCCTCAAAAATCTCCCCCACCCGCTTACCCAGACGATAAATAATGACTAGTCCATTACTCTTGGTCAGTATTGGAGATCAAGAACCGTTGGAGGGGGAGGAGGGTGGGGGAGTCCACATTCAACTAGGGTAGAATGAAATTACCACTGCTTAGAGATTTAGTAAGCACCAGAGAATTCTTTGAAAATTATTTTTATTTTACATTGATGAGTAAATGGAAAAGCCAAGGATGTTGATTAAAGAGTCTCTTGAGAGTCTCCACAGTCTCTTTTTGTCTAAATAATCTGGTGTAAGTAAAAGTAAGTAGTCCAATACGCCTAGCTCATTACAGTATTGTAAGTATCGCCATTTTGCGGGTATTGCCACAAATAAAAAAAAAACGAAAAGAGGAAAGCAAAACCATTAATATACAAAATTTTATCTCAGTCTACGATATAAAAATCTGTGAGTATGTCGATAATAAAGTAAAATTAAAATATTAACAGTTCAGTAATAGTTATAATAAAACTATTTATTGCTCGATATAACTGTATGACGTCAGTTTTCTTTTTTCAAGCGCCTTTTAAAGCTACTTAGTTTAGTCTCATGTTTAATATTTCCAGTAATGCATTCCGTATCGACGCAACTGAGGGAAACTTATTTCTTTATTTTTTTTAATTTACAGCTGGTTTGACGATCGTCATAGTATATGGAGTTGTTTTAGCTATTCAGCTGATTGTCTTCTTTATTTTTGCATGCAAAGCATGGGATGCGGTGTTCAAGTGAGTTTTTTATTTCTCGTTTTTCCTTCATTTATCTTCTTCTGGCCATGAATTTCGATGGAAGGATTTATCTCAAATTCAAAGTCGATTGTCATAATAACGATATGGGATTCTTACCTGTTAAGATTCTTATTCTTACCTGAATTTTGCTAAGTTTGAGCAAAATTATTCCCTTAAATTACTGGTACGCTACACGCTGAAATATGCGGCGCAAACAGACTGACAGGTTGATATAGTTTTATCAACTGAGTTGATAATGCCCAAATTCATCTGATGATACCACCACTGACGCCGCACAAAAGTTTCTGTAAAAACTTTTCTCCTTTTTCATTTCACATGGTAATGGTTGCCTTTGGAAGCTTGTTAAAGGCAGTTTTTCATTCTGCTTTTAAAAGATTGCCAAGCAACTGCTAAGTTCATTTTCCTCCTGTTTTTTTCAGATCTCGGTCAGTTGCTGAGGATCCTGAATCACAGCTGACAAACGAATTTCCATTCTTGCCTTCTTATGAGATGGCGATGAATGAAGTGCGTACGAGTCAACAGAGTATTGCTAGCAGCGACACAGTTGTTACTACTATTGACGATGGTGTAATATTGGGGATAGCTAGTCCAGGTACCACTGCATTCCAAGAAAACCAAAGGAATGAGTCAGAGACAAATCATTGTGTTGCAAACTCACCGAGAAGCAGAAGCAGCCTAGATGATGGAGTAGTTTCAGAAATCGAGGAATCAGTCGCTATCGCGCCTGTGGAGGAAACCGTTAACTTGTAACATTATGGTTCAAGTGAAAACTAGCTTAACAGAGCTAAGTTCTCCTTACAGTTGTACTTGCGTCGAAAACAAAGTCATGGGGCAACTTTTCACATCAAGTGCAACCACATAGACAGAAAACCGAGTAGAAACTTACCAAAAAATGGTTGCGGTGTGTACACACCACCAATTTATGAAGTCTTCGTCGACCATGGAACTGCGTCAAAAACTTTTAGCTTCTGGTGTAAATACATCCACGTATGAAAGTACCATGCAGTTAGCAGGAAAAGTAGGAAATTTATTTGAAAGTTTGTAAAGTGTTCATACATTTATGATACTGACGATAAAGGAGGAACTATAAACTATAAAGGAATTCAATTCAAGAGCTAGTTTCATGGTAAGGGATCTGTCATAATTTATCGTAGGGGGAAGGTTTTCGGAGATGTCGTTATCCATCTCTCCCCCCGGCGATAAACAATGAATGAGCCTTTCATTGACACTTGCACATGAGTAACCAAGAAAAAGAAAGGCGTAAAGATCAGTCATTTTTATTGTAAAAGATTGTGAGTCACTAAGTAGAAAATGCATGAAGAATGAAAGGGAAGAATTGCAATAATTTCCTCGTACAAAATGCCAAGATCAAGCACTGACAAAGTATTAAGTATTTTTCTAATATAATTCCATTTTAAGGTATGTAAAGTGATGTGTTGGAATACAGCAGTGATGACTGAACAGGTGATCTTGTGGTCTGATCGATCGAGTAAGTGTAACCTTGTAAAGGACTGTATTCAATAAAAGTTGCTGAAGCTTAGAAAATGTGAAGTTCATGGGCAGAAGTCATCAACAGAGTAAGTAAGGAATCGTTTGTCATTCGAGATAATTTTCGGGGACTTCATGGCGTGTAAAACGAGTCGCTTATATCAAGAGATTGTATCATACAATCTCTTGCTTATGTTGAATAATTCAACTTTGTATATATAGTCCTTTTTATTTATAAAGATATATTATTAAACGTTTTGACGAGTTATTCCTCATATTGATGAGCCCGCGAGGCTTGACAACATACAAACACCGGCACTTCACGGCAGAAATAAACAATATACATATTTATCTGAGCAGGAATATTTTTGTAGTGGAGAGTTAGGAACGTAGGGCACACAGTCGTGATCGCACCTGAAACATATAATTACACAAGTCAAATTTTTCGCTATTTTTTTGTAATTTTTATCGAGGGAGAACGCGACCGTTCCTCACCTGTTAAATTATCTGGATCATCCTTACCTGTTAAATTATCTGGATCATCCTTACCCGTTAAATTATCTGGATCAATCTTGCCAAATCGTGCAGCCATCTGAGCTCTCTTTGAAACGATCTGAGCAGGAACTGACCTGACTGTAAACAATCAGACTCGCAAAGAGCAAACCACAGACTGAAGAATCCATAAAGCTTCCGAAAATTTTCACGATCCACGTAAAACTGGCATTTTTTATTCAGTGCTTTTAGCGCCGGTCAAGTCACCCGAGAATTTGACTGTTTTATCAGTTAAAGTCCACAATTAAAGCCTAACTTGATATTGTTGATTGACCGTCATGACATGATACATGCGATCGCGTAACAATTCTCCTGACATTCTACAAAAAATTGCTTACAGTACTTATTGTAGGCTCTCGGTAAAGCTCTTGTCATTTGACGGCTCGCTTCTTGTTCGTGCTCTGCCGTCAGAAACGATTTCGGGATAATCGTGAAGCGATTGCATGAATCAAAGTTTAATCCACAAGATCGAGCGAGCTGCTTATGTAGTGTTTATATGCAGGGAAATAATCAAATTCAAATCCCCTACTTTCTTTCAGTTAAGGGTAATTTGATGAAATTATCTTTAGTCTTCTATTTACTCACATCTCTGTTCTAATTTGCGTCGTAATTACTTCGGCTTTATCTCTACCCTTAATGTTCTTGAGGAAGGCATTACTTCTTAATTTACTCCTCCCTCTCAACACAAAGAAACTTTCTTTTTAATTCTGATAATATAAAAATTTCAGTTTGAGAAAATGTGCATATAATCAGCAAAACTCTATGCAACCTTTTCAGCTCAAGACACAGAATAAAATTATTTTTACTGAAAACCCTTGATGGAAAGATTTATGAATAAATCTACTGACATTCATCCTAAATTTCTTCTTGCTTTAGAAATAAGTTTTTCTGGCTTTTCTCTCGCACATCGAAACATGATTGGTAGCAAATATTAAAACAAAGTTTTAGATACTTGTCATTTGCAAAGTAAACATTGTGGCGCTCTGTATGCTATTTCTAAAATATTGGTTTTACTTACATCACGTATCTGCTCGATTTTTTCCAATATGCTCTTATCCAGTTGTGCAAATAACAAAAGAGAAGGCCGAAGTTGTATCTTGGCCCAATGCAATTTGTTGGTTTTCCTTATGCCTTTCTTTGAGTATTTTGCAGCATACATTTAACAATTGGAACTATTTGCGGCACAAAATAAAAATGACAGCTTTGGATATCGAGTGGAGCAGGTGCTGTTTCGTTTACAAACAGCTTCTGCCATAGATTGCGGATTCAAACGCCACGATCTAAAAATTTTTAAGCAATAATGCCATTACTTCATAATTTCCATGCGAAAATCTTGTGTCATATAAATTTCTTGAATTGAAAAGTAATGGATGTAGAGAAAAAAATAAACCGCTGTTATAATAATATAGGGGAAATTACCAGTCTTTTCCTTTGGTAGCTAATGCAAATTAAGCTTACTTTTACAACAGTTCTTAAAGTATGCTTTAATGCCGTGAAAATAACTCAGGGTACATGTCCTTTTCACTCCCACGGTAACATTTTTACAGTTTTTGTTCTGTTCTGTCTTTAATTACATTTTTCATTTTATTTTAGCTTTTTCCGTTTATTAGTTTAGTCTAGTAATATCCTTTGTTTCGCTCAACCTGCAATTTTTTCTCAGTAAAAAATGTTTCAGATGCAAGCCAGAAGAAACGTGGGCCTTTTGAGAAAGAAGGACTCCGGCAATTGCAGCAAGAGTAAACGTTTTGTCGTTCGAAGTAAACCTAGCCTTGGTGTTTGTTATTTCGTTGCGATCTTGAGCATGACATATACCTCTTGTAGAGCCTCTTTCCACCCAGGAGAAGAAATATCTGTTATATTAAAGTAGTACCAATCTCACGCATTGCTGGGAGTGATAACGAATCGACCGATATCAGAATGACCAGGCTATTTTGTTTATTTGAATAATAAGTCAATTACGAAGAAGTCCTTCGTCTTTGATGTTGTAAAACGTAAAAGCAATTCTATCTGTACACACACGAGCGTGGATGTATCAAATTTCTCGTGAGTAAACAGCAAATACTACGTGGAAGGATAATAAAAGTTTCTATTTCTTTATTTCTATCTGAAAAAATGATAACAAGAATGAGACGTGTCCAACGTTATCTCATACAACAAAGATGCATAAAGCTGAGAGAACGCAAGCTCTTGGGCTATCTGCCTTTCTTGGCGTCTTTCCTAACGAAATTTAGGAGATTCTGAGGCAAGCGTATTGAAAGTTATGATATTATTCGGCTTAATTAGTATTGATTTTTATTTAGAGTGGCATTGTTTGTATAATCTGAAATATTGTGTTCAGAATTTCTTTATGACACGAAACCAAGCACAAATTAAGCTTTTTATGGGTCTATCATTGAAACATATCTGGATTTAAAATGATTACGTCAACTGAATTTAAAGTTGATTGACAGACGGTATTGCCTTAAAATGATTCACCGGTAAATTATGGGAAGTTTAAAAGCTAGTTCAAAGTCAAAGCACGTTCGTATCAACACCACTAGTTGGATCATCAGAAAGAAATCGGAATTTTTCAAAGTAGACATGAACAACTCAAGTGATGAGGTTTTCAATGATAAATCTTCGTGTCCATATGTTGTTTCTGGGTTGCTCACAGCAACAATTTCCCTCATCAGTATTTGGGCATTCATCGGAAATACCCTTGTGACAGTTGCTTTCCTGAAAGACGTTACGCTAAGAACAAGCACAAACTATTTCATTGTGAACATGGCTATTTCTGATCTGCTATCCGCTATGACGAACTGGCCGCTATATGCAATTGAAGGAATGCAATCAGGAAAGCATACGATTAGTGACTCCATTGCTACACAAGTCTGCAAATTTTGTATCTATTCAAGATCCATTTCCCAGGCTGTGTCAGTCATCAGTCTCGTGTTGATCGTCGTGGACAGATTCATCGCCATTGTCCGTCCTTTCCAAGCCACGAGAATAACTGGTCGAAGCCGTGCCATATTACTGCTATCCACTTGGATCTTTTCAGTTTCCGTTACTTTTCCTTACGTCTGGTTTTCCAAAATAGTCCTAGAAAATCGTCACAAATTTTGTAGGTTCAACTGGGGCGAAGATCAACGTCGCATATTCTACGCCATGGGATTTGTAGTATTTTACTGCGTTCCGTTACAAGTTATACCCATACTTTATTGCAAAATCATGAAATGTTTGAGACAAACACGGCCTACAGCAGATGAAGTGCAAGAAAACGTAGCAATCCGCAACAGACAACAGAATCAGGTTATCATGAAAGTCTTCATATCAATTGTCATAACATTTTTTCTATGTTGGACTCCACTGTGTGTTTTTATTATTCTCAAAATGGTTTTACCCTCATTGTATACCAGAGATTCGTGCTTACTATCTTTAGCTTTGTTTTATTACATATTTCCATCTATTAGCGCTGCAGTTAATCCTGTCATACTAGTTGCATCTAGTTCAAGATTCCACATGGCATTAAGGAACATGTTTTGTTTCATTACGTGCTCGTTTACTTGTGGCAGGGAAGTTAGGGTTTCACCAGAAAACGAAATGAACGCACCACCAGCTGCAAAATAAACAAAAAATAAGATTTAGAGTTTAAAAAGTTTCAGATGTATTACTGGCGCCTTCGTCTTTCCACTTTCAGTAAAACTCGGATTTCAGTAAATCGTTGTGCTTTCAATAGTTTAGGTAGCAGATGATCCTAAAAGGAGAGTCAAATTATATTTAGCATAATATCGAAAGTTTAACATGACAAATTAAGGTCAGTTAGTTTCTCAAAATTTAATAATTCATTTGAATCGATGGATGCTAAATAGAGGGCTTTATATTTTTTATCTATTCTAAAAATCGCGGTTGCATGTTGCCTTTACTTGTGCATATCGATATTGTAATTTGAAGGTTATCTTAACGACATGTAGGCAATGGCAGTTTATGACAATTTTGGTATGATGCGCTCGATTCTAGAGTCTTTTTAATATTGATTCGTTAAAAGGAGAACTGAAAACCATAAGTATTATCAGATATGTCGGTGGAAACGACGCTGTTTAATTGAAAGCTTAAAAATATTCCAAATGATAATATCTATAACAATAATAACAAAAACAACGAATGCTAACTAAGTGTATTTATGACTGATGATCAGTTTACTATGCTGAAAGCTTTAGATATTCCTTTCATCTATCCAAGACAGGTTCCCAAAGTTCCACTCAATATTGAATATTAAACCGTTATCGGTTATCCTCGATGAAAAAAAGAGTGGTTTAACATTTATTAAATTGGTGGTTTTCCTTCTAAATATATATATATATTTTGACATACTTATTCGAGGGAAGTGCGTAATAAATGCCGGCGCTCTGTTTACGTATAGACTATGACAAGACAGTCGGGGAATTCCTCTGTTAACTGGTTAATTAAAACAATTTCTAAAATAAACTAAATTAATGCTAACTAAGCGTATTTAAAATTTGCCGTCGGGGTTTCCTCTCTCAGATCACACGAATTTTGATGACATCACGATGTTATTTTGTAGGGGGCGGCGAAGAATTTAACACAGTTTGAAAACGCACGTGCTGAACTATTGTTCTGCTCACTAGATCTTTTGTTTTGCCACGTCTTCGTTGCCGCCATCGTCGTGGTTTACTGAAGGTCTCTATTGATACAACAAGCTAGTAAACACACTTGGCACACTTGTGGTTACAAACTTGGAAGTCACGCGCCACGCCTTCCCCAACTACCTTACACTGCTATACTGTTAATACTTAACTAGGATAATAAGTCAATGATTAAAGGCAAGGAGATGAAGGGAAAGGTCAAAACTTGAGGGGGGCAGACTCGTAGTATCCGAAATTGATTGTACAATAATCACAAGACTATTTGGTGACTTTGATAATATTAGATTGTTCTTTACGCAAGGCACGCGTTTGATGGAAAATTTCTGTTTCCAGTGATCTATAGAAGAGGTGCCATATTTCGCTGGTGCGTCCTATTTTGATGAACTATTTTGTTACTTTATGATAAGTTAGTAATTTAGTTGGTCAGTTTAGAATGATTTAATCTTTCGTTTATATTTAGAATATATTCAATGTATGAACTCGAATTCCGAAGATATTTAGGTTTTGGGTGTCATGATGAGTTTCTGAATTGTGACAGCCTTGTCTTGCTTCCTTGGACGTGCTTTGTTTGTTTAAAGACCTTGCTTTAGACCCACACGAAAGTTCATGTTTTGGCCAACGCAGTCAGAGGCTGATTCAGTTGATTGTAAGCATTATGATTGAATACTTTGTTGTTCATTTCGAAACTCTCGTGAAATTTTTTGGTTTAATGTTCTAACTACAAATGTTTAATCTCCTAAAGTCAGCCAGCTGGCATGCTCGACAATATCTGTCAGTAGTGAATATATAAGCATGTTCTTGACAGCTCACTTAGGAGTCTGGAGAAGAGAGAGGAGAGCAGACTGGAAGAATGTAGACAGTATGCAGATAAGCAGAGTCAGAATCGTGCAGTCAAAGAACAAGTATTCAGTGAGAATAAAAGTGTGAGAGCCTAAGAGATTAACCAGACTTACACAGAATGAAATAAGCTTGGATATAAGTAGAATTGTGTACTGAAGAACCGAGTAATTAATAAAAAAAATTGAAAAAGACAATTTGAGAGTCTTGGTGCCTTTCGCCGAGCGTAGTGTGCTCGATAGCTAGTTCCCCGACGTTTAATAATAATAATACTAAACGTCTTCAAACCTAACACTCTGCGCAAATTTGACCCACTCCTCCCTTTGTCCTCCTCCTTTTGTTTACGTGGTTGTCTTCTGCGAACTCACCTTTTTTTGTTGTACCCTAAACTTTGCTAGAACTAAACAAATTTAAAATCTTCAATGATTAATTGTACAAGATTTAATTTTTGGACAATAAATTGGCCATCCTAAGTGGCCAAAATTTATCCCGACACAACCTTGTCTGATTTCTATTTATTAAAGCTCTCTTGCAAGCAAAGCTCGACTGTTGATCTGGTAATCGACCAAAATATCGCTATAGGCATGGTTTCCTATTTCTATGCATTTCTCAACAAGGGAAGGAGACATAAAATAAAGTAAAAAATTGCGCCTGCAAAGTTATAAACTATACTTATTCAAGTTGTTTTATGGCTAGGAAAAACCTGCGATATTTTCGCCTTTTCGAACAGTAGCAAAGTTTAAAGGATAAAAGCAGAAGAATCATGGTCAGCCAAAAAAAATAAATGTATTCGCAGCCCATAGAACTAGGGATAAGTTTCTAAAGAAATTGTGGTGCTGCGTCGGTGGGAGAGTATAACAGGGTAATTCTGTATCATCAACTGAGTTGATAAGTTCCGTAAATTGGCCACCATAAAGAGTTAAAAAGCTAACGTTTCGAGCGTTAGCCCTTCTACAGCCCTTCGTTAGTTGTGTCCTTTTATTAACTTTAAACTTATTTTATTTCTAGTTCTATGCAAGGCAGGCTCTCAGGGGGCTATCATTTACAGTTCTGAGACCTCAAGCGTTCGCAAGCAAAAACAGTCACGTGCAAATGTCAAAAAAGCTAAAAATCACTTTCCTCTCATACACTGTAATCTCAATTTGCTCAAAAATACGTGAAATAAATTCCTTTTTGATAATGAACTATTCTTTTTAAGTATAAAATGTTTTACGAACGTACGAATTTGAAAGAAGAAAAAATGCAGGCGATTCGATTATGACCTCAATCTCTGTTTAGCGACATTTATCTTGCATGTACGTCGACCGCCTGAAAATACTGGCATCAAATTTCTGTTTTTCTTACAGTAAATTCCACATTTATCTACTTTTCGCATGTAATTCGAGTATGAAGTAAAATGCAACATTTTATTTCACACTCGTTATAACAAAGACGATTGGATTGCATAAGAACCGCACGTGCTGGATGAACGACCTTCGTGGTAGCTCTAATAATGACTGTTTTGCAACTTTCCGTGAAGACTAGGTGAATCTTTTGTTCTATAATTTCTCCTACTGAGAGAATGAAGGATGTCCATCACTTTGAGAAGTCTTGGTGAGAAGTCTTTGCAATATATCCTTAAGCCGTTGTCTTCACCTGAGTTTCTTACCTTGTGAAAAGTGACCGATTCAAGAATCGTGAACGCGTGTCCTGATCAGTGCGTTTTTTTTTCTTAGGAGAATTGCATAACTAATTTGAAAATAAATTTTGCCTCAAAAGTAGCTCCACTCTATTCACATATGAATGAATATGTCCACTAGAAACAGGTCACCTCATATCATTGGATTTTCACATGATTTGCGATTGTTTTTTTCACATTTGATATTAATGTCACGTCTGATATTAAAAAAGGAGGCTTGAATTCAGTCTTGCTGACATAAGCTTAAGTTGTTAAAAGAACCTGCACGTGTTGAACAGCTCTTCAAAAATGGTAGGTTCTTATTTTTCTTTTCTTTTATCCTTCTGTTGATTAGCATGATTTCAGCCTCCAGATTAATTTAGCTGTGTTGCAGAGCTGTACTCGATATTTGCAACTATCAGCAGCAAATTAAATTTTGGTATTCATTTCGCGTAAGCGAGTTATTTTACTAATTTTAAATCACTAAGCGTTGTGTCAGGTTCGCTTCTTGAAAAAAATAAATTGATAAATAAGTGAATTATAGAACGTTCCTCGTAACAGATTTAATGAAAACTCATTAGGAAACGATAAATTGCGGACAGAAATTTTTAAAAATACGAAGTTTTTTCAGACACTTTTTTACCATTCGGTAACAAAATCTTGACAGCTCCACGTTCTAAAGACTTAGCGTGATCAAATCTTGGAAGACCGTATACCTTAAAATAGCTTTCTTCAGGCTCCGTCGCGTTTGGTGACTACAGAAAATCGAACAAGAGGGCTTGAAAAGGAACGGGGTTTAAAAATTCCGAAAGCGATTGCAATACACAGGTATATAAAAAATAAAGATTGCTGTCAAACGCAAAAAAGATCAGGTCAGGCGCGGTCAAGCTAAAAATGACCTTCGAAGAAAAATTATCCGAAATCGATTTAACTAGTCTCCTTCTATATATAGAAGATACACCATTAAGATAGAATAGTAGATGAATTACCCTGCTCTAAATTATCTTAGCAACTTAACTTGTTAGTACACGCATCTGCAACTTTTGAGGAACATTTCATAGTAAATTGATGAAACATGACACTTAACAATTTCATCTAAAATTAAACTCTTCCCTTTCGCGTTTTTCAAATGCGTAGTAAATTACAAATGATTTATTTTGGAAAACTGGAACCTTTTGACATTGAATGTGAAACATCCTTCATTCGTTCACCAAATACTGTAATGTAGTAAATCTTGGAAAATGAAGCCCGGGCTTATTTAGGAGCTAATGGGTAAGTTTCTAAAGAAACTGCGGTGCTTCGCCTGGCGATGGGGAACATCACAATATAATTCAAGTTGGTTTAATCAACTGAGCTGATAATGCAAATTGGCCACATGGTTACCTCAGTCGATATAACCAGATTGTAACATATAGGGGCACTCTGACTTGACAATCAACGGATTACGGATATTTGGTGTTTCAAGTACGGCACTGGAAAGGCGCATGAGATCTCTTTACAAGAGTTTATAAGTAATTTTTGACCACCTGCTTCCCTGAAACAGTAGTATGCTTGGCAAATAACGCAGCTAGCATCACGAAAACTAATCAAGTGCTTGATCACACATGAACGTCATAGCTTATGATGATAGACCAGACGCTCCTGCATGCGTTAATTAATGAATTAATAAATTAATTAATTAATTCAAGTTTTCCTGTTTTACAACCAGAATGAAATGCACAAGAGAAGGGCACGTTCGTTTGTTCCATCAGGAGGGTAATATCATGTCGAAAGCGAAAGGTGTGGGACTGAATAATGGTAGAATCTCTACTACTTGTTCCCTCAGCTTCGCACCTCTTTTTCCATATACCATAAAGAACACCAGCTACACGTGCTAATTTCCTTTTTTGATGCTGAGAGCTTATGACCGCAGCAAAACACGAGGATGTTTCGCATACTCTCTATGATTATGTGATCTGACCTTCCACTCACAAGATTTGCACGTCAATTCTCTGCATCGCCTAGCATACGTTGCTTTTAATTATAGCTCTGAAAAATTATCCTAAATCAACAATCCCCTGATTGAACATTTTGGGTTTTTTCATTCTTTCTTTCCTCTTTTGAAAGTTTATGGATTTTGGGAAAAGGCTTTTTCACTCCTGGAAGTGAAAGGGTTAATTTAAGGGAAAAACGTTGTCCGTGTGAGCTACACAGTGGGTTTGAAATTACATCACCCTGTGATCCTACAAAAGACTTCCAGAACATATTCACGACCGTGTAAACGCTAAAACTCCAGTTGTTCTCGTTCCTCGACTGTGAGCCATTTATGTATTTATCTAGAGCAAATCTGATCATTTGCTAGTGTCACTTGTTCCTACACCCTTAAGGGTGTTGGGAATTTCCCAAAATTTACAAATAAAAAAGATGAAAAGCATATAAACAATTTTACTCAAGCTTCGAAACTCATAGTTGTCGTTTTAAAAACCATAAAAAGTTCTTCTATTTGAGTTTCTTTACATAAATTTTGTTGGCGAGAAAAAAACAAAGAATAGTCCCGTTCGGGTGAATTAATTTTTTGGGAAGTCGCAGGGTAGGTTTTTCATTTCTTTGTCGTGCTCGTCTTCTTCGCAACAACACATAGTCGTCAGCCTGTCTGGGTCAGATGACTCAGGCTCTATAGCGTCACGCAAGGCAATTATTGTCTGAGCGTGATCTCAGCTGTGAACAACTTCACATCACGACTCTATCATGTGTTTCTGACCCTCTCTATGATTTTGTAGGATCGATACATTCTCCGAACAGATCCTTGTTTTTGTTCTGTTTGTTTTTGTTTTTTGCCTAAAAAATGCTTAAAATATAAATCCCATGTGCCGACCCGAAAGCTTCCTTAAATGGCCACTAATTATAACATGCCTGAAAACGTCTTTTAATGATGCAGAAAAAAGTGATCAGTGCAAACAGTCTTGGTCACGGTGAGCGTGTGGCTGACTCGTAGTGTGAGCGCCGTTAAGAAGGGCAAATGAGATATTTTGTCGAAATAGCAAAAACTTTTTTCTTTATGAAGGTGTCTTTGACCAGTATTTGACGTTACCCAAAGAAATAATTTTGTTCTGCTTCACTATCAAAGTCCTGTTCGCAAATTTTAAGTTGCTAACAGTCTGATCTTTATCTAAAAACATCTGTGAAAGTGACTCAAACACGTGTTCACGAATAAATTTCCAAGACAAAAAAATTGTCGAACACTTGAAAAATAAGACTTGAATGCTTCGACGCAACGTTTCGTCTGGGCCTCGCGATTCATCAGCTGAGATACTTTTCGGAAACTGCATATTCATGAATTTCATTTGAGGCGCGTTTTGGATGCTTCAAATTTTCAGCAAAACAACTTTCGCCGGACCATTTTGATGCAATTTTAAGTAATAGCTGACTCATAAAAATAAAAATTATCAAATTTGTGAACTGATGTTGTATTCCCCACATTTGCAAATAGAGGCTCTCAAAATTCCTATCGAAACGCATAATAGGGTCATCGCTACCGATTAAGCGAAGTTCTTTTTAGAATAGTTGATTCTGCCACAAATCTAAAGCAACAAAAATACTCACTATTTCCTATTTCCTAATCAGCCCCCGTGACAGCAACCTTTGTGGGTTACGGGACGCTAAGTCAACGGTCAAACGATTTCCTCGATGGCACCCACTGAAACAATTCGAGTTCCATCAAAGGAAGATTTCGTTATGTAGCCTAGCTGCGCGGTGCTACACAATTTAAGTCATATAGTCGAATTTGATAGGATTCAAATAAATCTTTCACCGCATTTCACGTGAAATGTCACCAGGTCCAAAGTACAAACATTTAGACTTTCACTCGGAGATGTTCCTCGGGAGAGGTGAAGAAGAGACAGTAATGAGTTAAACAAGGCCAATAAAATACATCAGAAAGGGGGATTGAGAAAGAAAAACGAATTGATGTCGCCTTCTCACCGTTTCTGACTGATTTAGCCGATGTAGCCGTCGAGGTACCTTTCCCACCCTCTTAAAATCAGTGGTGAGCCAGAGCGAAAGTTTTTTGGGGAAGGAACAAGAAATCTGAAGCGGTAGAGGAAACCAAAAGATTCTGTGAGATGAAGTCAACTTGCTTTCTTATTTATTTTTGAGAGATGAATACACATTCTCTGTGTGTTAGTAGTGTTTCCACGTTAACGGTGAGTGATTTGGCGCTGAACGAACCAATGTTCGATCTTTCATGTTAGTTGTGTTTAGGCCATGTCGTGCGGCGCAGTCTTTCTAATTGGACTTTGCCCTCCCAGTTTGAAGAAATCTCTATAAAGTCTTTTTCCGACATTAAACTGTTTTTCAGTTTTTCAATGTAACAAATTGGTTACTAAGCCTCCGAGAGTTCTTAAAAGCTTTTTTCTTTACGATCTCAATCTTTGATCTTCTTCGCAGGAAAGTTGAACGATGGATTCGGACGCAAAAATAAAATAATTTATGCTAATCAAGTCCCTCTGATAAGCATACGCAAAGAGCCCAATTCTGCCTTGTCAGTCAAGTCTTATACGACAACATTATGCTTTTTCAAGAGTAGTTAACAACAAACATGGCTTTTTTCCTGAAAAACCTTCATGAAAAACCTTTGGACTAAACTTCCAACTACTAGTCTACTGATGGAGTTTTCTGATATTAGCAACGTGTACGTGAATAGAAGAATTCATATAACTCGATTCCCAATTGATCTTTAGACCTCCAAATAACCGGCGCTGTAAGGAAACTTGTAAGAATTATATACAATGGGCTGCAATTTTTCACAATTTTTCACCAGTTACTCAGATAACGTCAAACTTAAGGCAACATTTTAAACAATCACTAGTCACGATATTTGTTTTTAAGAGGGATGCTTGAGTTAAATAAGCATTTTACCAGTAATTGCTTAGGGTTAGGGTTCAGACATCTTGGGCTTGATCACAAAAATTAATTTTTTTTGTCTAAACTGAAGATGGCACCAAACGTGGTTTGTCTTGAAAACGGCTAACTTTTGTTTAAATGGCTGGGCTTCAAAAATTTTGGTCTCCGGAAATTATCACTCTGAATCCAGTGTTCATATTAAATGTAGCTCCAAAGAAATATGTGGTAAGCTCCCTGTCGATCCTGTACATAATGGGATGAGTAAATATATTGTTCAATATATGAACGAGGAGGAATAGAAAAAGAAATGAACAAAAGGGAAGCTGAAGGGTAACCACAACAAAGTTACTCACTAGGTAACCTCCGTTGAAACTGAGGGAATTTTTTGTCTCAACGTTAATAAATTATACCGATGCAAAATTATAATAACCACATTTCTTTGTTTGATAAAGAGTCATGGTGGTAGTTTGGATGATACTGGTGACGAGCACGGCCATGATGCACGTAAGTTTTGTGCCAGTTCTATGGTAGATCTAATCTGTTTCTTAAATCTCCTTATTTGGCTTACAATGGTGCGACGTAGGGAAGACGAGTGTAAAGGTCACTTCCAGACTCCTTCGAATGCCGCTTCATTGCAAGGATGCAACATGCGGAAATTTCAGTTTTAAGCTGCGCTAGCCGTCACTTTACATGACTCTACTTCTCTAATTAACCTTTGCATTCTTTCTTATCGTTCTATTTTCAGTTGCTATCACGGCGTTAATCGTAATGGGAGCCATCCTTGCCATTCAGTATACTATCTTAGTGTTGACTTTATGCTGCAAAGTTTGGGACAGAGCAAATGGGTAAGTCTCTTTCTCCTGGTCTGTACGTCAATTGAAGAACATTGAGTAAGGGTCTGAAACTGAGTGGTAGAAAACTTTTTTAAATTGAGTAGGAACACGTTTTAGTCATCAGAGGTACGAGAAACCAAAAATTGACTTTGGGGTGAGTATAAAACTGACTCAGGGTCCAGAGAAGTGACCGAAATCTCTGGCTAAATTAAGGGAATCCGTGAAGAACTGAAAGTCCTCATACCGTTCCCACAACAGGATTCTGTCATTATTGGGAATCTTTGCATGTTTCAGGCCTTCTGTCTTTGGAGGCAGGTGGAAGAGCGAATGAGAGACAAACGGAAGTAGTTATCGACAGATAAACGGCTGCGCAATTTCCTCTTCCTGCCTGACCCACACGATCTTCTACGCGCTGCTTTTTCGCGTAGAGGACAACGTAGTGGGGGAGGATGACATCTTCTTACTTGAATTTTAATGGCTTATAATCAAGCTATGTATCGATGCGAGAACAAAAATTGGTATAAATCACCAAAAATTCAGCTTGATTGTCGTATAGGCGTTATTGACCCAATGTGAGGTCAACAGGTCAAGATGACTGGATATTGGCCGAGCTCCTTTTTTGCATTTTATGGACTTCGATTTCGTTTCGCTCCATGAAAACGCAAAAATAGAATGAAGGCAATATCCAGCCATCTTGACTTAACAAGCTTGGTCAATAAAGGATTTATTATAAAGCTGAAAGTTTCTGCTTTATTAAGAACCAAGATTGACTTGTTTGATTTGAGGGCTGGGAAAGAAAGCCAATTGTGTTTGTAACACAATAAACCCACAAGGGTTTGACTGTCTTCTGCTCCTTTTTATGAATCCATTGCCGACATTTTACAAAAATTACGAAACTAGTAAGTCCGTTACAGGTATTTGTTTTTCTTGAACGGGATCAAAGGGAGCAATTCCGAGCGGGCAAGATGGGCCCATCTGTGGAGGCAGGTGAAAGAGCGAGTGAAATGTCATTCACGACACATGTCATATTGCCCAGGGGAACTGCCAGCGATATAATAAATTTTACTTACCACTCCTTCCCTATAACCCATTTAGAGTTTCAAAGACATATGAATAAGCTAAATAATGTGTTTAGCTTGATGTTCATATCTAAATTAAATCCGTAATAGTGCATATCTAGACCCGTTTTAGACCACTTACTTACAATTATTTGTTTTTTTTTATTTATTAATTTATTTTTTTTTTTGGTTTAGAACCTCTAGTTCATTTAGACATCAGTCAGAAGAACCGGATTCTGAATTACAGTGTATAAACAGATTCCCTTTCCTACCTTCATATGAGATGGCGGTAGGAGAGGATCGTTCAAGTCCGCCAAATATTTACACGACGTAACCATCTTGGATGCTAGTATTGTCAACCAGATTATTCACGATGTAGTAGGCTAGATGTAGTCCCAATGACTCGATGAACAAAGCAGCTGATCATCTCAAATTAAAGTATGGACACCACTCGGTAATCCATCCGATGAAGCGTTACATTGGAGATGAGGGGTCTCAATGTAAAAATTTTCATTGACTGAATTACATGATAATTTTGGTATCAACTGTGGCTTGGAACCATTCTCTTTATCAATACCACTGTAACGTATAAGATTTAGAGTAACATTTCAGACAACTGGAGAATTTACTGTTAATGAGTCCATGTCATAACAACGGTATCAACCTACACTCTGTAAGCGCAATCTTTATTTACACTACTATGCCAGATTGGGGATCTTGTTAAAAACACTTTCCTGTTCTTTAATAGATGCATCGTACATTTTCGCAGAATTTCCCTCTTGAGTTGCTGAGAATTCCGCGCACGCTGGTTCAGTAATCTTGGACTGTATACTTTCTCTTGATTCAGGTTTTATTGACGACAATTCAGCATTACACGTTCCGTTCTGCAATCTATCTACTCCCTTACATTCTAATCCTAGGGTTACAAAAATGCTGCATTTATTAGCTAAGGAAATCCGCACCCAGATACGTAATTCCGTGTGGGATTCAAGACTCAATCACGTTCTACAACGATTCGTGGGCACTGATATCCTATTAAACAAGGCTTTACTTGATAATCATGCTGCTAGGTTCCTATGCACTTAAACGCCCTGCAAATACCTAATTTCATACATCAGTGCTCGCCGAATTAATTCGATTACCCTATGCCGCTCCCAATTACATGCTACTTCTAATTGTAACGTTAACTCTGTACTTTAACGGTAACGAAATTACAACTCACTTAATACACAGTTAAATTCATAATATATCCAGGAAATCAGTTTGTGCGTGGAAACATTTCACAACATACATGTAACAATAGCATTCACATCTATGATAACATTAGACTTATCAAAAAAATTTCAATAAGCTCTGGATCTAACGGAAAATTTAGCGGAAAAATGGATCGGTGTCATAAAAATGAAACGTTATTGTTTTTTAAACCAAATGTTCAACATTTAACAATATTGAACATTAGGGTGCCTTACAAAGCATGAATATTTACAAGTACCTCAATACAAACCCTTATATTTGTAAGGAGGAGAGGCGATTTAATCAGTTTCATGCATGGGGAGCAGAGATTCATTACTGTACCCTCCCCTCCCTTGAAAAATGCTGGTTATGCCCTTTAGAACATCGACAAATGAGAACTTTGCGATTAGGCTGATACTCATAGATGCCTGGTGTATTCTGCGAAATTAGATTAAACTTAAGATCATAAGGGCTTTGCTCTCAGTATCAGCAAATTTGATAACAACTGACAGCAATATTTTAAGCACATGAGGCTGCATAAAATATTTTATATGCTGGTGTAAATGTGGCGATTTTAAGGAAGAAATGACGCCAACGGTCTGTCATTGTGCTTAAGCCGGGAACCTATGAGTTACCACAAGCTTTAAGAGAAAAAGCTGAGAAAACCACGCTTTTCGGGTGGTTTAGCATTAAGCCTAAGGTTTTGTTATGATCGACTAAGAAGACATTTCTTTGAAGGTGTGGTTGACGGAATGAATTCCTCGGCCATTCACGTTCCTTTAGTGAGTTGTTTCTACAAAATTACAACTGAGCCACGATCCGAACCTACTTCGCCTCTTAACTGGAAACAAAATAGATAGGAATGAAATGATTTATAGAACTAAATTTTCTTAATATATAATAACATAATCTCCTGCACACGTTTACTTCTGTTGAACGAAACAAAATGAGATTTATTCCGCTAGTCTTGAAAGTGGAGAGAGGAAAAGTTGAAAAAAGTTGTCTCAAAATCTCGTTCATCACTTGTGCTAAATTTGCCCAGCTGTATCGAACTTATGGAAAGAATATGCATAGTCAAGGTCACAACATTATTCTCAAGGTAAACCAAACGAGGCCGTGGGCGAAAAAATTTTAACTAACAATAAAAAAAAAATGACAAGAATTTCAGCCCAGAACGGGTCCACTCATCTAGTGCTTTCGAAACGCGTCTTTTAGTAGAAATCTGGAATGGTTCACTGATTCTATGAATGGTGCTAAAGGACTGATATTTTTTAACTCTAGAATAATTCAGTCAAAAATGATGAAAAATAACCTCGGTCTGTTAGGAATTAATAAAACGAGTGATAAAAATCTGATCAGAAATTAAGTCCACATTTATTTGCTCTTCACGACATGTTTGGCTGTTGCCATAGCAAAGGTAGAACCAAAGAGGTTTCAAGAAATAATCAGGAAACAGTAAGTTGCATCAAACATGTTTTAACATGACATAAAAATGAAATCAATTTCAGACAAAGGCACTGATCCTACTTTGGCACTGCAATCTCAATTATTTCGTAAAGGCTGTCTTGCAAAAACAGCGAAAGTTGTTGTGAGTTATCTAACTTTACAGTTGATCCATCGTTATGACTCGATCACCAGCAAGTAAATAGATACGATACTTTCACCCCATTTGAATTAAAATTACACCACAGAAAACTAACCGATGACTGGGTGAATCGTTTACAAATTTGGCCATGTGAATTGGATTATTTTGGCTTTGTAAAACAGCCAAAACGTAACGCTGGAACAAACACGTTAATTGAAAATAATCAACAAGATTAGTTGAAAACTTCACTATCAACGTCAAATCCACGTCACGGTAGTTCGCCTCTCTAGATTTCTTTTTTTTTTTTTTGTCATTTCATTTTTGTACAGAAGCAATCAATCTTTCGTTCTGAATCAACGGAGATGAAAATGTCCTTAAGAGCACCTTTACTGATTTCAAACACGGAGGTATCACTGTTTATGACGAACTCACAGACAACTTGAAAACTGGGTATATTATGCGTTTTCACTTTGTTTTTTCCACGCTTCCCTGATGTCCTTTGTTTCCTTAAAAAAAAAACACAATGCATGCTTCAAGTGTCTTGCTGGGTCTGATGACTCTATTCTATGGCAAAACTTGCATATTCCAATGCGACATTATTCAAATCTGCATGCAAAGGTTCAGTGACTACAAACTTTGAACACAACTAATCTATGATATAAGTTCTTTTTCTTTGAAATTTAGCGAAACTTTGGCGAACAGTCAGGCGCAGAGAAATGTTTGCGGTACAGATGAACAACAGGGCTTGTCTCTTTGTTATTTTGCTGCTCAGTATTTTAAGCGAAGGTACGTAAGTTAACTGTTTAATAAAATATTTAGAGCCGAATATGTTTAAAGAAAGGAAAAAAGGGCAAAATTAACTGTCTCGTGGATCTTCTCTCACAGACTTGAAGTGATGAATACATGTAAGCTTATTTTATATTCCGAGCAAACGTCCTTCGAGTACAGGAGTTAAATGCGCAGTTCACACGCAATTGATAGATGCGCCATTTTGAAATAATTCGTCCGTGCCAACGATTCTACGACTCTTCGCGCAAAGATTCTAAATTTTGCCGAAGGTTACTGACCTGATCCATTGACAGGAGATGAAAAACTGTCAAACCTGTATAAACAAACAAAGATATGTTTCAAGCACAAAAAATTAATTTAATGAATGACCTTCGTCGTTCATATCAAGCTGTCGTTTAGAAATTTCCTGTAGAGTTTCGAAAATGTAGGTGTTTTCATTGTTTTTGTTTTTCTACGAAAGGCTATGCAAATCTATGCAAACAATCGAACATCACTACTCCCAAATGTTCAACATGCGTGTTGCTCTTAATTTAAATTCCTTTAGGAGTTTTGTCCCGAAACCTTGCCGAAAATTAGAATCCAACAACAATGTTACGAAACATTTGATTTGATAGAGAAATTACTGAAATTTAAAAGTCAAGACGAGATTGCAGGATTCCTACACAAGCTGCTTGATAACTTTTAAGGGAAATCACTCGTGTTAGAAACTCAAATGAGTTATATTTCAGTCATATGTCATGGTAATACGACTGAGTGGAGTCCAACTCGGTCTGTTATCATACGAGTGATGACAAAAATCGAACGACCGCGCCGCTAGAGTCCAATTTGTTTATCACGAGTATGATTAAAGACCGAATTGGACGACTTATTACCATTTAATCATAAAGATTACAATTTCCGAGAAAAGAAGAATTGCCAAGTAATGAAAGAAAGGGAATATTTGCATTAAAGGACTGACAAAAAAAGGCGTAAACGTACACTGTTTCTATGGTGATTGAACCAAGGTTGTGATTTGTTGATTTAAACTACAACTTTGAATTTGATTGGCTTATTGAACTTCCGAAAACAAACTGTTCAATAGTAACTTGGTGGGTGACTTAGAGGAAAATAAGAGCTTTTTTAGACCAATTACAATCGAGGAAATCGTAATTTTTATGATTAATACTAAAATACTGCATTGTGCTGCATTGTGCAATGAATCATGTCGACTCAAAATATGTATATGTTTCTTTCAGGCGCAGCAGACTGCACCGATTCAATAATATGCTGTAACAAACTAAACGAAATACGTAAGTTTACCATTACATCTAATTATATCGATTGCTCGGAGGTATATTTCCCACAAACTCTTAACCGACTACCATAATCTGGTGGTCTTCCGTGTCTTTTAAAACACTTTACGGTGACCAATTTATGTTATCAACTGAGTTGACAATACTAAATTACCCTTCTATGTCAATACGCATGCTCACAGTCTACTCAGTGCCATAGAAATTACACCAAGCATTGCATGGTAGGTTTCAGGTCGATAGATAAATGAAGTAAACATGGTATTTGTCTCCTGTTTAAGAATAGGCCTACCATTTTGCTCATTATCTCAAACTGATAAATGAATGAAGTAGTGAAAAGGTAAAACAAAGAATTGCATGTCGTTACATGATTAAATTTATATATGGCAGTATTTTTACATCACAAAAATGAAGGTTAGCTTAACGTACATATGCCATCTGCCTATTAATAAAGTCATTTACTCCCACTCTAAAAACAGTTTGAAGGATAAAGTCATTTAACATTTCAGTCCAATCGAGGTTAGCTTAACTTACATGTGCCATTTACCTATTAATAAAGGTTTTATAAACTCCGGCTCCAAGAAAAGTTTGAAGGATAAAATGATCCAACATTTCGGTTCACTAAAGAGGAAATCATAGAGCTGTATAGGCTATTGTGGCTTTTGTGGCCGCTTTTTGCGAGCAACAATTAGCTCCTTAAGGCTTGTAAATTACGTACTGACCAAAGCAATACGTAACCCAGGCCAAATTCGTCAGGCAGCCTGGGAGTACATTCCGTGAAACGCAACTTTACAGCTACGTTGATGGGTTTAACGACCACACCTCCATTGACGCCGACGAACACAGGAAAAAACTTCGTGTAGAATTGCGAGGCACATGTAGCAGCTCCAGTGTACTATAACGTTTTGCAATTTGACATTGATAGTAAATTGAATGTTATTCTTCCCTTTCAGTGATCATTGCTGGTGTCATAGCAGTTTGCTTCTTCTTTTTCATCCAGTGCATTGTCATTGTATGTCTGGCTAGTAAGCTGAGCAAGGTCCAGAAAAGGTAATTAGTTTTCAATTAATAAAACATGTCAAAAGCTTTAACCTAAAACTTGTTTTTCCTGTTAAAAGAAGATGATTGAACTCAGTCTGATCATATATGAACATAAAGAAATGTAATAGATACCTGTGATTTATTCCCCCTTGCAACCGCTTTTTGAGTATATTTAATATAATCTCAGTCAACATGACAGAAGACACTGGGGACGTTTGTGCCACACCGAATGTTATCCATTCATTGGTTTCAGGTTGATAAAAACTGTCACTCATTACACATTTTTCACACAGAGGATTCTCAGCCATGATCATCTAAGTGAGGTTTGCCTAACAAGGATCTTTTATCACCAACCTATCACTTCTGCTTGTTTACATTTCATTGAAGAGCGAGTAGTTCAAGTCATGTGGATGTTTCTTTTCAGGTTGGACGTAATGAGTTTGTCCAGAGGATCACATAAATTGGGCAGCTCTTATCCAGTATTACCGTACCACGAGAATGCGCTGGAAGAAAAAGAGGAGCCGAATGGGGTAAAATGTTATACAGTATAGATATCCAACATGTTGATCCCTTCATCAATTTAAATTCTACATCAAGTTAAACAGTTTCATTCTTAGCATGAGAGGGAAGATGAAAGGAACCATCAACCCTCTCCCCCTCCCCCTCCCCCTCCCCACCTTTTCGTCCTTCAGTTCCTTCTCTCGTTACGATAACCAAGGCGACATCTTGTTCTTCAATTGCCGTAACCAAAAGAAAATATTATCTCTCGCTATTACTTCTTTCCTAAGGGATTAAGGGATTAGTCATTGCTTGTATCCAGTGGGGGGGGAGCCAGGGACAAGGATTTTGTGGACAGATCATATGGTTTTTAGAGGAAATGAAGGAGGGATCGGTCATCGCCCAAAGTATAAAGAGAGAGGAGGGGGGGGGGGGGGGGGGGGGAGGGGGGAGGGGCTATAGGAAATTGATTGCAAATTAACTGCCAGTCAGGGGGGATCATAAGAATATTACAGAGCCTTATATGTGTATCAGGTAAATTTTATCCTGACTCAACCAAAATCTCGCAGCGCGCCCCCCCCCCCCCTCCCCCCCGACCATCCACCCCTTGGAGATGGGTGGGGAATCCCTTATACGAATACAGTCTGGTATCATATTATCCGCAATTTATTAGTAATAATGACTCATTACAGAATCCTCGCGCTCGTCGTATCTCTGGAGCTGTTCCATCCGTTGGCGGACCTATCAGAGCCAATCCAATTACCATTTTTGACAACCCACAAAGCAAAGACCAGGAGATTTGGTAAGTTTCCACAAAGTGAATCGCGTTACACAGCGAAAAAACGAGAAGAAACGCTACTACATATATTAAAACTGAACAAAAACTACCAAGCCTGCTATGTTACTAATTTAAAACACCAAGTAACCGAAATATCATGGGTAAAATAAATAATGCATTAGTAATCATTGGAATGTCACACATACTAGTCGCTAGTTATCGTTGTAAAAACTATATGCAACTCTTGTTTAACCCAATATCTTAAGGGAGAGGTCGATGTGATAAGACTAGCCTTTACGTCCATTTGCCATTTTCGCGGCCAAGCGATATTACACAAACAAGCAAGATGTTTACAGATTCTTGAAAAGTTGTGTAAACTTAGGCCTAGGCCTAATCAGTAAAGGGTGGGGAATTCTCCATCATTTTCTTCTTCGTTATTAGGGAACAACTGATATTCAATAGATATTTAGATGGTGAAATGTTTAGCGACTACCAGAACCTTCGTTTTGGGGATTTAACTTAAGTCTTTATTAGCCTTTTTTTAATGGGTGTGAAGGAGTGAACCTTTCCTAACAGAATAAATTATGAAGGGAAATAGCTCTTGAAGAGACAGCGAAAGTCTAAAAAAATTACAGTCACCCAGTCTCTATGCCATTTCGTTTCCAATAATAATAATAATAGTCTACCATCTTTTATCTCTACAGGGGCTTGTACTAATTTAGGTGCTGGGCACCGGGAACCGATTCAGAATTTCCTAGGATTCTAGCATAGTTGTAGTTACAATAACTCCTGGGCGGTCATTTAAGCTTATCATAGATCAAGAAACATAATTTCTTGTTAATTTAGATTTTCAAGTAATAAAATATATTTTTAATTTTTTAGCTCGATGCATTTGCCCTTATCGAATAAACTGTAGCATCTCAGATAATTAGGAAAGCGTTTTCGTTTAGCTTTCGGCCTATTTTCGATTACACTACGCACGTTCGTTCTTCGGTGGAAGCACTAAACACTTGTTTTGCTATACGATTTTAAAAAAACACTTTATCGTAGGTTAGCCGTCATCGCTTTTTTGGCGGCATACAGTTCTTTTTTTCGGATAGTAAATTGAATGTTATTCTTCCCTGGCTGGTACCGATATCAGCGTTGACGAGGAAGCTCAAAAATCAGTGATTGACACTATCGGTTCTAAAAGATAAAACTGATTGGAAACTCAGAGTGGCCATATGCTGTTATGTCATCATATAGGTATCGGTCAAATTACAGGTAGCCCTAGCTTGCAAAATAAGCCCCCGTAAATATGAAAATATCAGTCTATAAATAAAAGGCAAAACGGACCTAAATCAATCTAGAAACTCACTCGATGCAAAGACCACTTAAGCTAGATAGCTTTGTATTTATTCAAAACTAGTTCAGCTTTTTTTGGTCGAAAACACGACTTTTTATTCTCATCTTCATACTTTGGCCACTGCGCAAATTCACGGCGGTTCGTGTTGCAAGTATGGACTAGCTACCTGTAATCAAATATTTAAACTAGAAATCATTTGAATACACATATTCCGCACAAGACGTTCACCTGATGGAACAACGAATGTGCTAAACTTCAGTTTTTCCTCTGCACAAAAGTAATGCATTTATATTAACACTGCTTTAAAAAATGTCGAGAAAAAAAGATGAATTCAACTTCGGCAATATTGCTTAAGGGTAAAAGCCCTATAAACACAAGGAATATCATGCAGATGAAGCCTATCACCAAAACGACGCGGATGTCTTCAGTGGTATGCTTACTACGCGCGGGGAAAATTTTACGTTTGAATAATGAGATATCCGAATGTCATAAACATTTATCATGATGTCGTGAGTTTCAAAGTGCGAGCAAGCGCAAGTGACAGGGATGAAACTGCAGAAATACTGTGGATGCTCTAAAAAGCAACCCTCAATCTATTATGTCTCAAGAAAACACCAACTGTCTAAATTGTAACAAGCATGCAGGGAATCAGTTTATTTTAAGCCAAACGAGAGAGTCTCAGGTTGAACTGCAAACATTGTCGTTGACAACAAAATGGAGTATAATTCTGTGAATGTCAGGATTTTTTAATAAAATAGGTCTTGAGCAATCTCACTTCCCAGCGTAGATTTTATAGTTACTGGATTTAAAAGAGTGTACAATCTCTACCACCTAAGACTAAGGACTACTTTAAGTTTATTTTCTCGGCGCCATTTTTATTTTGCGTAGCATGTACCTGGTGTTGTCTTTATGCGCGTTCATCCACAATCCAGAATATCCTGTTTCGAGTAACAGGACATCTAACGGTCCGGGATTCTCGTAGAAAGAACAGTTTTTTAGATGAGCCTGCTGAGTATTTAATAGTCCTATAACAATATGGCCTGGTGGAAAGAAAAATTATTCGCCGTGAATTTCCAATCCAAGCCCGTTAGACTGGAGACAGTTGTGAATGATCAATTTTCACGTTTCTATTGTCCATTTTTTCAGCTATCGTTTCTTTAACCCTTGCGTCTGAACAGCATCCTACATCTTCGGAAGCGGTGCACAGATACTCATGACAGCAAGTGAAATAGCAGCACAGATAAACGCCACCCAAGCAGAATAAAGCTATTATCAGTACGCCGAATAACGCAAATTCTGTATCGTAGATTCCACTGTTATCTTTTTTGCCATGAACAAATCCATTCCCCATGATGGCAGCAAGGAGAACAACGGCCTCAACTTCTTTTATCCTCATTTTAACGGGAACAACGATCAGCACAATTTTTCTGTGTAAGATCTATGTAATTTTTAAACTGCACACCCAGAGGTCAAACGAGGATGGCGCTTCATTCTTCTCAAATGTCATCAGATCTTTCGCGGATGTCGCGCACGTGTACGTATTTGGTATTTTCGCCAATTTTAAATTTCGATCACTACTTTAACCCATTAAAAACTACTGAAAATTTCTTAGTCTTCTTCCTTGTCCTTTGTTTTGTTAAAAGTAACAAAAAATTGTTAAAAACCATGCTATTTTGCTCTTTAAAACCCCCGTGTAACATCAAACTTGATTACCAACGGCATTGTTGTTTTTTGTTTTTTTTATTATTATTGTGTCCTTAACTGTTTATTTCACTTCTCTGATCCTCCAGCAGTAGAAAATCGTGCTTAGAGAGACCGACAACAAAAGGAGATTAGAAATCTCAATGGTTGATCGTGCACACCGCGCTTCTTCGACTAGAGAAGTTTTTCAAACTAAATTAGTCAAGCGATGGTTTCGTAGCTAAGGCCCCACGATCAATTAGGTACATTGAGTTATCTTTATAGACCAGAAATCAGCCGATTGCCCTCAGCACGAAATGAAATCAGCGGGGTCCAAGATCTTGTCAGCATTAAATTTATCACAAAATCTAAGCTTCAAAGAAATTCGGCCTCCAATTGTCAACACACAAAGCATCGTTTGAATGTAATTTGTATGATTCAAACTTAATTTGGTCCGGGTGCACTACGCTGACAATATTCGTTTGGCTCCATCAAAAGTTTCGAAAAAATTTGTCTTCGCCAAATTTCGTGAGGTATGCTCGAGTATGGATTCGTGGTCGAGTTGAACTTCGAGTCAGATTTCGAGTTGAACTTCGAATTACGTGTTGTGTTTTATTGAAATAGTTCGAAAAAATTGATTTGAATCTCGTTACCCGCGTTACACAGGTAAATTCTGACATAAATGAATAATTGAATGATAATTATATCCTTACGCGAAAAAAGAAACCGTCCATAGAGAAGCAGATGTTTTAACAGTGTGAATTTGACTGTGATGCGAAAAAGTAAAAGTTAGGAAGGAACGTAAATGAAAACTGAGGCGTTGGATAATCTCCTTTCTAACGCTTTTTAATACCGCGTCATGAGCAAAAATTTCCAAATAGCTAGGTGAATTAGAGGTAGCATTTTGTTTTTTCAATTTTTTTTACGTGGTTGATTAGGTAATAAAATTGCTTACATATTCTGAGATGTAGAGCACGGATATAGCTTTTTATCAAAGCGTTGCACAATTTGTCACTGAGAGTGACATGATAGGAAATTGAATAGGAAATTGTCCATTTTTGCGGTTGTAACCATGACTAGCAGGCAATCTAAAGAATCTGAATAAAAACAATAATTTTAATCACCTTTCTACATTTTGTTTTTTTTTACAAGTCAAACTCAGAGACTTGCAAAGTACAAACACAAGGAGAGTAAGCTACAACGGAAAATCCTTCGAAACAAGTGGATCTTTCGCAAGTTATAGTCACCAATAAACCATTTCGACTTTCATTATTCGTGCAAACCTTTTAAAACCTTAGAAATATTTGGTATCTGAGGAATGACACTTCCATGGCCAAACACTTGACAAAAATTAAAAGATAACGCGGCTATCCCTTCCATACATTTATTCACGCAACACATTCATTTTCAGAGAAATTTCTCGAGTGAATTATTTCATTTCGCAAAAAAGAAAAAAAAATGCAATCAAATTTTGCCATCTCCCCATTTCTTTCTACCAGAAAAGACCAAAGCTAACTCTCATGGAAAAGATGTAAATAAAGGCCGTACTATATTTTGCGATTTAAATCGTTGAACACACTAAATTGTAAATCATGCAAAGATTGAATGAGGGGTCTGAGTTTTTCGGGAGTCCGAGGTTTAACTTTCCAAGATCTGAGGTTTCGTGACACTCTCTTCCAGGAGAAATAATTATTTCTTCAGCTCTTGATGTAAATTTCATTTTCCCGTTTAAAATAATTTCAAATTGAATTTCCCATTGGAGTCTTACCCAAACTCGAACTCAAATTTAAACTCTATAGTTCGCGCTTCATTCGTGGGCGCATTGGAACATAGCAAAATGGTTGTTAACCACAAGCTGTCAGTCACATGGACGTGCATGAACCAAGCTCAAGATACTACTGGAAACGTGAACTTGGAAGCCATTAAAGGTGTATTTTGAGTTCTGATTGTCAAGCGGCATCCCGAGATACGAACCTTCCATCTTCACCGTTTGATTGTCGCATAACAATTGTAAAATATTGTGACAGATTTCAGCCTGCCTGAAAGTGAGATCAAATTCTCTTGATTGACGTTTACCTTCAAATAGTAGCTTGTAAATTGAAAAATCTGTAAGATTTCACGCCTGACATAAATTTTTCCAGCTCCGAGGCAGAACGACGGCGCCTTTGAAGTTTGGTAAACCTCGACCAATTTGGCAGAGTAAAAAAAGTCTCTCTTGTTCTACGGAACTGATAAAAAAATCTGGTTGTTTTTCGCAAAATAACCGAACCAGCAAATTTGACCGTTTGATCTACGAAATTGTTTTTATTCGAGAAATCATACCTTCGCTGAACACTAAACTCTCGCCAAACTCTTCACCTGAAACTCAGTTATATAGCATTTTGCCTCTGGGAATTGAACCCATAAGGATAGATAACAATCTCTCTTCTGTTGAGTTACCTTGTCTGTTTTCGTTTCTCGTTTTCACATTTGACTTGGTATTGACGTGAAGAAACTTCGAAACGTCGGCAAATATTTTACGCAGAGCTTTTAAGTATTCTATAAATTTTAACAAAGCTCTGCCTTTGTTTACTAAGTGTAAGTATCACATTCGAGAAAACAAACGGAAATTAAAGTTGAAGCTTACAGAGAATCATGATCAGTAACGAATGAAATGGAAGTTGAAGATAATTTGTGCATTAATAGGAAGGACCAAAATGAAGAGGGTAGAACTGACTGCTTTCTCTTAGGGAGATTATTTCATATTAATTAATTGTTCGTTTGCGATTGAATGGAAAGGAAGAAAGTTTATTAAAAACTCCATTTCTTTTCACTTTTTAAACCAGGTGCTTCATAACCATTCTGATCAGGATCATTAGGCACCTTCCCTTTTCCGGGTTAAGAGTGCTATACAATTCTTGTCAAAAGACTGGCTAAAATAATGCTGGATGACTACTTGAGCAGTAACTTGGGAAAAAGCCATCGCAACAAGACGAACAGATGAGCTCAATGAAAGAAAACTAAAATGAAATACTTGAAACATGGTTCTACAGCCTTTTATGTTCCCATGAGGACTGTAGACCGTTACTGAAAGACTGAATATTTTGAAGATGACTGCATCAATCGTAGAAAACCAGAACTAAATGCGCCTAAGAACAAAACCTTTCTCTATTACGACGGATATTGAACAAAAGATGGCCTCGAGAGGTTAAGCAAAAGCTTTTGGCGGAAGCTCTTAAGTTTTTTCCTTTGTCTCGATTTCTTTTTACAATAAATGGAGTTCCATTTACTCGTAACATAGATTTACAGAGTCAGTTACTTGATTTGCGGCATCTAAGGCAAAAGACATATCGTCACTCAATCATGGTATTGTTAAGTTTTGCAATATTTCTTGCCGCTCTAAACTTCTCTCTTTCTATCACCGCATTCCTGGGCAATGTCGTGATCCTCTTTGCCCTTCGTAAGGTGAATTCTATTCGACCTCAAACAAAGCTGTTATTTCGATGTTTGGCAGTCACTGATCTTGCCGTTGGACTTACTACCCAGCCTCTTCTGGCAATAACTTTCATACCAGGGGCAGTTGAAATGCATATAATTCTCAAAATCCTTAGTTATCAAGTTTCTGTCTCGATGGGTATTCTTTTGCTAACAGTTTCTGTCTTGACAACGACCGCAATATGTGTGGACAGGCTTCTCGCTCTCCTTTTAGGGCTGAGATATCCTCAAGTTGTTACATTCAGGCGTGTCGGACTATTGTTGTTTTTTTTTTGGTTGCTGAGCAGTGCAGTCATTGGATTGAGATACAGCACAGGATACGTTGAAACAGCCCGCTCCATACTTATTGCTTTGATGTTACTGTCCTTACTAGTATCGTTAGTCTCTTACGCGAAAATCTATCGCCGTCTCCGACATCAACAACGTCAAGTACAGATCCACGTGCCACAACCACGACCTCAACCACAAAATGGAGAAGCAATTTTACTGAACATAGCCCGATACAAGAAGACGGTTTCTAGTATAGTATGCGTGCAGCTAGCGTTAGTTTTTTGCTATCTTCCATACATGTTTGTAGGCATGCTGCTAACAAACAGAATAATACCTCCGACTGCCTGGGGTTTGTTATTTCTTCGAGCTACGATAACAATTCTGTACTTAAATTCAACTCTAAACCCGATTCTTTATTGCTGGAGGATAAGAGAGGTAAAACAAGCGGTGAAGAGCACGATCAGACAGTTACGCTTGTGTTAAATATCGAGGTAACTGCAATGTAGGACTTTTGAAACACGCTTTTCCGTGTGAATTGTGTTGAGTTGACTTACTGAATAAACTCAGAAAAAATGGAATTTTCCGACAATTCTCTTTCTGAAGCATCCGAGTTGTTCCCAACCTACAAAGCGGTCAAAACATGAACCATAGATTCTATGTAACAAGGGCGTACTGTTTTGATCTGTTCTTCGCAAACATGAACAGCTAATTGTTAACAGCACCCGCCTTTCGTCACCTGGTGACTTGATTTCGAAACACCGCCGGAAAACTCCTCACATTCAGGGAAACGAGCCAGAAAGCAATTAGAGCCACAACTACTGTGTGATTATTGCACGTAGTGTATATAATTAGAAGGTAGTTTTGTGAAGAACTTTCCACTGAAACTCTTCTGACTTTCTCTTGAGAAGCAGAACATCGCTGCTGTTAGATAAAGAGAGGATGTTAATGCACACCTCACGGAAAGAGGAAAAA